ACTGAAAATTACAGCATTGTGAACATTCTTCTCGAATTTCTTCTTCAATGGAGATAAACATACTTTTAATCCTCTTTTTACTTCTGTACTTTCATTCCTCTCTTTAAACATTTTTTTCATCTTTATTTAATCACACACACGCACAATTAATTTCCATTCTTAATAAACAAATTCTTGTGCCAAATTTGAAAGAAAAATTTAATTCAAAATGATTCGTTGTTTTTTTTTTTTTGTCAATTTAAGGATTTTAATTATTTTATTGTCATTTTTATATTACTGTAAATATCTGTACTTTGTAAATATAATATCTACATTGTATTACCGACGGTAATGTACCATACACTAATACCGTCTCTCTCATTTGCACTTAAAATTCTCTGTCTGATCCAGACGAGAACCACGATACAGTCTGTATAAGTGTTCCGATCAGTTAACGCTAATGAGCGATATATTTGGATGCTCTCTTGCATACCATGAGTTATCTCAGCTTCTGACGACTATGTATATACTGTTTTACGTCTCTATATATGCCTCATACACACGAAAAAAAAAAAAAAAAATATTTAACTAAATTTAGGAAAAATTTCGACGCTACTGTAAAAGAATTAAAAAACAATTGATGTTGGAGTTTGATAAAAAGAATAACAACAGCTACTGTGATCAACAAAGTAAACAATAAAGATGTTAGCAAGGATATAAAAATAATTTTATTGCCATTACAGAACTTGAATTTTACGAATAAGTTTAATATCAACTGAAGAAAAGAAAAAATTTTTTTTCAATCAGTTTGTATGAATTTTATCATGGAATTTTGAACTATAGATTATAAATAAGTGATAAGAATTGATATAATCATGTAAATTACTTTATAATTTTATACAATAGAGTATTGATAAAATTATAATGTCGATATGATAATAGAAAAAAATTTATTAAACAATAAAATAATATATTTAATATAAAATTATTGTTGTATTCTACATAACTGGAATATATTTTTATTAAAAATATTTGTTTATTGACAAGTATTTAAATAGTATTTGTTGTATGATTTAAAAAATCTGATAGATTCTAAGTGTGTTAGAAATGAAGGAAAAAGTCTCTTATTTAAAAGATGGATCAAAAGGTCTAGAAGAGGGGTTGAAGCCTAGCTCATAGGGCTGCTTTTATTCAAAAAAAAAAAAAAAAAAAAATTGAAGAAATCGAAAAAGAGTCCCAAGTTTAATTTTTAGAAATCAAAGATGACATAAAAAATTATATTATATATAATAATTAGATACTAATGATTAATAAGTTGATAAGTAAGCTATACATAACCCAACAAAAAAATTTCAGACTTATGAATACTTTTCTGATGAATTGATTTAAAACAATGAAAAGGTTTAAAACTAAACATCATAAAGCATGTACATAAATAAATAAATGGCAACTCATTATCAATGTACCAAAGGCACATGTGGGTGAAAGAGATAAATCATTTGAAGAAGGAAAAAAAAAAAAAAATAATAATATGAATGATTTTAGAAATTATTATAAGCCAACCAGCTGGCAGTGGCATTCAACAATACATTCAATAAGCCGAAACAACACACAACAGTGGAGTTACTGCGACAAGCTTGCAGTAACAAAGTTGGGTCGCGAGCGAATCGCGAAAAGGCCTTTACGGAGCGCAGAGCACGATCGAGATATCCTATCAGCCGGCATTTCGAGTGAATATTAGCGTAATGAGCTCGATAGCTGAGCGATACGAGAGATTTTAACCCGTCGTAACGTCACGTACCACACTACTGTACACTCTAAACCTTTCCATATAAATTCCGCCTATACCACACCAGCCTATCAAAAACCTATATTTATATACATATATACATCCCAACTGATTACGAGTTGTGTTGAATCTAAATAAAGTATTATATCGTTAAGACTGCGTACTATCATTACGTACATACTGATATACAAAATATGATGAAAACAAAAGGAAAATGATTTTGATATATACGTGACCGGTGAAGAAATCGGTTTGAAACAAGAAAAAAGGAATAAAGTTAAATAAATGTACATATAAGTATAATACGTATAAGGGAGTAAAAAGAAGGGAGACGGTACCGGACACCATTCCAACGATGTCGGAGTCGTGTCGCAAGAGGCTGAAGTGACACCACAATGCAGTGTAGCAATTTGTAGGCTCGCCCTTCGTCTCCCTCCTCCTCATGTACCTCCTTCTTCCAAGACTTCCCTATCGTTTCAATCCCTCTCCTCAATTTCTGCTTTTCTCCGCCTTCGTACCATCCGTATTTACGACTACACTTACTACATCTCCACACTTATACAACATATCACACTAGATTAATCTAGATAATTTAATATACCATGGATAAGATTCCTCCTATGCACTTGTTCATCACTTATTATTCCTATTTTTAGTATTATCCATATTTAATTAGTTGTCGCAATAAATACGATTAAATGTACGACATAATGTTTATTTTTAAAATTTGTCTATTCACCTAGACAATTTAATTGAATGATCCTGCTGCTGATGCTGATGATGATGATGATGATTTGTTGATAATTCATTTAACAATGTATTTATTTTTCATGTATCAAACAATGTATTGATTTATTTTTACTTCTTAAATCAGATTTTATACAGAGAGTTACACACACACGTAGTTTTTTATTTGTTTACCCTTGTTATTCTTGTTGTATTGGTCAACCGCGCGACGGCGACCGCCTCCGCCGATCGACACTGATAAAACGAAACGGCAAACTGTAGAATTGAGAGAGCGAGAGACAACACATCGCGGGATTTGCGATTCTTTACTCGCGCGTACTGATCTTCGTCTTCTTTTCAACAACCCTGTATTGTGATTCTTTGAAGAAGTGAAGAAGACAGAAAAAAATAAGTGAATAAAAAGAAAATGAGGTTTTGAATCAGAAGACTGTCCAACACCCGAGTGACGACCGTGAGAGCTAGTTGCAGAGGACTTGCAGAGAGAACCAAGACGAAAGATCTTGTGCGATCATTGAATTTTTAGTCTTCTCAAGGTATAGTTTGCTTAGTTGAGAAGACACATAAATTGATCGACGGCCCTATAACAAGCTGATTGTCATTTGAAAAATATTTTTTTTATGCACGTTAAAGCTTTTAAAAAGGATATATACCTAATATATATATGTATATATATACCTGCTGATTAGATAACGTGATAGCTATAAATGAAAAATAACTAAACACCACATAAGCACCAGGTTAATTATATTTATACTGAGAAAAAAATTAACGGTGAACAAGTTTTATTTTTTTTAACAAAAAAAAAAATCAAGATTTTTAATAGTCACAATAAAATATTTTCTTTATAGTTTCAATTCTGATGGTTATTTTAAATAAAATAAATTTTTATTCTGCTCGATTATTTCAAGTATAATTAATTGAGCATTGTTTCATGAAATTAATTATTTTTTTTTTTTTAAGATCCAAAGTGTCTCTTTAGTAAAGTAAGAATTAATTTTATGTCACTTGTATTAAAACGTACCATAATCTTGAACAAATATCAAAATAAATTTAATAAAATATTTTATTGTGAATATTTAAAAAATTCTTTTCTGTTAATCAAAAGAACATTTTTATGTAAAATAAAAAAAAAATTTTCTCCATATAAAAACTGTTGGTGTGAACAACACACGTTAACACACCTTCCTTCATTATTATTCTCATTCTTATTCTATTTATTACTAAATTTTGCTTATACATACTCATGATGTATACAACAATCTTAAGCTCTAGATGATGTGTAAAGATACTACTTAGTTGTGAACACAATTCAATAAAGCATTCTATAAAATCATCGGTTATTAATTTAACACTAAGCATCACAGCAGGATGCATTTGCCGTTTCTCTACAGGATACTATTTATTTGTATTCTTCACTTACTATTATTATTATTTTATAGATTTAAAAGTACCACGATACCGATCGTGTTATGATACGTATGAGTGCAGATACGATATTTAACAATCCAAAGTCATACATTTACACACATTGTGCATTAATGTACTACAGTATATTATATACTATACTTATTGTATTCTACTCTACTGACGAATTTTCATTTTATCATTTTATATATATATATTAATGATAAATAGATAAGTGCTATATAATTAATTTACTGTTCATTGATAATAAACTCAATACATGACACACTATCCATAAACAAGTCTAGTTCAAGAGGTACGAGAAGTACATATAAAATAGTGACGTTGTATAGTTATTAGCATTCATATAATAACATACAAAACTAATTAACTTATATGCATGTTAATATTATAGATAATAAATTGAGTTATTTTCGATTTAGCAACCACCATCAGACAGTCATTAAAAATAAACAAAATTTTTAGACAAAAAATATTCAAAAATAATAACTTGTTAGACATGTTTATACATGTGAAAGTCAGCAATATGATTTTATGTATTAAATATATTCTGCATATAATGTTTAAAAAATCTATTAAACCGTAAAATTAATGATAAACCGTTATTTAGTAACTTTAAAAGTACTAGAAACATAACTACATATACTGAATAAATAACCTTTATAATTGGCTTAAATACGAGTAAATAATAGAATTCTCGAGGCAGTATATTATATCAAATTCTTGCTACTGACTTTACTCCGAATGAAGAGAATTTCGCGCTAAAAATATAAAGCAAAGCGCAATGAACACAACAAGCCATCTATCAGAGGATGTAGGCGCGAAACGATCAATGTGACTTTGTATTTGATTGTAACAAGTTATGAATTATTTCCTTATTTGTTTTTCTTTGATTATGCTACCGAACAATGATAAAACAATTGTTTATAATAATAATAATTAATTAAAGCATCATTTAATAATATTCAAGTAGAAGCCATGATTGTGATTGAAATGAGTTATTATACATAAATACAAATATACCATAAAATGTAATGTCAATATGAAAAGGAACACTCACGTTTCAGTGGCTTTGGGTTGCTCTGTTTACGACGTGACATTCTCCTTTTTTTTCTGCCATCACCATATCAATATCATCAACATAACTAATGATGACGAAGAAAGTCTTCGACGAGTGTCAAAAGACTGCTACAAGAAACACATGCGTATCAATGACTTCACACAAGCTCTTTCACCAACACGTTGATAAAATAATAAAAACAAGGACATGCGGTGGGAATGTAAAAACAATACTATGTGTATAGGTGTAAGCAAGGATTGTAGCCAGTAAAACACTTTAGCACTCGAATACACTTATTAATATATATGATGTTTTATTATTTTTATTTGTCTTTTAATTATATCGATATTATGGAATTATCTTGGTATTCTTTTTTTTTTCTTTGATAAACTTAGTTTTTTATTACCATATCTTCGAATTATGCCGTTATGGTATGACAAATAAATATCACGTCATTTCAGAGCCGCTGTCAGCGGACAACTAAACAAACGTCGTGCTAAAAATCCCCACTCTCTTCCACAGCATGACATCTTTTGAGAGTAGGAGTAAAATAACTAAGTGGGGGATCATGACTCCACCCACTTTGTCAGTTTGTCACTTTATCGGTATCTTTCATTTTTTATTCCAATTTTTTTCAGCTAATACTATGTCCGTTTTTTCCATCTTTCGAAATAAATTAAAATTCTTTTTTATAAATAAAAATAACCCGTTATATATTTAACATTAGTTTATCAAAATGGTGTAGAGAAAATCTAGAATCAAATGATTTAGTCTAATACATGATTTGAGTGAATATTTATATTATTAAATGAAAAAATAACATGAATAATCAAAAAGACAACAAAAATTTTTTGTTGAAAATGTTTTTTAACCTTTTGTGTGTTGGTATAATAGGTTTAAGAATTATCGACTGTCGATATGTATCGGTCGATAATAAAACTAAATTTGTTCTCGTATGATAATCGATAAAGTAGATCTTAATTTTATCATTGTATAATTATTCTCGTTTCTCCGAATAAAATTGGAGTTTCAAAAAAAGTATTATAATATTGCAATTACTAATGAATTATAATAATGAAAAACTAATTATTGCATATTTAAAAAAAATTAAAGTATTTTAAAATTAAAAAATCATTTAAAATAATTTCTGTTTTTGTTCAACAATTTTTTTTCAACAAAATTTGTGAATCGTTAGCTTTTGTTATTCCATAGTAAAAGAAAGAGAAAAAAATAAAATAAAGAGAAAGAGTTCAACTATAAAAAAATATAAATATATCACGACAAAATTTTTCAAATTCCATAAAGCTCTTAATTGTAAACAAGAATGTATACAAATAATTTTCATCTCTAGATGCATTTTCCAAAAATTATTCATCCTGAATATGAAATTCCTAAAGTAATCATTTTTATATTAATTTATTTTTTGAACTTAGTGTGTCACATGGTGAATACTTAGAAACTGTCACATTTAACACTATTATGAGAATCGTACAAACAGTTCATTCGTTTGATGCGTGAGCGTGATATGACTGATTGGTGATTATGTGTAGAATTTCATCATGATGATTACCATTTTTTTTAACATTATCACTTCAAAATCAGAATATATATTGAATGTTATCAATTTCTACCTACACCTTAAAACTTTATTTATTTCCCTATGTAATGACAATTTATCATGATTATTTATAGTTTGTTTCAATTGGCACTCTGTACCCATTTATAACATTGGAGAAGATGCCTTGTATTTACAAACAATAGAAATATTTTTGTGTATCCATTTAAAACATTATTCTTATTATTCGTGTAGAATAATGATAGATGAAAAAAGTTTTGTCAAAGTTACAATTATTATTATTATATGTAGCAAAACATGCATGGTAAAAGTAATTAAATATAAACGAATAAAAAATATGCTTACTATGATCTTTATATTTTCGATGATATGGTGTGTGTAAATACATGTAGACATAAAAGAGAATGGACACATCACACCGGTACCAAGGTATGTTGCATGACGCCAAGGGACCACGGCGCTACATAATGCCATGACGTATCAAACGTTTACCATGCAAAGTGACGTCACAATCACGACCTCAGTGAGACCTGGTCAGACTGCTAGCACGTGAACAGCACGCCGTTGATCACGCATCCACCAACTGACACTCGCGCATTGATTGGACGAGAAAGAACGAGCCTCTCAACTCTATTCAACCATCGACCACACGCTGCATGATCACTACACATACACTCGAGAACACATTGTGCGATCCGACTTGCAAAAGCTTCATTACTCGTCGAGCCTCTCGAGTTGTATCAAGCTTACACAAAGAGTTTGTTACTGTGTATTTTTTTTAGTACACCTAAGATTCATTATTACATGAATAATTTTTTATTTTAACAAAGATTTTTAAATAATAAACATCCTCGAATTTTATTATATTTATAACTGTTCAGTTACATGTTTATATTCATTTAAAATGAATACTAGTTCTGTACCACTGTCTCCACCTGCTTCACCACAACTTAAATATATTCATGTAAGTAATTAATTAATTATTAAGTTTACATATTTAAATTTGTTGAAAAATTAAATTTTCCGGAATTTTCATAAACATTGAACTCATAAGTGACGCATTAGTAAATTTACAAATTTACCCGCCGTACAGTCGACATCTGTGCCCGCGAAATACAAATATATTATTTAATATTTATCTCGAAAGAATGTATATTATTTGTTTAATAACAGTAATTATACTTTTAATGATAATTATTATAAGTCAATGGGTATCTGGGTCAAACAGGAAATTTATGAAATGAATATGTTTCAGTTGGAACCTTTGCAGTCATCATTTAGCGTAGCAGCGCTATTGGGTAATAAATTAGTAGAAAAAGAGTGTTTGAAGCCAAACTTGAAAAGACACAACGATGTTGATGATAATCTTCCGCCCACGCCTCAACCATCCGATACTGAAGAGGATGAACAACCTTCAAACAAACGTACTAAAGTTGATCAATCTCAATGTGAATTAGCAAAGGTAATTTAATAAATATTATCAGCTATGAAGCATCATTTATTAATAAATATAACTAATCTTCTTGTATTAAATTTCAGTTATTATTGGATAGAACGCCTCCATTGAGTCCAGAATCCACTCGTGTTTCTGTTATAATGCGCGCAAATAAAGATGGTACCTGTAGTCCTGCAAATTTAACTTACACCGAAAAATTAGTAAACCCTAAGAAACCAACTAATGGACCAGAAACAGAGAATATATTAAAAAGCATAAAATACAAAATGAGTCTTCGTAAAGAAGAGATAATAGTTAATAATAAAAATACCGATCGTGAGATTCAGAATCAAAAATTACAACCACTAGCACCTAAACCAGCTCCAATCACAATGGTTACTGGTCTTCTTGGCACACCTCTAGTACTACCATCAACACCTCTAACAGTTTTCGTGACTTCGCCACCAATAGCTTCAAATGCCTGTTCGACAGTAAATAACTTAGGAATACGTCGTAGAGTTTATGAATGTGAGCATCCGGGTTGTGGAAAGAATTATTTTAAATCTTCACATTTAAAAGCTCACAAAAGGACACATACGGGAGAAAGACCATTCCCATGTCCCTATGATGATTGCGGAAGAAGGTTTTCCCGGAGTGATGAACTTTCGCGACATAAAAGAACACATACTGGTGAAAAAAAATTTGTCTGTTCTGTATGTCAAAGGAGATTTATGCGCAGCGATCATTTAGCAAAACATGTAAAACGTCACGCACGAGATAGGAGTAATGCATCAACATCTAGCGTAGTTAATCATCAATCTCAAATCACATCGACAACGCCGCTACGAGTTAATTTTCTTCCCGTACTTGCACCAAAAATGGAAAATTTAAAAACTTTTACATCTTAAGTTGGAATCAAAGAAGTTATTATAATGGCAATTCTTTCATGTACGGTATTACATTGTATAAAATTTATTTCTAACAATTTTTTACATAAGTTTTTATATTATTTTTTAATATGTCTAATAAACTTTAAATAGCTCCAAAATTGTTAGATTTTAAAGAAAATTCGCTATAAGTCAACATAAAGGAAACTCTGTGCATGAAAGAGTTGAAAGCCAATATTGACATTGTTCTTCTAGTCGAGGAATATTTAATTTATAAGTAATTATTTAGAAATAATTTTCCATATAATTTTACAGAGTAACTATTAGTACTTAACATAATGTTTAATTTAATATAACATAACAAGTGTGTCTGTGATCTATGTGTTAAGCTCCAAGATGATAAAACCCAGAGAAACTGAAGAACTTAAGTATTTATTTAGAAATATGACGGGTAAAATAAAAATTCCTTTTTTTTTTTTACTTTAACAACAGTATCAACGTACAAGCTTATGTATGCAAACAAAACTATAAATTATCAAAATAACTATGCATCTATTATTAATACGTTCAGAGGGAATATTAATATATAATTAAATTACAGGCAAATAGAAAAATCCAATCCCTCCAATTACTAAAGACTTATAGTGAAATTTTTGTACATAATATGTAATATAATCTTATATACTTTCGTAAAATGATTATAATTTATTTTAAATCCTATCCTACATATGTATTACTTCATCCATTTAAAACAAACATCAACATGATTAATCATGCCTTTCATCTTTCAACTTAACTTCTAGACTTCACTCTCTTGATTTGATCTACATTTCATCGTTTTCACAAATAGCATTCAGCTATTTAAATCATCAAGAATGATGTGTAATTATCAAAAAAGATGTAATAGAAGTTTTTCGTTGATTTTCATAAGAACTTTTGATGTATTTATATTATTGTTGAGAGAAAATATGTATCAAACATAGTGATAATTATAGATAAAAATAAATGATGCTGGTGAACGATAACGCATAATATAACAAGGGTCACATACTCGTACATTTCATTTGATAATGTATATACATAGATGTATTATATATTAGCACGTGGTCATTGAATGACAATGAAATGAGTGATGTTATTCAACACGTGGCAAATAATCAGTTCAAACAGTATTCGAAGATAAAATTATTTTATATTTAAAAATATTTTCCTAATATTATTATACATGTTTTATGTATAAAAAATACTTTTACTTCTGATTTATAACTCATGATTTATGAGAATTATAATAATGTTAATTAGATTAATTATACCCGAATTATATGTGTATTTTTATCAAAATGTTATTATTCAATTGCCTATGGTAAATAAATAGTTAAGAGATAATAATATCCGTATATACAAACAAAAAAAAAATGTTTTTACTTATAATTCGACTTATTGTTGGTAATTAATAGAGTTTATTTTTAATAAAGATGATTTATGTTAGATAAAATCGATGAGTAATATTTTGAATTTTCCTTAAATCAATTTCGAAAAGGAAAGAGTAAAACGTATGCATAAAACTATTATAAAAGTATTAAGTTTTTTTTTTTCTACTGACGAAATGTATTTTATACTTGCATCAGCCAAATACTTTACCTTCTTCTTGTAGGAATAATATATTGTAAATATATTAAATAAGGTAAAAGAATAGATGATGCAAAAATCAGTTCAATTGCAGACATATTCTAATTATAATAAAATTGCCAATAAATTAATTTAACAATAAAAAAAAATGAAATATAGAATAACGTCATACATTTATGAGTAATAACTATGAATAACATTTAACATTGTGTATAAAATATTGATTTAATTTCAAAAAAATGTATATTTATAAAATAGACATTTTTCTACAATATATAAAAGTGTAACATTTGTTTAAAAATATGAAAATATAAACTGTATTGTTCATAAATACATTTTTCAAATGCATTCTTCCAAATAGCTAATAGAAATATAGAAAATTCATAATTTTTTTCAGTTCGTAATTATGGATAAATACCACTATGTTACTGCGTTATAGATAAACAATGATAAACTGTTCAACCTATTCATTTAGCATGAAATCTTTTTGTTGAATCAGAAGCCATATCATATAAAGTTTGACACGGTTTAAAGGACGCACCATAATGAGCTTGATATTCTTCCATTTTTCGGACTAGATTACCCGCTCCGTACCAATCAACCCACCTGAATGGACCACCAGTAAATGGTGGGAAACCAAGACCAAACACTGCACCAACATCACCTTCGAGCTGTAAGAAATAGAATTATTTAAATCGTTTTTTGCATAATTTGTATTACAATCTAGTGTATTAAAATATTAATATTATAAAACAGTTTTAGACATACCGGATTAGCAAGAATATTTTCTTCTAAGCATAAAACAGCTTCATTAACAAATCGAGTAACCATTCTTAATTGACGATCTTCATCAGCAGTGCTTCCTTTAGGTTGTAATGAATATTGTTTAATAATATCTAATGCGCCAAGGTTGACATTTCTATCCTTTCGACCAGGTTCATAAACAAAAATTCCTTTACCAGACTTGCGTCCAAGATAACCGGCTTTAACCATATCAGTCATGATATTGAAATTACCACCTCCAAAGCGATCTCCAAAGGCTTTGAATAAATCAACACCAATGTGGGCACCAACATCAATACCAACTTCATCGCATAAAGTTGTTGGGCCGACTGGAAAACCAAATTTCTTTGACAGTGTATCAAGATGAATTGGGTCAACGCCTTCTTGAAGAAGTCGTAAAGTTTCGGATAACATTGCACTTAGAATCCTAGTCGTATAAAATCCTGGACCATCACCAACAGTAATAACAATTTTATTTTGTTTCAAGCCAACATCTACAGCAGTTTTTATTGTTTCCATAGACGTGCCTTTGTGAGTAATCAGTTCAAGAAGTTGCATTTTATCAACAGGAGAAAAGTAATGCATTCCTATGACCTTATCAGGTCTAGAGCTGCCAGCTGCTATTTTAGTTATTGGGATAGCTGATGTATTAGTAGCTATAACACAATGTTCTGGTACGTTAGCTTCTATTTCTTTTATAACTTTATGTTTTATTGCTATATCTTCGAAGACAGCTTCAATCACAATGTCAACATTTTTAAATTCTTTATAATCTAATGTAGGCACTAAATTTGTCATTATTTTGTCTTTCTCTATAACACTAATTCGTTTTCGTTTCACTGCAGTATCATAGCCTTTTTGGATTTGTCCTACACCACGATATAGTCCAGTATCTGTGGTATCTTTCAGAATTACCGTGTAACCTTTATCAATACTCACATGGGCAATCCCAGCACCCATCAAACCTGCTCCAACAACAGCTATTGATTTTACTTGATTTGTTGGAGGTCCAAAGCGATTTTTCTTACACGCTGTTTGTCCAAAAAATAAACTAATTAAACCTTTGCATTGAGGAGTCATTGCAAGATATCCAAAACCACGAGCTTCAGCCTCATAACCCGCCGTTGGACCTTTATCTAAACCAACTCTAAGAACTTCTAATATTTTTAATGGAGCTGGATAAAGTCCATTTGTCATTTTCATAACTTGAGCTTTAGATTTTTTAAATACTTGATCCTTAACAAATTGCAAGCTAAATACCCATCGAGTTAATTTTTCCATAAGAGATTTAGGGCCTTCATCAAGTTTTATTTGGCCATTGCTTATGTCTTTAGCAACTTTGATAGCCGTTTCTTCTAAATAACGTCGAGTATTTTCTTCAGGTGTAGCTATACCTGGACCAAGATGATTGACAAGTAAATCTACAATTCCTTGTTTTTTTGCTTTCTCTGCTTTGAGTGTTGAACCAGTTAAACAGATTTGTAGTGCATTTGGAAGAGATGTAACTTTAGGAAGTCTTTGTGTACCTCCACCACCAGGTAATAAACCTAATTTAACCTCAGGCAAACCTAATATTGTTTTTTTATCTTTGACTGCTACACGATAGTGACAAGCGAGTGCTACCTATAATTAAAATTTATTTTTATATCAAGTAATGTATAATTATTATTTATAAAAATGCATAATTATACCTACCTCTAAACCTCCTCCTAAACAAGTACCTTGAATAGCCGCCACAATTGGTTTTCTAGATTGCTCAATGCTATTTAAAATTTCTTGACCATTTTTGGATATTTGATATGCCTCATCCTCTGTTTTTACTTTTTGTAACATAGTTATATCTGCTCCAGCAATAAAACTATTTGGCTTACCACTTATAAGTACTGCGGATTTAATTGATGAATTTGATTCGATTTCTTTTAAAACTGTTTTCATTTCTTCCATTAATTTTATGTTTAGGGTATTTTCCTAAAATTTTTCAACATTATTAATAAAATAAAATTATTATTTGCATAATAAACTTACTTTTACTCCAGGTGAATTCAGAGTTATTACTGCAACATCTTCTACAGCTCTCCATTTTACATGATTTTCGGCAGTAGCAGTAGCTAAACATCTTGTTGACATATTTATTACTGAAAATATAATTTATTTTCCATTAATTTCATTGATGCAAAATTTTATAAACTTTATTTTGCAATTCAGATAGCTATAAAATGGAAAAATAAATTAATACCCAAATTCTACATTTTAATTATCTTTGACTTTTTAGGCAGGGTACAAAGGTTGAAATACAACAAAATACTGAATGATAAGCTCTTTAAATTTCATTATTTGCATTATTTAACAAATTTGCAATATTAACAAAAACAAATAGCTAATCATTGTTGTAATAATGACTATTTTTTATATTACTAAAAATTTAAATTAATATTTTATTTACCTGTTTTAGAAAATAAAATACGATTTTTCGATGAAAGACAAGACATTGCTCCGATTATCCGAGCAGAACTCATCTTGCAATTTATTTTTCTGTCTTAAAAGTGTAATAAAAAATTATATGCGTTTTTTTACTCGGCTACACCTTGAAAAAATAAATAAATTTAATTAAAAGAAAATTTTGATCACTTGTACATAGAACGAAACTAATTTAAGAAATATGGATGTATAATTACAGTTACCCGATCAATGTGTTACATTTAATTTTACTTGTATTGTGAATTTATTGCAAATCTTTTCTCACATCTGTACAGGACTTGTATGCAAAAAACATTTGTTATCAACAGATAATTAATCTGATAATTCGTTCAATAAACTTCAACTAGAATAGAGGCGCTGATGTCTATAGTCTAAATGGTGTTTATTTTCAAATTGTCAACAACATCAATTAACCGTCATTTTAACCTATAAATTTATTTGAGGATCATTTTAACCTGATTAGTTTGGGATTAGCAAAAAAATGAGACAATATAACTTACTTACAGTTAGTTCAATAAATTATATAAAGAGAAAGTTACTTACCAATTGATATGCAATGTATAGTATAATAAAGTACATGTTGTGAAAGATGGAGTTTATTTCTAATTGTTGATGCATCCGCCTGTAGTACCTATTGCATTTAGTGCGCAAGTGCAGCCTAAATAATCTTATGGTCGCTCATGGCCTTTCTCATAGTCCTGCGACAAGTATAATCAGCTACGATACCATTTTCCAATAATGTGTGTACACCCGTAGCAACTGACAGTCCTTCCGAGGCATTACAGTAAATTAAAATTTACATACCAATAATTATAGTGCATTTATCATTAAAGTATTGTTTTTTAACAATGTAATTAGCATGCGTATAGTTTTTTCTCTTCAACAAAAATAACCGTCTGCTATGTGTACGTGTGAGTGTTTGTGTTTTATATATTACAAAGAAAAAAATATATTTTATTGAATTATTATCAAGTGATTGAATTACATGAAGAACCAAGATAATTATATAAATATTTACTCGCGTAAGAAAGTAACGACAAGTAAGAAATATATATGTATTCATTTTCATTGTTAAATTTCACTTTATAATAATTCAGATAAAATTAAATATCTATTGAAAATAAGTATTTATAATACTTATTTAATATTTCATTTAAAAAAATTCATCCTCTTTAATAAGAAAATTTGTGGAATAATATTTTAAAATTAATATGTTTGAATAATGATAACAAAAACTAGTCATGCCTTTCAATTTTTTCTTCACTATAGATCATTGTAGAGAATATATATATATATATATCTATAGATACATTCATTTCTGGCTAATTCAATTCCAATAATATTATTTATATTCGTTAGGTATAGATGAGAATTAAAAATTAATTACTCAATAAACGTGTAATAAAATGTATATTACATATGTTCAGTCGATAAAATATTATGTAACGTGATGTTTATATTCGTGAGATAGCAAAATGTTTACTTATAAATTTTGGGTAAGTGAACATCGATTTGTAGCTTCGAAAGGATGCTATGTCGTGTACAAGATTCTAAAATATATACAGAAGCTGGCTATTGTTTAGTTCTCATAAATTCATTTTTCTCATCTTTTTACCATTAAAAATAAATAGTTGAAAATGGAGAATTAATAAATTTATTATCAGGAGAAAACCAGAATAGCTAATAAAATGATATCACCAATATACAATGGAGATTCAGTATATTATTATAGATAATGTAGTGATTATTTATATTTTATATATTAACGGTTTTCATCTAAACTAAAAATGTTAGTAAAGAATTTGATTATCATTTAAGGAAGGAAGTCAAACTTGTTGTCAATGCATTAAAGAAAGTCATTATTCTTTCACTATTGATATGCTGACTCTTTAGAGAGAAAGAAAAAAATTACAAAGAAATGAAATGAGGAAAACAAAAAAAATGACTAACATCTTGAAAGAAAAAAAAATAATAAATTTTTATTAATTACATGTCGATAAAAAAAAAAATTCAATGAAGTAAGATTGGCATTAAATTTAAGTGAAACGTGAAAATTATAAAATAATAACAAAAAAAAAACAAAAATTTTTTTTCTATCGTCGGTGAATGTCCGGCGGGTTGTTCACCCTCATCCCCACTATTATAAGACCTTCGGGTTTTTGTAAGAATTGCATGTACAGATTATATATTTTCAATGCTAGGATAGATTTTTAATCATTCATTCAATAGCTACATCATTCCGTTTTTTGAATATTAAAATCCTAATGAAGATACATACATTACTTATTTATTTATGTATTCACTTACTTCAAAGAATCTATGTAATTTTTATATACTACTTCATTGAATTTTTCTATATAATTTCAAGATTTATTAATGAATTAATTATTAAATCAGCTAATTAACTTTTGTTTTTAATAAAAAAAAAAAGTTTTCATTACTTTACGATATATATAACTATCTTTCTATGATATAACATAAAGTCAAAGTTAGAAATGAGTATTAAATCAATTGAATAAACTAATAATTAGATTGATAATAATTGAAAATCATTTGCTGCATGTAGTAGATACATAAAGCATTAATCACAATATATATTCTTTGATGTATATATATAGATATTAGTTTTCACGGTCGACAACAGAGAGTGTAATCATGCATATGACTAACGGTTCAAGCATTCTTTTATGTAGTAGTTTAGAAAATATGAGTGTATTGTCACTGGTGTCAATATCCAAATTTTCGATTGTATAAAATAAGATAATAATTCAGGAGCATTAATTATAAGATGAGAATAAAAATTGTTTGATCATGGATTGTTGTAAAGATCAATGACGAGAGTATTGGTGCAAATTTTTATTACTCAGAAATAATAATTATTATTGTTTATCAATAGAGCTTAAAATTATTGCTACTGAACTAATAATAAACTTCGAGAAAAATATAACATGAATGAAATTTGGGGAAAAAATGGCTTAATATCATCTTCATCTGCGTAGGCATCATTTTGTATCTTTTCTTTATAATGTTTACTGTATAATATTATTTTACCCCATGTATGGCGCCATCATGTCTGTGGTAAGAGGGAAATAACTGGCACCCCAACATATTACGCTTATCGTCAGTACTGCTTGGCTTTTATCGATCACTCGTCGATCTCATTTGAAATACCGGAAAACAATGTATATGTATTTAAACAATCATTTTTACATTTCTATAAAATTATGAATATAACAGCAAATAGATTTATTATTAAGCCATGTGGGACATAACGGGTCCTTAGAATGATTCAGCTTCTTGAGAATTTTTTTTAATAAAAAATATGAGGATAATTTTTTATGATTTCGGTGAATAAGCCGATAGATGAACAGTCAAGACCAGAAGAAGAAAAAGAAGATGAACAAAAAATAACAAATCCATAGAGGCCTTTTTATTTAATTTATGTTTTAAAAGTTTACTCTTTTTTTTCTTCTTTTTTAAATACAAAAGGTTTTCACTGAAAAGTTGAAAGAGAATCTTTTTTTTCATTTAAAGTTGATTGATGTTATTTAAATGATGCATGAAAAATAGGTGCTGTGATATGATATTTACTACGAAGAATATGAAGTAAATTATTAATGTGTAATCCTAGTCATATTTCGAGAAGTAGAAATTTTTTTCTATTCCACTTTTAATATTAATCAGACTAGATTTTCCAGTCATGTTTTTAATCTTATTGACATAGTAGAGGGTAAAAAATGAAAAATATCCATTTATGATCATTAACTTAACTTTTTAAATATTATAATTAAATCCCTCGATTTAAATTCTACATTAAGAAGTCTTTTAATAGACTTTTTACGGTTGCCATGACGTAAAAATAAATGTTTCGATAATTAATTCATCATAACTCAAAAAGTTGTTGAACTCTACTCCAATTGTAGAGCAATATTATTCAAATGAGTTCACTTGTTCTATTTAACTCATAGTACCTTCAACCTTTTATCTAATGTTAAATTCAACAATTCATCTAGTTTTTAGAAAGAAAATTCCATTAATTGTGCTGTCTGTTTACTTTGTATTGTTCATTTTTACATGCTCATATACATAATTAGTCATATTGAGATAATAAAATTGCTAGAAAATATATTTAAAACTTCATATTTTTATGAAGTGTTTATTTAAAAAATAAATTGTTCAAAAATTTGATAAATGATGATTAGTTAATGAGAAATGATTACTAGAATAAACTATTTTTTATTTAACAAGTCTATCCTTGTAATCTTTGAATAGAAAAAATTCTGGATTACTTTCAATATCTATTGTGTACACAAAAGATTTCCATCTTGGATCGAAAAAAAAATATACTCAGAAAATTTTGAAGTATTTGACTTAATATAGTGAATCATTATACAAACAAATATTTTTCTTAATACTATTCAGATAAAGATATTTAGGAATTGAATAAATTTTTTTCTTGGTAATGTAAACATATCAGTAGATAGACAACCCTTAGAAAGTAAACCAAAGTTAAAACTTTAATGAAAATAACTTTTTTTAACTTTTAAATAGAAAGCTTTGATCATATATAACGATTTATTCAAGAGAGAATTTTCTTTTTTTATAAATGTTATTTTTAATTTCAGAAAGAAGCATTTAAAAAGTAATTTTGATTTCAAACGACGACTGAGCTGAGTAATGAATAAACAGTGTACATGCACAAATGCAATGGAGTCTCCTTCAAGTGATAACTCTGAACTAGTTAAATAAAATTTGGAAGACATTCAATCTTATATGATTGACGAGAAAATATCCAAGCACAAAAAGATAAGCTCAAAGACTGATATAAAATAATTAAGCATCAACATTTTATTTGAATAAAATTTATATAAAAATGGGCAAGTGTTGCAGTAAGAGACAAGAACCCCAACCTATTGGTAAGAATATCTAAATAAATATCATTTCTATAAAATAACAACTATTATATAAATTTTATTTTTTCTTTCAGTTTATAAAAAAGCTGAAGTTGCTTTAAGTTCAAAACACAGCAATGGAGGCTCTTTGGACAGATATACAGCTGATCCAAATCAAAGAGGAGTTCAAACTCGGGCTGATATTATTCGTCCAAGACCCACGCCTTGTAAGATACAGATACTTGATCAATCTCGTAAAACAAATTCACCTGTTATTTTATCAGCATGTGTGTATTATTTTATGTTGTTTTTTTTAATCATAATTTACAAAGTTTTTTTATCAATTTTCTTCTTTTAAAAATATACTAACATCACATTTATACAATTTTAACTTATAACTTCATATATATAACATGAAACAACTATAATTAATATTTATTTAATTATATTAATTATTCTTTTAAATATTTGCTATTTAATAAAACATTATTTTGTAATAGGATTATTAGTAGCTAAATAATAGTTATATATTTCCAAGTACTTTTACTTATGTCAAACAAATTCCACAATATTTGTGTATTTACATGGTTCTTTTTTTTTGTTAGCTCACTCACAAAGAGTAAATAAAATAGTTGTGGCGCTATATAATTATACTGCAAGAGAAAGCACAGACGTGAGCTTTGTAAAGGGTGATCGAATGGAAGTGTTAGACGATTCAGAAGCTGACTGGTGGCGAGTATTCCATTTAAGAACTCTTCAAGAAGGTCTTATACCATGGAACTTTGTAGCAGTTGAGCGTTCAGTTGAAAGTGAAGAGTAAGTGTTTCTTTTTGTTTGTTTCTATACATATTTTAAACCCATACCTTTTTCACCTTGCTATTTGTTTTCCGAGTGGTGAATAAATTAACTCATTGTTAATATATTACAGTTGGTTCTTCGAGAATGTTTCAAGAAAAGAAGCTGGTAAGCTACTACTCGTTGATGAAAATCCACGAGGTACATTTTTAGTAAGACCAAGTGAGCACAACCCTCGAGGTTACAGTTTGTCAGTAAAAGATTGGGAGGAAGGTCGAGGCCATCATGTAAAGCATTATAAAATAAAACCACTTGACAACGGTGGATTTTTTATCGCTACCAATCAAACTTTTCCAACTTTGCCAGCTCTTGTAATGGCCTACAGCAGTTAGTATTGATGAATTATTTATTAAATAACTTTTATTAAATTATATTGTTGTATAAAATAATGATGGTATTTATTTCTATGAAAATAATAGAAAATGCCCTCGGTTTATGTCATGTATTATCAAAACCATGCCCTAAACCACAACCTGACATGTGGGATCTTGGACCAGAATTACGTGACAAATGGGAAATAAATCGTAGTGAGATACAACTTATACGTAAACTCGGACATGGTAATTTTGGTGAAGTTTATTATGGAAAGTGGCGTAATCAAATAGAAGTTGCTGTTAAAACATTAAGACCAGGAACAATGTCGACCGAAGCATTTCTTCAGGAAGCTGCCATTATGAAACAATTTAGGCACAGGCATTTAGTTGCTTTGTACGCTGTTTGTTCCAAAGAAGAGCCTATTTACATTGTACAAGAGTACATGTGTAATGGAAGCCTATTAGACTTTTTAAGAACTGGTGATGGCAAGTATATGCAATTCGAAGATCTCATTTATATTGCTGCACAAGTTGCTTCTGGAATGGAACATTTGGAGAGTAAACAGCTTATTCATCGAGACTTGGCAGCAAGGAATGTACTTATTGGTGAAAAAAATAAAGCTAAAATCTGTGATTTCGGTTTGGCAAGGGTTATTGAAGATGATGAATATTGTCCGAAGCAAGGTAGTAGATTTCCAGTCAAATGGACTGCACCAGAAGCTATTGTTTATGGCAGATTTAGTATTAAAAGTGATGTTTGGTCTTACGGTATACTGCTCATGGAACTTTTTACATACGGTCAAGTTCCCTATCCAGGTACTTATGCTCATACAATATTTAATTATTCACTAGAATTGTTCTAATTGATATTATTTGTTATTGTCTAGGCATGCATGGCCGAGAAGTAATTGAACAAGTTGATAAAGGATATCGGATGCCTAAGCCAGCTAATCAACCATTACCAGATAGCATTTATCGCCTCATGTTACAATGTTGGGACGCTTGTCCCGAGAAGAGACCTACATTTGAATTTCTCAATCATTACTTTGAATCATTTAATGTAACAAGTGAAATACCATATTTAGAACCACCAACAGACTGATACACGGCTCATATGATGCAGGGTCATGCTGTACCGCATGGTCATTATCATCCGGCTCATTACAATTGTGCCATGGAATTTTATGGAATTTATTGTTGAAATCCATAATCAACGAAAAAGTTTTAAAACAAAAAAGGAAAAAAAAAACAAATTCCAATGTTAAATTATTTATGAGTGAGTATTTACTTTTTTTTTTCTTTTGTTTCTATAATTAAAAAAATCATTCCGAACACTGCCAGAATGTAGCCAGTAAACGGATTTATCATTTACAATCGATATTTAACTGCGTGCCATAAAATTTGATTAATTAGTTACGGAGAATTACAAATAAGGCATAATGTTTTTATTTTTTGTAAATTATTACGAAAAGTATAAAAATTTTATTAAATCTTAAACAATTAAGTAAATGCATTTGATCTTTTTTCAATAATAATTAAAATATTTCTGGAAAAAGAATTAAAAGACTTTTTTTGAGACTAAAAGGAGGAGTAAAAATTTATAAGTGGATCAAATTTTTTATCTTTTACAAAATTGTAGAAAAATAGTGTATTTAATAAAATATCAACTAAATTTTGTTCCTTGCAAAATGTTAACATTGTAGTGATTAATAATAATAAGAATGAAATAAGAACAATTGTTTATTAATTATAATAGAAACAAAGAAAAAATTATGACGATTAAAAATTCAATAGTTAAAATAAGTCTATAGCACAAATCAAGAGCTGAACCATGTCAGGCAATTTTACTAGTGATGCTTGCACATAATATGTGCAATTAAATATCCTAATGCAATCGTAAAATTAATTTATAAATAAATAATTATTTCTCAAACATTTGTTTATTGCTGTGATCCATTATTTTTATGAAAAAAAAAAATGAGTCAATACCTGAATATAATTATTCTGGTAATTTTATGCATTTACTTTTTTCTTTTGAATTTTATATTATTATAATAATTAATCGATTAACATAGTTTGTCATCATTCATTTGATACTATTATATTTATTTATAAAAATAAATGTAAGAATAATTTTTATTCAAATTAAAAGCAGTGTAGCCGTCGAACAAAATTTTTATAAAAAAAATATGTATTGAAAGATGACGAGTGTATGTTTTACTGAGTATGTGTGAACAATTTCGTAAAATTCATACTTATTGAGAACAAAAGTAATAATAATAACAATAATACTATTAATAATTATAATAATAACAACAAAAAAAAACAACAACAATAATAATTATTATTATTATTATAATTATAACATAACAATATACAGAGAAAATGCGAAAAAAATAATCTTAAGTCATCGATGTTACTCGTACAAAGTATTTGAAAAATAAAAGCCCTGTAAATTTTATACTTAAAAGTAAAAGACAGTAAATTAGTTTATATGTTGAAGTAAATAAGTCATCGTATGTGTAATTTTGAAATATTTATAAAGAATCACCGCCAGAAATTATATTAAATAGTTACGAAAAGCCAAAAAAGAAACAAATAAATTAATTGAATCTCAAAAGAATATGACGAAAAATTTATTTTATTGATTTCTAAGATAAGTGTTGAAACATATATATTACATCTGGACAGGATCCGTCGATATTAATGATCAACTTTAATAATAATGCTGATCTAGGGTAGATTATTAATACTAAAATATGATTGAATTGAAAAAGTAGTGTAGTCTGTACGTCCAATAGAATGTTTTCTAAGATTTTATACAACTAAAAAATTAATGTTACGTTATGATATTCGAGTAAAGTGAATATTCGAAATATGTTATTTATTTAAAACAATAACAACAGAGACAAATTAAAAGAATATCTTTTACTTGACCTTTCTACTGCCTATTCTCTACTGATGTCATTTTTTTAAACTATCTGCATTCCGTAGTCTTATAAATATATCTAAATATATTCAAGTAAATATAACACATATAAATATATTTTTTTCTCTTTACTTGCGTGCCAAGAGAAATAAATTAACGAGAAATTATATGCCTTGAGACCAACCTTTTCTCACTAGCTGCCATACACATTAGTGTAATTTATTATCAGTTATTGATTATTGATTGATATAACTATACATATTATTCATTGAATAGGATTTATAAATGTGCAGTTTTTCTTAAAAAAATAACGTTGATCTGTATTTCTGGTTTTAGATTAATGAATAAATATTCTGGAGTAATAAATAAATTACAAGAAAAAAAAATTTATCGTGGTACTTTGTATAAGAAAAGTTTCAACAAATCTGTGATATAGAAAACAGACCTCACGTTTTGATACCAAATTTTCAAAATGCTAAGTATCACGATATTATTATAAATAGAATCCTTTTGCAATGGTCATTGCATTACTATTAGTAACTGATATGTGTGATCACATGATAAAAACTCAATTGTTGATAAAAACTATATTTCAATTGTAACATTAAATATTAACATCCACAATACTATTAATTATCATGTAATAAACCATTTTTCAACTGAAAAAAAAAATCCGTATTTTATTCGTACATGGCTTTTGTCGAAACTTATATATCTGGCGGTATATTATTTAATTTAATATTAGATTCGAATATTTTATTGATATTAAATACTATCTATTATTTAAATACCAAAGCTTATTATCATTAAGTGATTTCATCATTATGTTGTATTATTGTATTATCATATTCAATCTATAAAGACAAATATATTGTGTATCATATAATGTCATTTATTTGTAAAAATTGAATTTTTTTTTTTTCAATACCTACTTATTAATTTTTTCTGGGTTTAATATTGAAAATTAATGAAAAAAAAATAAACTCATTTTAAATCAATATATTTACAAGAAAAGTTGTTCTATTTTTATCTAGATTAGAAACATTAAATGTCCCCATGACATTAAGTTTTTACTTAAAAATGATTTTTTATGGTACGATAATTAAAAAATAATATTTCTTTGGGGAATATGATCGAATGATATGAATAAAAAATTCTTATATGATATATTAATTTCAATATAATGAATAGTTTGTTTAAATTACTTTAACTGATATTGATTATAATTTAATATCTTTTTTTTTTTTGTATAAAAAATGAAAATTAGAAAAATTATATTGTAAATAATTTTATTTTTACTTCATAGTGTAATACAAAAATCTTTGAACAATGAGAATAAAATACCATTAAAAATAAAATAATGAACACGATGAAAATTTGTCCATAACACTGATTTTTAAGATTGAGTAATTATATACATAAGTACCATACTCTAGAATTGAGATTATAACATATGTTTACTATGTTAGTTGTGACATAATTTAAACATGTTTGAAGTAAATAACGAATAAAATAATTTTTTTTCATAAAACCATGTTAAGTTGGATTTATTTATGTTAATTATTTATAAAATATGTATTTCCATGTTGTGTTATTGTATTGAAATAATTTAATTTGTCATAAATTACGATGAAAACAAACATTCATAAAAACTATAATGAAAACTGCATGATTAGAATGATGATTGAACAGTTTATTATTAAACTATTAGTTAAAGAAAGAAATTAATTTTAATGTTTGTGGGTGTTGGATGAAAGTTAAATATACATCATTTCAGCCATGTGAGACATCTTCTTTGGAATATGAACGTATTCTTCAAAGTAACTAGCAAGCTCATCAATAGTAATATCACATGACGATGGAGGAGACATTCGAGCCTGAACAGAACACGTATTTGTGCTTGTGGATTGACCTGCATTTAATGTATTTTGTCCTTCATTAATATTAGAAGAACTACTATTACTACCTCCACCAGGTCCAGGTCCACGTTTCAAGCTTGGCATTGTATTACTTCTTGCTCGTTGAAAGCTGCTTGTTTGATAATTTTCAGGTAAATTGATATCATCTTTAACTTGTCTGGCTGAATCTTGATTTATATGCAATGCTTTGAAATCTTTCGTAACTGAACCATGACCAAAGGTTTTAGGATTTCTACTGGAGATGCTAAGTTTACATGCCTCTTGTAACAATGTACTAGCTAGTGAATTGCTAATACATGAAAAATTATTGTTGTTCAATTTTAAAACAGCCTCTTTTATTATAGGATTTTTCATCGTTTGTTGTAAAGGTACTTTATCATTTTTGGATGGTTTAAAATTCGTTGTACACTTTACGCCTCGTGGACTTATAAAATTAGGTAATGGACGATTAGGCATTGATTTTCTTCTAAATAAATAACTTGTATCAGTTGTTGTAGTTTTTCCATTTGATCGAAATGGATTGGTTGTTGATTCATCGCTGCTATTACTACTAAAAAAGAATTAAATATTATCATTGATGTACAAAATAATTACTTAGTACTAATTAGTAGTTTTTTAAATTGTTAAGTATAAGAAAATAGGTTCACAATTGGGTTAGTTAATCAATTAAGATTTTTTCTGTCTAAATTTGAAAAAATATTAAAGGTAAACATAAAAATAAATAAAATGAAATAGGTGATGTTGCAAGATAAGTGTTATAAGGTAATATATAAATAGAAATATGTAAAATTTGATGAATTATAAAATAGAGATTAAAAATACTCACTGCAGACAATTAATAGATAAACGATCAATCTCAAGTTTTTGTAAACTGGCCGGCAGTAATTCGTCTGCCATGCTTACAATTTTTTCTGGTTTAATATTCAGAGTTTGTGGAAACATGGCATCTTGACGTAACAATGTTGACAAACAAAGATTGACAATAGTTGGAAGTTTCGAGAAATCGTCCTTACTAAATAGGTTATAGCGTTGAGGATGAAGGTAGAAATGTAAATATATCAACTGTTTAGTGGCACAATATTATACTTTGGTGAATAAATAACACTTATATAAATAATATTACGTTGTAAAACTAATTAAAATGTTGTAATATAATTGAGAATTATTATGAATCTTTTATTTCACACCTGATATTTTTTTTTTTTCGATAGTTGTAATTAGTCGTAGTATTTTCGACTCCAAAGTATTAACTATACTCGAAATCAATTTACATATATATGCATAATCAAAGATACGTAAATAAACAGACAACTGCGCACAACGCCATTTTACTTGTTGTGTACGTGATGTACTTATATGTATGAATGAATGACTAATATTTGTCATCGTCTATGTGACGACATCAAAATGAATAAATACTAGTTTTCAAGAACTTCATTCAATATCTACTATTTTTTTATTACTGCCAATTTTAGTGTATGAAAATGAAATATATTGATAAAATATGTATTAATATAATAAGTTCGATTAAATATATCTTTTACGCTTTTTGTTATAAATAATTTATTTAAAAAAATAATAAATAATAACAATTTTCATGAAATAAATCGCCATTACCGATTACTACACCATCTACTAAATAGGTCATAAACTTCACTCTATTATTATTATTATTATTATTATTATTATTATAGAGGGCATGATTATCTTAATCTCTTCACATAATTAGGAATTTGGTTTATCTTCAACACATTGTTACATTTTGAAGGTTAAAATGACGAAAATACATAAATCTCATTATTTTAGCAAAATATTTTAATTAATTTGTAATTATTCACAAAAAGAAATTAATTTTTTTTTTCTTGAAATCACCAAAAACATATTGTGAGTGAATTTTCCAGAAAAATCTTTTTATAAAATATTTATAATTCGCGCCATTGTTGTGGATTTCAAAATAATATTGTAGCGCCACCTGTCGGATTTATCAGTAATGACAACATTCTCAAAATTAAACATGTGCGAAATGCCATCTATGTAGATGATTTGAATACTTCATGACAATTCTTCGAATGAATTGGCAGCCATTTTTAAACCGCTCACCTGCTGTAAGTGTAGAAAAAAACATGGACGGTGAAAATCTCTGATCGACAATCACGTAAACTGCAGAGTCTAAATGGCTGATATTTGACCGAATAAACGCATTAAAATAATTAAAAAATAATCAAGTGAAACAGTGCTTAAAAATAAAACATTAATAATAAAAAAAAATTAACAGAAAGGGTAACAACCTCAAGAAAAAGAACAAGACAACGAGTTAGTGAGAGCGTATTGCTGAGGTGCTGTGCATTTATACTGGAATAAATCATATATATGTACATGTATATCTACATATAGATATTCTGTCAAAATATTTTTGAAATAGTGAAAATGAGAAATATTTGTAATAGAATTGCTGAAAACTCAAGATAACTGTGATTAAACATTGATTTAATTTTTTATAACCAACTGTAATATATATCAGGTACATAATATAATTTTGATCAGAATAGCAACAACAGAGGAGTAGCAGGAGCATCATTGTCATAATTGTCACCATTACCATTATCATCATTATCATTATTATCATCAACATTATTATTGTCAATATATTCATCAAAATAGTTGGGAACAATAAAAAATGTCAATTCTACGATGTATGAGAGAGAGAAAGATAGAGTTCGAGGCTGACAAATGTTAAGTTTCGTCAATTATGGCAGATAATGTGCACAGAAAATCGCACAAACATTTGGATGGAAATAGAAAAATATCAACTCCAATTAATCGTACAACAACGGAGACAATGAGGCTCGAAGAGCCAGACAGAACACACCCGGCGTTAGGTCTGTCTGTGCCTAGTAACATTACGCCAGCTAATCAATGTAAGAAGAAAACATCATCATTTCAAATTACCAGTGTTACAGTTGGCAGTCGGATGAGTAATGATACGGGTGAAGATTCTAATGATGATCTTGATGAATCACACGGTGAAGACACTTCAGTTGAACTTTCCAGAATTACAGATATTGAAACACCAAGCTATTCTGAAGATACATTTTCAAAGGATGATGTATTTTTTAATGCAAGTAATGCTGCACTTAGCACTGCACCTGTGATACCTACCAGTTCACAGTATGGATTAGCCATTGTACCATCTGAAAGTGGTAATGTTAATAACTCAACTAATAACAGCAATATTAATACTTTAGATATCGCATCTGTAACTGATAATAACATTATCAATTTGTTATCGAGTAATGCCAAACAAGACACTGATATTCGAGAGGTACACTCACATGGAAGAAATGAAAGATTTAAAGTTGTTAAAATTGAAAGTACAGAACCTTTTAAAAGAGGAAGATGGACGTGTATGGACTATCTTGATCATACTTCTGTTAATCATTCAAATACTATTGGTACACCTAAAATTCCAGACCCTAATGAAGTTTGTATATCATATGGTGTAGCTGACGGTGGAATTATAGCTCTAGACTCAACCAAATCTTCGACAATAACTGAAGATCAAGGAATCTCTGTTGATATGAATGGACATGCAACTCACCAAGATATTCATGGTTCATTAGCAATTTCCAATGCTTCAACGACTGGGTATCAAGCTAATAAACAAATATCACATAATGTACAATGTAATGCTACGTCAGTCCAAACTTCACCACAAGTTCAACGGACTACTCAAATACCATCTCAATACTTTTCATCCTCAACACCGCAATCTCAACAATTGACTTCGCAACAGCAGCAGCAGCAGCAAACAAATGAACAACAACCACATCAAAGTGACAAACTACATCAAAATGAACAATCACAGCAAACAAGTGAACAAAGTCAACATCAGTCAAGTGGACAACAAAAATGTGATCAACAACAATCAAATGTGCAACAAAAATGTGACCCGCAACAACAATCTAATGGACAATCACAGTCTAATATGTTACAATGTGATCCTCAACAGCAACAACAGTCAAGTGGTCAACAACAGCAACCTAACAATCAACAAGGATCAACGTTACCAACAAATTTGCAAAATGTACATCCTAATAATAATTTAGGACAAACACAAAGTATGCCTCAAGGTTCTATTCCTATTATTACTCAGACTAATAATAACAATGTGACGCCACAACAAAGTATATGTCATGCAAAAGAAGATGCTTATGTGACGTCAAATTCACAAAATCAATCTATACCAAGTCAAAACATATGTCAATCAAATACATCTGCTTCACAAGCAAATGTTATTACAGCATCACATCAATCTCAATCTCAGCAGCAACAGCAGCAGCAGCAGCAGCAGCAACAACAACAACAACAGACATTAACAACCCGAAATTCAATGACACAAGTATCTGAATCAATGAGTACTATACAGGGCATGCAAGGTATGCAAAATATCCATCAAAGCCAGCCTCAACAAGTTAATACTCAACAATCAGGGCCAATTCAAGGTCCACTAGTTTCGGGTCAAGTATTAACATCAACATCGATGCAACCTCAAACAGGTGGTGCAAATACCCAGGTGCAGTTACCCCAAGTTTCGGCTAATTGTCAGAATGTTATTAGTGCAATCCAGCAGGGCAACATGGGCTTTCAACAATCCGATACAGAGCAGGACTCAATGTCGGGATCTGGAACAGCCGGTAGCAGTCAATTAGCGGATGCTGCACTTCTTGAGTGCCTCGTGGAGGTAACACAATCCAACGATGATCATCACGCACTCGAAGACAATGAAAGGTTTGTCGTAGTTATTTAATCAAGTTGATAGAATAATATGATGTTTTATACTGTTGAAAATAATCTTAATATACGTATGATTTAGTATGTCCGGGACAAGTGCAGTAGCTATTGATAATAAGATTGAACAAGCGATGGTGAGTAGATTTATTTTAATTATATGATTAAAAAAGTATTATATATAAATATGTTACTCATGCTCATCTTTTTATTGTAGGATTTAGTGAAGAGTCACCTGATGTTTGCTGTAAGAGAAGAAGTAGAAGTATTGAAAGAAAAAATTGCTGAATTAATGGACCGTATAAATCAGCTTGAGGCTGAGAATATGATTTTAAAGGCGCACGCGACTGCGGAAACGTTAGCACAATTGAGCCAATCGTCAACCAAATTACCCCAAAATAATTCAGGAAGTGGTCAGTAGGTAATCGGTGTATATAAGTTTCTATCAATATTTCATCACATAATGAATAATATAATTATTGTATATAACTTTGCGATTTTTAGAAATTTATAAATAATGAGATTTATTATATTATTATACATATAAGTATTAGAAAACACAGAACTCAATGGTTTCTTTTTTTTTTCTAAGTAAATTAAAAATAATTAATTATTTTTTACTATTTCAGTTTATTAAATTTAGATAATATAACTTTGCGTTTTAAATATTTACGGCCCGAATGATTTCTTTTAAAACAAAAATAAAAAATTAATGATAATAAAAAATAAACACAGAAATTTTTACTACAGGTTCGTGAATAAAAAATTCATACACCAACTAAGTCACATATATAACATATTTTTTTTTTTTTGTATTTTTTGTGTATGATTAATAAATTTTTTCAATGCATGTTGAATAATGAATAAAAAGCAAACAAATAAAAATAAACAAAAAAAAAAGAAGAAATTAAATAAATGGAATGCATATCTTATAACAATATAAATAGGCAGCCAATCAGCCTTAAATTATTTTCAATATATATAAATAAATTTATATATATTGTCAAATTTATTATTATAAGTGTTAAATAGTCACGTTTTTTTTTTTTTTTATTTGAAATGACGTGTAATAATATTAAAGTACGATAAATTCAGATTAAAACAAAATAATTGACATTTTAAGACTAAAATATTCAACCGGTTATTATATTCAATTAATTTTTACTTTTTATCTTATTCTAAATAAGATACATGTTTAATAAAAAAAGTTTTTTCATTGCATGTATTGAGAAAACTATTAATTTTCACTAGATACATTCTTGAAATGAAATAACATGCGACGTAATACAAAATATTGTACGACATATTTTGATCATTTATTAATGTTCATTTATTTTCTATTTGCGATATTCGAACGATATCATCCGCTTGTATATCCGATAGTAAAAGTTGTAAATACATATTCTAACAATATTCTATAACTAAAACGGACGAAAGTAATACAAAAGCACACGCGTGTGACCACATGAGAGTTATTTTTTTTTTTTTGACAATTTTTTATTTGGGTCACTATAGAGGCTAAATATGACACTTTAACATAAAACATCTTATTACAATGAAGACCACTTCATAATAATTGCAAACATAATTCATAATTACACCTTATAAATTTATAAATTTTATAAATTTCTGGTTTATTATATTTTTTTATTATTATTTTTTTTTTTTTTTTAATTTGATTTATTCAAGATTTTTTTTTTTATCTTCTTAAAAAGAAAAAGAAAAATAACAACATATATAACTTCTTACTTTATCCCTTAATATCATTATGAATAATTCAAATTGGTATTGGGTCATCCACGCGAGTGATCTTGGGCATTGAAAAGTCATGTGATCATCATGAAAATGCTTCATACAAATCCAAAATTTTTAGTTTTTATAGCAAGCAATAATTTGTGACGCAACACGTGACGAGAGCTGTACAGTGGAACATATAAGCGAGAGATACATGTATTTGCTGTTGGTAGATGAGCATCATCTGCTGGTCGAATTGTAACTGTTGGCATTGGTTGGAAACCATCTTCACTTGCTGGTAATGCTGGTGATCCTGTCCAGAAGTAAACCTAGAATACCAGATATTGCATTAATTACTTATAAAAATGATATAAATATGAATAAATTATTTTGTAAATATGTTATACCAAATCTTGTCGTTCTACATGAGACATTTTTTCAACAATTGACCACAACCATCTTTTGAATTTTACAAGTCTCTCCATTGATTCTCCTGATTCATCATTAAATGACGTATATGAAATAAGAACTGAGACATTGATGTCTCCAACTCCATTAAGAAGTAATCTTAAATCTTCAGATGTTAAACCGTCTAAGGCTCCTTCAGGAAGTACATCAAATACACCTTCTCTCATAGCTTCTAATGCTTTTTCCTGTACTTTAATCATACGAACTTCTGCGTATCGACGTACATAATCATAAACATTGCTGGCAGTTACTTCTATATCACGACCATTAGTCACAAGATCAATAGAACCACCACCTTCTTCAGGACATAGGTCAATACTAAAATAAGATAAATGTATATGTTATATAAATTTAAGTATAAAATAAATATTAATAATTATAAATAGCTTTTAAATGATTAAATACCTAAAGTTAAGATCCAAAGCTGAAAATAAACTGTTGCTATCTTTTGTTTCGGCATCGACAACCAATTGTCGTAAACTCTCGTAGATAACAGAATCAAAAAATGCTAAATCGTGAAAACGTATTGGTCTTGATAATATATATTTAATAACGTGACGATTTAAAAATATCGGACACAATTCATTTTGCAGTAGACATAATCCTATAAGTCTGTAAATAAAAAAAAATTTTTTATTTAATAAAAATTAAATATTTAAGTGAATTATTTTTTTTAATAAATAAATAAAACATTTATCTTACCTGCCAACATTTCTGAATGCATTGAGCCGTTCGTAACTTGCTCTTCCTTGTCTTGGTGAATAAAATCCACGTTTACCCGGACAATAAAATAATGGAGCATTATCTTCTGTATCATCTAAAATGCTATTATCTATTTTCTTTTTATTAGTACCACAACGTTCAGTCAAACTGAATACATCAAGATCAAGCAGAGCTTCGCTTGCTAAATCTTGATTGTGGCTATGTATTAATTCATACGCTTCATCGACTTTTTGTTGAAGTGCTTCTTCTGAAGCTAATAACATAAGTAATTGAGCTGGTGATAATTCAAGTAACATTCCAGTTATTTTTTCAGCTAAAGTTGGTCTTAATGCATGCACTTTTGGATATAATCGATCTCCTAAATTTTGTTGATGATGTGTTAAATGATCATTATACACATGAGCGACTGGCATAGAATTGCCACTTGAAGATGATCCTCCTGCACTGGAACCACCAGCTCCTTCCGTTGAGAATGTTGGATGGAAAGAACGAGCCTCAAAAGATAGTCCTCGACGAGTATCTCTATATTTTCCAGATGACCTTGGATTCTAACATAAAATTATTTTATTTAATAAATATTCTCATTTAATAATTACATTTTAATTTAATATCTTTTATTAATAAAAAATTACCTGTCTTCGTAAATGAGGATCTCTATCTCGACTTTTTAATTTTTGCAATACATTATATTGTGAATATTTAGATCCAACTTGTGCGGCTTCCAGATTAGGCAATTTGTCATTTGCTAATAGGGCTTCAGCAATTGCCGTATAGAAACTTCTAGCAACACCAGAACCTTCTCCTGGTTCATCTTTAAAAGTAACTTTGACACGATTAACGGCTAATGGTGGAGTATTTGATGCCCGTCTATTGTACAAATTGTATTGTGTATTCAATTCTTTCATTGTTTGAACTAATAATTGCGTTCTATCACGTTCAACCTAGATAAAAAAAAAAGGAAAAGAAGAAGGAAAAGAGGAGAGGATTAAAAAATAAAAATTTATTAATAAATTTATTGAATTGTAAATTAAATCATATAGAACAATTCTTACTTTAAATAAAGTGATGTCTTTTTGTTGTGAATTTCTCAATTTTTCCATATCTCGACGAAACTTTGATTCTTTAACTTGGAAACCACCAAGTTCAGAAACAACTGATCCAGCTTCAAGTCCCACATCTTCCATAAATACACGTCCAAATAGATCCAATGATAATCTCCAGCGGCCTAATAGAATATTATGTGAAATATTTGTTCCAATAGTTGATACAGCCCGAGCTGATTCAACTGGACTTGTTTCAACTGTTTCGTGTGCTGATATTTCTTGACTAGTTACCGTTGGATCAACATCTTCGACACTATTTTGGGCTTCAACAGTTGGTATTACTAACACTTCAGACACATTAACTTTATTATCTGACACTGTTCCAGCTCTAACTATAACACTTCTACCCGTTTTACAAACTTCTTTTGCTTTAACATTTCCATTATCAGTCTGACTATTGGGTGACACAATAATTGGTGCTCTATCAATTTGTTCAGTAACCATATGAGCTTGATTATCATTTGCTTGATTGAATATTTTCGTTTTTTCTACTTGTTTGCTACTTCCTGGTTCATTTGATAACATCGAACTACGTCTAATTTCCATAGGCATTGAAGAATTATTTACGTTACTGACATTAGCATTAGTGTTGTTTATGGTAATGGTGGTAATACTGATGTTGTTGCTGTTGTTACTATTACTACTGCTGTTGTTATTAACTCCACTGGGAACTTGAATTACCTGACTAAAAGTAGGAGTAACTGATGATCCTGTTCTATCAGCGCTACGTGCTGATAAACCAAGTTTTGTTGGTAATCCTTCAAATGGATTTTGATTTACTCCTGAGTTATTTGATTGTCGTGGTACTCCAAAAAGATCTTCTCGTCTAGAATGTGGCTGTAATAAATGCGGTTGATCAGCTAAAGGTAATGCTTCACTAATATTTGTGTCAAAAGGATCTAATGGTGGACATCCAAGACAAAGTGTAGAATCTGATCTCTGTAAGAAAGGATGTTTTCGGCCTTTCCCAATTGTAACATTAGTATGTCCAGAACTACAGACTGGAACTTGAAGTAAATCTGGATAGTCGACTGAATCTGTTTCCATTGCTGGTGCGGCTGGTAAAATATCTTCATCACCTTCATCATTATCATTCTCATCCTAAAAATAATAATAATTTTAATTATTTATATTATCACAATATTAGTCTTACTTTTGATAATTATTAAAATATTAAATAATTACCTGATCATTCCAAGACGGATAAATATTGGATTCTTTTTGATTGTCTCCACGAGCGCCAAGAGGTTCATGTAATGATCGCATATAGTAAGCCAGAGCATCAAAAACGTAAGCCACGTGTCGCAAAGCTGATACATCAAGTACTGGAAGGCTATCTCTGTGTTCTCCATTATGAGCTCGCATCAATGATAAGCAGTATGACAGAAATTCTCGCCTTGCCCAATGTGCATCACCACCTGAAAACAAATAAATTTTTCAAATTTTAATCAAATTAATTATAAATTCTATTATATGACATTGGGTGGTGTATAAGTAATTTCGTTTTTTTCAATAAGGAATCACAAAAAATATAAGCAATTAAACCTTCGCGTTCTCGGCTGCCTCTTGGCGCTTCACCGACTCCTGTAAAACCAACGGTGACTCGCATTGAACCTTGTGTTGGTTGAGGATTAGAATTAGCAGCAATACCACCGCGTTGATTCCGACCTACACTACCCTGTAAGGTTAATGAAAGGGCTGCGGAATTTAATAGTCCTGTAAAATTACCGCCTGCAAGTGAGGGCGCATTATTAAGAGGATGTTCAGGATGAGTTGGATCAGCACTTCGTGTTAAAGAAACACCAAATCGTAGTTGAGCTTCAGTTGCATCCATCACCACCAGTAACCAGTCCCAAGTTGGTTTCAAATGGCCCTCAAGATACATCTTTAATAACAATGATTTAATTAATAACTATTGTATAATTTGAATAGAATTTTATTCAAAAAAGAAGGTTAATAAAAATAAAAATTACCTGTAGATGAATAGCATCTTGATTTGTGACATCCATCAACCGTGGCAAAGCTGGTGCATTGTTTTTATAATTAGGAACAATCGTTAGTAAATCGGCAATCATTCGGATGACAATACCAAAAGCACGTGCTAAACAACTTGCCGTTGTTCCCATTGTAATAGGCTCTTGTGGTGCAGCTACCGCAGAGGTCGTCGTAGATCGTCTAAGTGATGAAGGGTCAATAAATATCATGTTACTACCACCACCACCGCCACTGACTCTAGATCCTGTCGTTCTTGTATTTGTTTCGCGATTATTTCTTATAGCCCATTGCATTGACATTGGAGCGAGATTATTGCGTGGTAAATTTCCAGTTGAACCGCTTCTACGTTCTAAATGTTCATCGCCTATTTGAAATTCTTCCGTATCTTGTTCATCAGTTTCACCTGCTTCACTCTCATCATCCTCTTGTTGACTTGATTCTCCAGATTCATCTTCAGGAAATAGCACAATAGAACCCATACCACCATCAGATCCAGCAGTAGCACCAGTTTGGACACTTCTTTGAGCTGACGCAGTATCTTGATTACTGTGATTATCATCAGAATCTGATTCAGTTTCAGCTTCAGCCAATAAGTCAAGTTCAGTATCAGATTCACCATCTCCTGCTTGCTCTTCACCTACACCACCTGCATTACTTCCTGCCTCACTCAAGGGTTGATTAGGTGGAACACCTGGTATTCCTGGTAATCCAGAATCTTCATGTTCACTAATATCACCATCTAAATCCATGGGCACTTCTTCACCATTCTCAGTTTCATCCATTGCTGTAGCATCTCGAGAAATGGTTATATTATTATTACCTTGTGGTTGTTGAAGTGTTGCATCTAATGATTGTACATTAACTCCACTATGAGGAATCAATGGATCAATTGAAAATAATTCTTCAGATCCATTAATAACTTCCATTGTTGAACTAGTTAATGTAAATGGAGCAGTTGGTCTAGCAACACCCAATCTTACAGGAACAATTAAAGAATCAGCAGTTTCACAGAGTTCTTCAACAGCAAGTTTTATCAATGCTCTAAATACACGACGACATTTCATCAAAGGTGGAGTAGCTTGACTAACATTTCTTCGATTTTTAGCAGTATTAGGTGCCATTTCAATTGTAAATATTACAAATATTCGTGCAACTGATCGTACAAATCGTCGCGCAACTAAATTAGCTTCTTCTTGACGTCCTGGTATTGTTTCATTTTCCAATTCTCTGATAAGTGTGGTTAATAATGTATCTAACATTTCTGATGTACACTTGACCAATAATGTATGGGTAAATTTATCCAGTAGAGCAGTACCATTTTGACGTGCTGATTGTGCGATATCACTAAATAATTGATCATTCACATTCTCATTAACTCCAGTCATTATCATACATTGTACTGCCGGCCAATCATTAAGTAATCGTTCGAATGCTCTTCGACAAAATCGAGGTGGCTCTAAATCATGATCGGGCATATTTGATTCAGTACCAAGCCCATCCGATGATGGAGTTTTACGACTTGCTGATGCAGAGCGTTGTCTTGGAGCTGAACGGAATTGTCGTTGTTCAACAGACTGTCGTCCAACGGTTTGCACCAAAAAGAGTAATATACATTCACCACGTGAATTTATTTTAGTTGCTAAATCAGTATTAGTAACAAGTCGACAAAGTAAATCATAACGTGCACCTTGATGTCCAGCTATCAAGGCACGACACTTGCATTTTTCCCAACAATCACAATAAGCTGTTGGTGATGTTTTCTTTAATTTGCAGTCATGTCCACGATGACAAACACGAGCACATTCAGTGCAACAGCAGAGAGATCCAGTTAGTCCACAGGTACGGCATTCAAAAATATCTTGATTAATATGATCTTCGCCAGTCCAGGTAAAGCTGCACGTGTCATTACAGCAGGTAACAAAAAGTGGTGATAAATCAGGACTCACGTCAGGTGGTAGAATCATGCTTGAGTATGCTTTAGGATCCTTTTCAATACGTTGAATAGTATCTAAAAGAATTAAAGCTGCATGATAAGCACGCACTGATACGGCTAACATTAATGGTGTTTGTCCTTGAGCATCTTTTGCCATCAGTAATTCTTTGAGATGTGGAGCAAGTACAGTACTTTCACACATATATTTAAGTATTAAAAGTGCATTGTTTCTACGTTCGGATGAGTCAGTTATATAAGTATTATTATTACTAGGATTAGATCCAGCTCCAGTTTTATTCATCATTGAAATACTTGCTGCTCCAATACTTAAAAGACTATCTTCTTCACCTGATGTATTATCAAGCTCTGGTGGCCAACTAAGTGGTGGAATTGGCTCTTCAATTGGTGTTGAATTTCCATCCACCGTACATGTCACTAATTCACGTTCTACACTTTGTTCATTATCTTTATTTGATGTAGGAGCACACATATTTACGCAGGCATGAAAAATATGACGATTGCCATCACAACGTTCTTGTAAAATTGACTGAATTTGTATGTTATTACTTTTACTATCATGTTCAAGACTCATTAAAACTTGCTTAACTCCTTCATAATCACATCTAAGAATACGTGGCATTAAAATAAGATTATCAAATACTAATGCGATTACAGCAACTTGATTTTTTAAATTAGTTGAATTTTGACAATTAAGAATTGGAATCGTTGATGCACCAATACAAACAACTGGGACAAGATCTAACCAATTTGGATCGTGTATTGATTCTGCGCAATCTTTAGCTATTGGATAAATTGTGTTGTTTCCATCACGAAGAATCATTGAACATTCGGTATTTTCACCAGCACTAGTAAGACTTATATTTTGTGATTGTAATCCAAGAAATGATGTTATGTCAGATGGTAAAAAGCAATCTTGGACATATCTACCAGTACTCAAATTATAAACAACATAACTCAATTTATTACCATTCTTAACAATAGCATGAATACCTTGTCCATCTGTAGATACTGTGAGTAAACTTTCATTCGTGCCATCAGCAATGTTTACTCTACGTGGTGTTCGTTGGAAACAATCAGGTGCTCTAGAATTTACAGATGATTTGACAACTTGAAGTTCATCTTTTCTCAACAATCTACAATCAGTAAGTAATTTAATTAATTCTTCAGCTGTCAAGTCTTTAAAATCAGCTGTACTAAAATCTTTTTCTTTGCTTTCTCGTTCTTTTTCCTTGAAATCTTTTGAAAAGAATTTCACAGCTACATAGCAACCATCAACTTTAATAACTTTTCCAATAGGAACAGTTTTAACATCATCAACAAATACTACATCCTTAAGTTGCCACTCTTCTTCATCTTTTCGCTCAGTTTCACATTCATTTCTTGGTGCCATTCGTTTTTGACGTTTGTGACTTGTAGTAATACTACCAGTATCACTACAAGTACTAGAAGCTGGTGATGGTGGTGGTGGCATATCAAGTCTATCAGCTGTTTCTTTATAACTATTTTTATTTGTATTATTAGAATTTCCATTGCAATTAGGTTCACTTTTCACATTTGGTAATGATCCTGCCGGTAAGATCTTAAAACGGCCTACCGCATCTAAATTCCATGCTGCACTTAGTAATTGCCCTACCTTTGGTACTCCATTGGCTATTGTAAATCCAATCGCTCCTGGTTGATAAATTGGACTATTTTTCATACACACATGAGTACCATAACTGATATCAGATGGGACAACAGCCAATGGTCGGTGTTTGCGTGATTTTGCTTTGTATTTTTCCCATAATTTTTTTCTTTGTGCAAATGGTAATACTCCCCACCAATAAAGAGTCCCACTCTCGAGCTTGGCAACTGTATAAAGTGCGCACGTGTGAAGTGATACTATTTTATCAAGTGTAAATTCAGTAAAAGCTTGAGCTGGATGCTCAAGACGCGATGCAACATGACTTAAAAGTTCATCAAGCCAAGTGGCAACTTTACCACTTTCTGTACTTACTGTACAACGAATGGCAGTAGCTGAAATATTAACTATTTTTTCACCCACTAGAGCTAATGGGATTGTTTTTGGATGATGAATATTTGGATTATCCACATTTCTGTAAGGCTCTGAATCAGCCCATCTCCATTGATAAAGTTGTCCCGTTGTTGAAATAGCGATGAGTTCACTATAAAGAGCAGCAATTTGCACAAATCGCGGAGCCGGCTCACCACTTCTCTCATGCCACCACTCAAGTTCTTCCGATATCCATAAAGGACTTTGTGATGCAAGTTCTTTTTTCTTATTTTCTGGATCTTTTTCCCAACAATCCTTTAGTGCTGTTTCTAACCATCTACGTGGTCCATAATATTGACGATCACGCCATCGGCTAAAACTATCACGATCGCGATCACGTTCTGTTGATCGTTCACCTTCACGGTCAATACCCAATCTTCGTGATGAATTTCCACGATTACGCACTACACCATAGCTAAACATATCTTCCGAGAACATTGCTTCTGCATCAATTATAACAGATGATTGATCATTGCTGAATCCACCATCTAATAATGATATAAGATCATCCGGTACATAACTGTCAGCTGCATCTTCAGCGTCGTCACCCTCTTCATCATCACGTGACAAAAGGTTATTTACTGCTAAATTAACATCTAGATTGGTACGTTGTAATTCTCGTATTATAAGATTTCGACTTTTTCCTTGTAAAACCACTTGAGCTTGAGAAATAAGATCTTCCGGAACAAATTGAGCCGGCACTGATACAATAGGTCGTGAACTCCCGCTACTACCGCCTCCCATTATTACACCTGGAGGACCAATTCTACTATTACCGCCACTTCCACTTCCGCCACCACCACCTCCTCGTATTGCTGAACTACTACGCATTATTCTTGCTCTTGATCGTGATATATTGGTACGACTTCCGCCACCTCCTGTACCACTTCCACTTGGTGTTGAATTTGAATTTCCAACGTGGCTTTTATTAGTGCTGTAAAAATATTTTATATATCACTCATAGATATTAATAATACTAAAAATCATTACATGTACATAATTACTAATAATCTAAAATCATTCATTATTAGTCTATTTATTGAAATTTTTACGTACTTTCTGTTAGGTTCATTTTTGCTTAAATCCAGTCTATCGGAGAGTACAGTGAATGCAACTCGACAGATTCTGTTGTCATCCATAAGAAGCGCAATGTGAGATGGACCAACTACAATGCGTCTTACAGATGCTTTAAGTCCACTAAATGCTGGTGGTGTTACAAATCCATATCTATTAATTTTCTCCGCCACTTCCTTAAGTCTGTAATATAAAAAATAATCAATGCATTTAAATACCATGAATTTTACATTATAAATTAAAATTTCATTGTGTCTAATTAATTTACTCCAATTATCATACCAAATCTATTTTCTTTAGCATTAACTTTACTGCTCTTATCAATTATAAAATTATAACAAATGTCTTTTTTATATTCTTAAATGTCATTTTTAAAAAATACACACTTAAATATCATTATTGTTTATAATAAAATTTTGACAATATGTTATCACATGCATTGTTCTAAAATACAATAGAGATCTACACTTCGTAATGAAGAATATTAGGATGAAAATGAAATAAGATGATGAAATGGATATTTTTCAAAAAAAAAAAAGATGTATTTGTACAAAAAATTTATTGACATGTCATAATGATAAGAGAAAGGTAGATGAAATACAAAAAGTAACTATTGCAAAAAATATGGTTAGAATAAATGTGATATCAAATGACCCACAATATAATTATATAGAACAAAGAGGTGGGGAATCAATGTTAAATCGTAGTCAATAGGTAAGAAAAATGAGTACTATTATTAAATAATTTAATGTTTTTTTTTAGAAAAGTGAAAATTCAATAATTGAATATTGCACATATTAATATTTGACAATGATTTCATATGTCATTAGGTAGTAGGGTCAAATGAATTCATTGCATCACTGATCGATGGTGAAAAATGGTAAGAACCTCGTGATTAGAAGATGCAAAAATAAAAAATGATATTAAAATTACAAACAATAAATTATAATAGATGGAAATGAGTAGTAATAATGGGTGTATGAAATACGACAAGTCTTGAATAGAACGTTAAAAAAACGAATTAAAGTCGAAAGGCATGCAGGGGAATATGTTAAGCAAAAGAAAAAAACGGAAAGCCTTTTGATAACTTATTTGCAAATAACTTACCTATCATTTAGCTGTTCATCCGTGCCTGGTAATGGATGTACAACGAAATGAATCGACGTCATTTTTAGTTGTTTATAACACTTTTATACAAATCTGAAATGTCTCCTTAATATTTCCTTACGCAAAATTTTACTACAACAGAAGACCGATAATCAGCCATGTTTCAGAAGAACTATCTAGTTGCGTGTTCACAAAAGCCAAAAATGGCGGCCAATATTCATTACCGCGTTCCTAAAACTATCGATCGTGGTTAGCATGCGCATAAAACAACACACATATGTAGCTGCTGAATTTACGACAGTGCTGCCACTTTGTTTGTTTTTACCGTTTTTGCTATTTTGTTGTGACATTTTAAAATTATGTTTATAAATAATTTCTCCAATAAACAATTTATTATTTATATATATATTTTATATCGATATTTATTTATATTAATTACTATTTTTCAATCTCAATAATATAAAACACAATTCTCATTAGTTGTTTTTTAATCAGTATCAACCAATCAAATGGCTAAAACACGTATTGAGAAAATCACATGTATGTGTACATAATGCGAATGTCTTTTTCTATTTACAAATGTCACAGAACTCACACGATGTTTATACGCAATACATACATTAATTCTTTAAACGTAGTTGATTCGCATGTGCAGAATTTTGGTTATAATGTCGCCTTAACCTTATGTTTTTCACTATAATTTCACTATTATAAATAAACCGTTATTAAATGAACAAAAATGAAAGAATTATAGTACTTCTTTACCATTTTTGATACGTACATTTTTTATACACAACAATTATTTACGAATGTTTTTAAATTTATTCATGATTCAAACGTACTATTTTTTAAATTTAAAAATATTGGTAAGTAACAATGAAAAGAAGAAAAAAAATACAGTATTATTTTTTATAAACAAACGATGAATATCAATGAATCATAAATTCACTTGAAACTTAAAATAATACTATGTATTCTTTTTATATAATTTTATTTAATTTTTTTTTTATTTTTGCACAGATTTTTGAACTTGAAAGTAGCGTTAAACAAACAACAATCAACATTCTTCGAAATGGCAAACCCGGCAGGTTTTTTGGCTCACTTAATAAAATTAATTATAACTATTATATGTTTAAAGTACTTTGAAGGTGTTCTTTCCACAATAACTGTTCGAGCTTGTCAAATATTCCTTGTACATTCAATAATTGGGATGTTTAGATTTGGTGAGGACAATTACAATATTTGAATGATAATAATGTCTGCCCAACTAGGAAAAATTATTTTTCATACTCATATGATACATTTTTGGAGTAAAAATTCATCAAAAGATATCCAAGACATGTCTAATAACATGTCTAGAGGATGTTTTTGCTTCCTTTTAGAATATTAAATAGGAATTGGACACCTTTTTATATAAATCCAAAATTAATATTTTCGAAAGCTTTTTCCTAGTTGGGTGTGTATGAAGATCAAAGCAATATAATGGAGCAAATTTTTATAGGAAATACAGGAGGCCTCATTAGTAGAAGGAATGTTCGAGAATTTTATGAACGTACTTCTAATATTGTTGAAGTTATACCATTTTCAATGATTTCTTATGAAATATCCAAACGTTGTGAAATTGATGAAGTTTTAAGACAATCATTACTATTGATACTTATGCTATTGCCAATTGTTCATGAGATAATATCTAGGAAAGAACGTTCCAAGATACGGATTCTTATAAATTATGCTATAAATTTGGAACTTATTATAATAACAATTGTTTGTTTACAAAGAGGAGTTTTTGGAGTACTTAATTTAGTTATTTCTTATATATTTAATCGGTATTTTGTCGAATCATTTTGTGACTGGTTTGATGTGCCATATGATGATTTAATCCAATATAGCCTGTGCTTCGTGCAAATTTTTTCTCTAACAACCCTTAAAGAATTGTAAAGAGTTTCTATACATATATACTTATATTGAAATGTTTTCTTTTTTGAATATATATATTTTTTAATTTTTTATGTTGAAAAATATTGGTATTTTTACATTCTACATGAGTTAGAATAGAATTTTTATAAACAAAATATATACATTTTTATAAATCTATAAAAAATATATAAATAAAAGCTAAATTTATTGATTGACAATAAAGTATATTTTTTAATGCTTTAAAATAATTCTAAAAAACAAATAAATAATTTAGTATAAAGTATTTTTTTGAATGCATAATATTTTTCATTATAATATAAAATAAAATTTGCATTGATTTGTATGATTATTGATTCATATTTAATTATTATTCGTTAAAATATTTACAATAAAATAATGAGTATAAAAATCATTTTTATAATTTTGCTATATCAAATAATTCATAAAAATATAAATAATGTTTTCTTTTATCTTTAGTTTCATATCATTTTTATTTAAGATTTATGTATATCTCATTTTTTATATCTAAAAATTTATAAATTATTTAATTATTTATTTGCACAATGATATGCATTGAACTTGTCGACATTGGTTGCTATGTATAGTAAGTTGAAAGAGCAATCGTCCAATCCGCAAAAACCGTTAACTTTAGTTCTCGTTGCGTGTGTACGGATTTAAACGATTCTGTGCACATTTGTCTACTTTTGTCATCTCCGTGTATGATAAATATTCGACTGGTTAGTAATATCTATATGTAAGTAATTATTTTGTCTCATATATTTAATATTACTATATACTAAGTAATATTTCTATTATATTTTTTATGAATAACCAAATCTGCAATATGTCTTATCATTATAACTTTCCTTGATTTTCTATTTTATTATCTTTCCACAAAGCATTTACTCTACATTCATATACGTTTATTAACACAGTTACAAACGTTGCCAGAATTAATTGAGTATTATTATTAATATATAATTTTTTTTTTTTTATTTTTAAAAGTAGTCTTGTTTTTTGCATCTAAATATGGTCGGGAATGAAATTTTTGTAAAACTAACCTAACAATTCGTGAATTGATTTATTGGTAGAAACAGATGTGAATATTTAAATCAACAAAATATTAAGTAAGAAATGAATAAAAATAATGAAATTAATTTTATTAGTTATCAGATTGAAAAATTTTAATCTACAATGGCAGTAAACGTCTATGCAACAAACGTAACAACCGACAATCTTAGCAGACATGATATGCTGGCGTGGGTCAATGATTGTCTTCAATCATCATTTACAAAAATTGAAGAACTATGTACAGGAGCTGTGTATTGTCAGTTTATGGACATGTTATTTCCTGGATGTGTACCTTTGAAAAGAGTTAAATTTCGAACAAATTTGGAGCATGAGTATATACAGAATTTTAAAATTTTACAAGGAGCTTTTAAGAAAGTTAACGTTGATAAGGTAATAAAAATATTTTATTAATACATTTGACTTTAACATTTAACTAATTTCTAATTTACAATAATCTTCAAAAATATGCTTTTATACGCGTGGTCAATCAGGTAATTCCAGTGGACAGATTAATAAAAGGCAGATTTCAAGATAATTTTGAATTTTTACAATGGTTCAAAAAATTTTTCGATGCTAATTATGATGGCGTTGAATACGATGCATTTGAGGCTCGTGGAAGAATTCCGTTAGGTTCTGGAGTAGATGGCTGTCATAATTTATCAAATCCTCAATTGGTGCCTCTCCCAGCACAACCGAAAACTTCGCAGATGCAAAGACACAATCCGCAACGTAATATTGCTCAAAGACAGCCCGGTACCATGAATAATGTTGATATTATTATAGCAATTTATTTGTTGCTCGATTTTGCATGATTAGGTTGTCGCTGTCATCACATTGATTTTTTTAAAATCTATATTTGAGTATCACAGGCTGTAGATCAGGATATAACCGCTAAAATATTCTGCACACCCAATTGACCACATTTTTTTCTATAAATACATTTGTATATTTTTATCATTTTTTGGCATTGTATATATTTATTTTTATTTTATTGATCTCTTATGATTTCTATGATTTCTTATTTCATTTAGTTAGCACTTTTTTGCTTTTATTTTGGTTTTGCAGATTGTACCGATTGATAAATTGATCAAAGGTCGTTTTCAAGACAACTTCGAATTTTTACAATGGTTCAAGAAATTCTTTGATGCTAACTACTCAGGAAATGAGGTTTATGATGCACTTGCGATGCGGGGTGGTGAACCTATGGGTAGCGGTGGAAGTAATGTGCCACGTGGTACAAACATGAAACGACCTCCACCACGCGAACCAACTAAACCCGTCTCGCGGACCGGTATATTCTTTGTTTTTTTTTTTTATTCAACGAGTTTAAGGAAATTGATAAAAAAAATATTTATTTTACATTCAGATTAAAACAAAAAACATCATTATTAATATATTATCATTTTAAAAAATTGTTCTAGTAGTATCGGTAATAAAATTTGCTTTTATCAATTTTTTAATTAATATAAATGATCAGATATCAACGTGTATAATACTGTAATTTAACAATGAATTATTTGATATTTTAAAAATTCATTATCTCTAGGTGAGATTCCCACTTCCATGATTTCGACAGCTTCAATGAAAAATGCAAACAAATCTTGTAATTATATAAATATGTTTATTATTTTTTCTTTTTTTTTCTCATTTGTACTTGTCATTCACAACATATTTTCTTCGTAAATAATTTCACTTCCTCTAGTAATTTTTTTAGTAATGCTTTACACTGAATTATTATTTAGTTAAAAAGACACTACTAGTACAACTATTTTCCTCTGTAAATTATTCGTATTCTGTTGTCTATAATTTCTGTATTATTATCATGTATGATTTAAATTTTCATTCATTTTTATTTATTGATATAGCAAATAAAATCCAACCAACTCGTCCGCCGATGAAAACGACCACTGTGGGAACTCGTGGAGATAATGGAAAAGTTGAAGAACTCACTTCACAAGTAATATATTATGTTTGTTGGTTTTTTTAATACTAATCAATTTGAATATCTTACTAATACATAGTTACTAATAGCTTTCAGAATTAAAAGTGACAATTGATGGCTTAGAAAAGGAACGAGATTTTTATTTTGGAAAATTACGAGATATTGAATTAATGTGTCAAGAAACTGATGAAGGAAATCAACCGCCAATTGTTCAGAAAATTTTGGACATTCTGTATGCAACTGAGGTATTCTAGTGCATTATTATAATATTGAGTTTAATTAATCATTTTTTAATTTTATTTAAATAACTGTATTTATTCATTTCAATTTGAGAATATCGCGAAAGGGCTCTTTTGTCTCAGATAAAATGAGATTAAAAAGAACATTCGAGATGTTTATCCTAAAATGATTTCAGGAGTTTGGAATTAATCACGAGAGCGAAGAAGCGAATGGGGAATCGATCTTTCTTGGTTAGCTCTGATTTTCATTAAAGGTAACAATGAACGTGGTTGATCTTAAAATGGGGTATTCCTTCGTTCTCTGATAATTCTAATAACATAATATCTGGTATTTCGAAAATACTATTCCAATCAAAATTGTCACTATATTTTTATCATTAAATTATAACTCTCGAGTGCTATGCTATGTAGATTAGTAAATGAAGGGTTCAAAGGAGTGGTTGTTAAAGATTTTGCGAGATTTGTCCGAATTTATTTTTACTTAGTTATTATTTAAAATAGGAGATCAACTTTACTATATGACGCGAATGAAAATTTTTTTTTACACTACGTATTATAGATTTTATTTGAACTTCAACGATTTTCAGAAGTCTACCATCTATATAATCATAGTGATTATCTGCACGTACCTTTTTCTTTGTTTTGATTTTTTTGTCTTTTTTCACTTATGTGGATTATTATTTTATTTTTTGCTCTATGATCTTTTTATTTATTCAACTGTGATTTTATTCAAAAAAATATCATCTGTAATGGTCTACATTAAAATTTTCAAAAGGATAATAATAATAATTGAAAAAAGTTTAATTTATTTATGTATGTTTCACATCTTGATAAATTGCATGAAATTAGTAGACAATGCACACTAATTTGAGATACAAAGTTAAAGATTATTCAGAGTTATGTTGGTGAACTCAGAATGAAATATTTTTGTGAAATATTTGTGAATTATTTTCATTGGAGCAATTAATTTTTCATAATCAGATAAACCATTCTACTAAAGAATAATTTTTTGACAAATAATATGAAAAAGTTTATTTCGAGTTGGATTTATTATTTACGTCATAATTATTGTCACATTTATTAACTCGAAAGTTCTTTTTTCAGGGATATTCTATTAAATAATTCAAATGTATTTCGAATATTTCAGTGAAAGTAATTAAATTAAATGAGTCTTTTTTTATTTTTATTTTCAGGACGGTTTTGCACCACCAGAAGAGCTCGAAGGTGATGGCATTGCTCCTGACGACGAAGAGTATTAATCATCTAAAAAATTTTAACAGAATTGTTCAATTTACTCCCCTAAAGCAACAGTAAAAATAAGAATTTTCTCGTATGCTATATCTGTGAGCCAGTAAAATTACGTAATTTTTTTCGTGCATACTTAGCTTAGATCATCATCTAGCCATTATAATGTTATCATGAAATTTTTCTTTGTCATTAATTGGACTGATTGAATATGGTTTAAATTTTATTATAGAATCTATCCTATACATGAATCACATTTGTATGTGACTGAAATTCACTGTTTATGTCAACTTGTCATTGCGTGCTGTTTATATAAAAAAAATATAAGATACATAAATATGGAAAAATTAAAAAAAAAATTAAGCGATGTTAATACTACTAGATAATGATAATTCATGTTTAAAAATTATTTTTTCATATTAACATTTTTCTTATCCATTTTGTAATCTTAATTAGTACTTTTTATAATAATTCTCATAGTTTGATTAATTAAATTTCTCTTCTTAATGAATTTACAATCATCGAAATGTTTTATTTTCTTTTGAACAAAGTGCATACATACTGTGAGTTATGTCATAAAAACACTAAATGGAAGTTAAGTTTGAATATAATGGATTTCTTGTTAATAACTAATCTGTTATTTTTACACTGTTAATTGTAACTATTGTTTTGAAACACCAGAAATCATAAGTATGCTTGTACAGACCAAAAGTAATATCTTATTCTATATATATTTTAAAATAAATACAAAAAATTGATATATACAATTGTAAGAAATTCTATTGAAGATATATCGAAACAAAATAATTTAAACTCCGAAATGGCAATAGCATTTAAATTTAAACACCAAGTAAACTTTTTATTATTTAATGTATGTGTTATACGTGCTTTTTTAAATGAATGAGTAAGTCATAATTGAACTTTGCTTCCTTTATTATTGGCTGTAAATTGAGTTTAAAGAATTTTAATGTTAGAATCTAGTCTAACTGCACTAAATTTAAACGAAAATTTTTTAATACTCATCAAGATATCTTACTTTTAATATATTTATGTTAAGGACTTGTTTATGTAATAAATAATAGTGATTAAAAATAAATTCTCAATATAATAATTAAAATAATGTTTATAATTATAAAAGCAAAAAAATTAAATCTATTTATTGAAGAGTATATTTTTAAATGCATTAGTTAATAATCATTTTTTAATTAATTATCTATTCTTATTTTTTAATTAAAATATTTTATTATTTACATCATTACTTGTTTTATAAAATCCTTACATTTTTTTCATTTCGATCACTAACTCTAATAGTAAATTCGTAGTTATTAATTGAATATAAATCCATACAATGCGGTTATATTACACTATACACACATGTGATATATCGTACAGTTTTGCAAGCGGCATTTTGCCATATAAAGTGCTTTATTTACTAGTATTTTTTTTTCGTTTACAAACATCATTAATTAATATCATTTTTAAATACAGTTCTAATTAGGAATTGAAGGACATCAAATCATTTCCTGTTTATGTCTATTCATTTCTGAGAAAGTAAGGAAAAATATTTTCTTCAAATTATATTACATATTAGCATAGTTTTTAATAATAAAAGTGATATAACCTAGAAATGGGTGATCAAGATCATGAAAGTGGTGAACGAGGTGATGGCGATAATGTTAAACCTGATAAATTATTTTCTTTAAAAAAATGGAATGCAGTTGCTATGTGGAGTTGGGATGTTGAATGTGATACATGTGCTATTTGCCGAGTTCAAGTAATGGGTAAGTTTTTCAAAATATATCCATTATTATTTCAACCTTTATTTTGGAGTATTTTTGATTTATTCAAATAATGAAGTATAATAATAATTTTGGAGTTATGTAAACAATACTGTATAATCCCTAAAATTCCTGAAAGAATTCTTAACTAATGTACGGAAATATGAATTATTGGATATTTTGAGGACAATGAAATTAAATTTTCATTTGTTTATATGGTTGATGTTGTTAATAATTATTCGAATATAAATAAGAGTCACCAATTTTTCAATTAATTTAAAAAATTTTATTTTCATAAAATAAATTTTTTTACAATACTATTTACATTAAATTCATAAAGTATTATTAGAATCTTGTAACATTGTTTAATTATAAAACTTTGTGTTGATAACTTTAAAAATCTCTATTTGGTTGAATATTAATGCTCAACACAATTATTTATATTATATAATTCTTAAATTCATTATTACATATGTATAAATATACAAATAATTAGCTTTAAAACAGTTGGTATAATTATTTTGCCTATATGTCAATGAGGTAGGCTTTTGACGACTATGTCAAATCGAATTTAATTACAAAATTATATTTATATATATACATATGATTTTAAAATAAGACCTAATTAATTTTTAACATTAAAATATTTTCATTTGATTGAATCATTTTGAAAATATAAATGTGCTACTAATTATTTCACAGATAAGTACTTAAAATAAGTGAAAATTATTGATTTATATATTTATATCTATAAAATAAAATAATGATAATGATGATTAAAACTATGAAATGAAGTTATTTACTCACAAGTTCAACTAATCAGATATAAATACTGTCATCCATGATCTATAATAATTATAATAATAATGAATTATTTACTGAAAGTGAACCGTTGATTGTAAATATTGCTTTTATGAAAATATTTTCAAATATAGGACAATGAGAACTGAGAAGTTGTACTTTACTTATGAAAGAGAGCAATCTCAGTTGTCCTAACACGATATGAATTTCAACCTTTCTCTTAAAAATGGCTAATATGAAAATATAATTTGAATTTTTACAATATTATTATAATCTATTATTATTTTAACATGCTGTTGGCATTGGTTTTATATTAGCAATTGCACTCATTCTTCTAACTGGTCCAGTTAATCTTTTCTCAATATCTTCTAATGATCTACCTCTTGTTTCTGGCACAAAAACTATCACGAATATCAAACCAATGATACAAATACCACAATACAACCAAAATACTGCAGCCTGTCCAATAACATTAGCAATACTAAGAAATGTTTTAGTAACGATAAAAGTACAGATCCAATTAAATCCAGTAACAATACTTGCAGCTTGTCCTCTGACTTTAGCTGGCAAAATTTCTCCCATCATCAACCATGGTATTGGTCCAAATCCAAGTGAAAATCCAAGAACGTAAATGATTAATGTTGTTAATGGTATCCAACCATAACTTGATGTATCATACTTATGTTCGTATAAATAGAAGAATATTCCAAGGAGTGCAAGTGTAACAATCATAGCAACACTGCTAATATATAAAAGTAATTTACGTCCTAGACGATCAATTAATGCTGTTGCAATGAATGTTGAAATAAAATTAACGCATCCAATAATTATTGAACAGAGACCATCACTGATAGAGCTTCCAGCAGTTGCAAATATCTTTTTGGAGTAGAATATAACGGCATTTATACCAGATAGTTGTTGGAATAACATAAGACCTAATGAAATTGATAGAGGTTTGATGTAGTGACTTTGGAATAATTCTTTAATAGGATTACTCAATGAATTTTTTTCACTATCAACATGAGCTTTCTCCACTGATGCAAGTTCTTCTGATATATCTGCATTTTTGCCTCGTAACCACTGTAGGGATTTACGTGCTTTCTTTGTTTTGCCCTTGGAAATGAACCATCTTGGTGTCTCAGGGATAAGAAGCATCAACAAAAAGAATGGAATAGGTAGACAAGCTCCCAGATACGCTAGTTTATACCAGTTTAAGTACTCGCCGGCAATAAATGCTGTCAGAATTCCTATGTTTCCAAATGCTGTTGGTAGTAAACCAAGTGTCCCACGTACTTCAGCTTGAATTGTTTCTCCAAGATAAACTGGTAGCGATAATGAGGCAATACCAACAGCAAAACCACTAAGTATACGACCCACTATGATTATCCATGAATTAACTGCCATTCCTATCACTAATCCAGCTGTAATTAAATAGAATTTTAAATTATTTTAATTAAATAGAAACTAATATGAAACTGAGACAGTGACTAATGTTTAATATTAAATTTCATTATGGCTTAAAATAAATAAAAAGTTTAACTTCATTTACCTGCAATGAATGGCAACGCTGTAAGCATGATTGTATTTCGTCTTCCTAAGTACTCAATTAGTGGACCACCAGCGATACCACCAAAAATTGCACTAAGTGGCATAACAGATCCAATCCAAGATTCCTGTAAAGTTATTTTAATAAAAATTATTATTTTTGATAATTCAAGATCATCATGAAGATGGTGTTCAGGTTTTCTATGACAAGTGTTCCAATTTATTATTTTTTATTATAATAAATGTATTTAAAAAAAAATAATAATAACCTTGCGAAATTGAAAGTTAAATTGGTATGAAGGACATTAATATAAAATGAAATCTCTTATTTATTATATTGTTTTTTTATAATATTGTCGTTATTATTGATATTATCAAATAGCTACTAGTAAGTATGTTAAAAGAATAAAAATATCTATGACATATGAGATATTCTTTTCTCTAGACATTCAATAGCTAAATAAATCGGTGTGTCCAGCATTCAACCAATCAATGAATCATGCAATGTTATTGTCACTGGCTAATAATCATGAGCTAATCAAAATGCGCCCCTGACCACAAGTATCACTTGACCATTCTATAAAGATTATTAATTTTTAAACAGATCTAATAACCCTTGTGTCAATAATAGGACGTTGATTCTACCACAGTGTCGATTTATTATAAATCTATCAATTTCATATTTTGCATCAAATACTATTAATATTATTTATAAATTATTTATAACAAAAAACTGTTTCTTTTTTTTTAAACATTTTCATAAAATGATAATAAATTATCAATAAACTTACCATTTCACTGGTTAAATAGAGGTTCCATATTTCAGTATTATTCATGGAAGGGAGTGCTGGTGAAGTGTAGCCACTGGAATAACCAACAACTAATGATCCTAATGATACTGATAATGCTGCAAGAACCTAGAATCAGAAAATTAATAACAATTATTGTTTATCATTCAGTTCACTAAAAAAAAAAAAAAAGTCTTAACTTGAATGAAAAAAATATTTTCTGTCCTTTAAAATAAATTTGATCAAAACTATGACACTTTTAATATGAAATAATAATATTTTATTATAAATATAGATTTTTTTTCTTTCTATATTGCCATAAATTAAAATAGAAATGTTTTAAATAAAAATATCTACCTGAGAAAAAGTACATTTTGCGACAGGTGTATTACTTGGTATTTCAATATTCACATGGGTATCAGCACGCATAAGAATCTTCATTTTGATTTTTTAATTTTTATTCAACAGTTTGAAAAAAAAAAAAAAAAATTAATAATGAAATACTAATGAAACAACTGAACAAATATTATTTTGAGTTTAGTAAACTCATTACTGATTAACTCTTATCGTTGTAAAAAATTTTTTATCACTATCCACGAACCAGGTCCACGTTTGTTTTGAAATAAAGGTTTAGTTTTTAGGTGTCAGAGATTAATATGAGCTATCGACTCTTGTCGACTTCACTTATATACCAACTACTCTTCAGGGGGGCAATCATTTGTCGCGTCAAACGACCTCTTCCATCCCTCCTTTATTGCTACTCTTCCTCTATTTTATTTCTTAACTCTTATTATTCTTTCTTTCTCGCACTCAACACTTAGGTAATTTCACGGATTCGTAAGACCCAATGTCACATATTAATTTCCTACTCACGTACCCTAAAGACTGCAAGTACAATTATTATCAACACATCTTGAAGTATATTCATATCATCAACTTGAATAGCATTTATGTGACTTTTTTATTGTTTTTATTAATATTATTATAATTATTATTACTGGTGTTATTTATTGTACCATTCTTGATTAAAATTAGTGCAAACATCAGACCAAATGATACACACGCATGGTATTCAAACTCTACTGTTAATGTTCCAGCTGACCTTCTAAATCTTTGGAATATTTGCGCACGCTCGTACATTTTATAAATTTTTTTTTTATTACCAAATGTTAGACTGTGTTAGACCAATGATAAGAGTTTTATTATTTGATGAATAGTACTACTTTGCTGATGAATTAAAAAATTTTTATTTTAATCTATCTATTTTTTTTCTTCCTTTTTTTTTCGAAATAATTGTTTATAATTAAATGTTGACTATTTAATCATGACAACTAGAAATAAATGAAAAATTTTATAATATCCTTTTTAAGAAAAAGAAGTTCAAGGTATAAAAGAAGGCTTTAGAAAATCGAGGTCAACTAGATCAGGATATTAAATTTTTCCATAAATTTAACAAATCAGAGCATAATCTTTGTTGATATTCGTGAGTTTAATTTTTTTTTTTATTTTTAATTTATTAACCATTACATTGCGATAATTGTTTCCGTTACGTTTATTAAACGTAATATTTACGTTAAATAGATTATTAAATAATAATTTGTCGACATACATAATTTTACTATTTGACAAGTGTTTTTTTTTTTACTCATCATTATTTTCATTGAAAAGTAAATAGTCAAAATACACAATGGTATCTCATTAATTATTAAAAATAACTAGAATGTATAACAATAAGTACAATCAATTATTATTTTAATAACAAGTTTAGAGTCAATTGAAAAAAAAAAATAATGAATAAATTTATAACAATTTGAGAATATTTATTTCCCTTCCTCTTCCGCAGTAATTATTATTTAATTTAGTGTCATTTAAAATTTCACACCTTCTTTCATCTGATAAGATTCAAATAATTTGACAATTATAAAATTTTTCCATTATTCATCATATTGTATACGTATTACTATTATGTTATTTTTCAATTTAGTTAAATAAATATGATTGTTTTAGATAATGATAATAATAACTTGATAAATATGTTGAATAATAATAAAATTATTATACTATTTTTATAGCAATAAAAAGAAATTCGTGCTCATACAGTTAACTAATTGTAAGATATAATTACACCAATATATAGCTTGAAAGATTAGCAAAAATAAGAGCTTCGTGTCGATTACTCCTAGAAATAGATTTCATCACTGTTCACCCTTATAATGCATGGGTATATCCGCAGAAAAAAAAACATGCGAAGGTCATGACTTGTATTGATTATCTTCTAGAATTACTCTGATAACTTTACAATAAATGAAAAACCATTTATTGATTAATGTTTGTTGATTATTTAATTAGTTGACTTTGCTTTAATGTAATAAAAATAATCTTATTGTTTAGATTAAGATTTAATATCAATAATCTTTTTTTTCAATACTTGGCTGACTATATTTCATCATTACTACTTTTATACAAGTGACACAATTGCAAGGATGATTATTGTACAGATATTGTTGTACTACTGAACATCAAGGAATTGTTTTGTGCATGAGACTGACAATTTCAACTAATGAACGTTAAAGTCATGATGCTTGAGATAAAAATAAGGATAAATAGATTTTTAAATAGACATTTATGAACATTTGAATTTTAATGGAACAATATCTTTTTATAAACATAAAATGATTAAACAAATAATGAGTAAATATTAAATGATTTTTATTTACTCAAGTTTGCCTTTTTGAATCAATAATCAGAAAACTCTGGAAATGTGTCATGTCGTTTAACAAAGCAATACACTATAATGATTCATATCACAATCTATTCTCTTAGAGAAACATAAAATTCCCAAATTTATCAATGATTTATTGAAATGAATTGTTAATGTTGAATTGTTAAAGTTAAGATCTCAATAGATGAACTTTTTCAATTATTCTCAGAGTTTAAATTCGGTCAAGCTGACCTAAATATGCAGATAAAAATGTTTCCATCAATAATACTTTGAAAATAATAATTTAATCATAATTATATTTGATAGATAGTTTAGATGAATCAATTATTTAGCCACTCAAATTTATATCAATTTGAATTTTATTTTATTGCTATGAATAAAATTAAAAGATCAACAGATTGATAAAAAATATTTTGCAGTGATGAATTTTTATATTTTTAATCTAATTTTCATTTAAAAATCAAAATGAAGATATTCTTACGATACGTATAATCGTGAACATTTTAAATTTATTGTTAACTAATTTAAATAAAAATAATTTCAAAAAGTTTTATCAGTCAAAAAATTTTCTCACTTATAAAAAATGTTGTAATATTAAAAAAATATTTCGTACATTCAATTAAATTAGTAATGATAGAAAACTAAATAAATAAATTATCAATTAATATATATATGTGATGCAATACTTTGTCTGGTATTTAGATTCCATTATCTTTCATTTCAAAAAATTAAGGTTTTTTTTGTTTTTATTAATAAAATAATCTTCGAAAACACTTTAATGATCATTAAAGAACGTTCTTATTATCTCTTCAATACCATTATTTGAGTGAAATATTTTATTCCAATTTTTATAATCGTATTATGAACAAAAACAAATACACAAATAATTATAATAATTTATATTATTTATTTCTTAATAAAGTATTATTTAAAAATTTTTGTTCAAATTTTAAATTGATAATAAAATGAATAAATTCATAAAAAAACGATTATTGTTTTGTTGAAGAACGAACAAAAAAAAATTGGCTGATGAAACTTTTCTTTAAAATTTTTGAATAAATTATCTCAATGATTTTATGGTTTAATTAATAATTTCAACTTACCTGTGACATGATATTGGTTAAATGCACTGGCAGAATTTTTTTAGTATTAAACCGTCGAAATTCTGGCTCTGGAAATACTTTTTGGCATTCTTTAGTCTTACTAATATCTTGAACATTTTTCTGTTCTTGTAATCCTATTAAAATATCTCCTTCCTCCAAAGTCATTGGATCATCCATCACTAAAGGTTCTAATTGTTTCAAGTCAACAATGGTAATATTTCTATTGTTAGTCCTAAGTATTTGCGAATATCTTAAATCGTTTTCGTGTTTAAGATTCTCAGCATAATAACTTGTTGCTCCAGAGTGATTATTATTCTTGCTACTTTTTGTAACTGTAGGTTTTTTCTTATCAGAAACAAGGGCTTGTTGACTGTTGAATGGAGATGCGTTCGTTAGGAGGGTGGTATTTGATGCACAGTCTTCAGAGATGTTACAAGATGCTGTTGATGGTTTACCCAGGGATGGAAGCCAAGGATAATATTTTTGATGGACCGATCGTTCCTAATAAAAAAGAAAGACATCATGATATTAATAAATTTGAATAATTATTATATCAATGTAATTACATATCAATGAATATCAAAATGTTTCAGATCATAAATAAAAATATTAAATTGTTGAAATAAATTATAACGAAATAACTTATGAGACAATGAGGTCTAGACACTTACACTAAACTATTTGTTCGAATAATGAAAACTAACAGAAATAAGAGAAAAGAAAAATGAAATATTGAAGAGATTTGATGAAAAAGTTGGTATATATAGATGGTTTTTATCAACATATTGAGGGCGGAGAGCATAAGAAAAAGAAATAGAATAGTAAAATTGACCAATGAGAATATGAAAAAATGAAGAAATAAAATGTGTCTGATGCTTTAATGATTGATTGGTCGACTTGTATTCCCGCGAGTGATAACCCCTAAGGCGAACTTAATGATAAATTAAACTTTGACTTATATTGTGCTTTCGGCACAGTTAACCATCATATGAATTTTTTCAAATCACATTAGTGTGTTCTAACATGGAAAATAAAATTTAGTAACAATTTTATGACAGTTAATTGATAAAATATAGAGTAGATCAGTGATAAATTCATTACCAGGTCCATTGGTGTATCAAAATTTTCTTCAATTGTAGAAATAACTTCCAACATGTTGGAAAAGCTAAATTGCAACTTACTCGATACAAACTTCTTATCATAACTAAACTATTCACGGACAGAAAAATAACAAATACATCACAATCACGTGAGATAAAACTCGTAAAGGAGTAAACTTTTAAATGTTTTGTTAATTTACGTGTTAAGAAATGATTGTTTACTAGAAACAACATTTATATTTCATTCATATTTGTAATATTCATATTATTTATCTATTTTCTTCTACATTTTACTGTCAGAATATTGCAACAATTAACTATTCATAAATCATAAACAATTATTTTTATTTATTTTTATTATCATTTGTTTTATAAAATAAATTCTTACAATATTAATTGTCATCATCTTTTATCCATGCACAATAGTCGTGATATAATTATTATTGTATTCTTTCATTAGTCTTGTTTTATCGAAAAAAGATTATATTGCATGATGATATGAATATTAATTATAAGTCAATGTCATATTTACTCTTCGTTAAATCAAAAATCAATCTCGATATTTTATTTTCAAATGACATCAAAATTTTTATCATTTCATTCTTATAATTCTTCATCTTTTTCTCATTCAATAATTATTATCCAAATCGAATAAGGTCAATGAGATTATTGTTCTGATGTTTACTCCAATCAAAAAAAAAAAAAAATTGTAAAATAATAAATATGAAAAACTAAAAAGAAATTGTATTTCCATTGGTCATCATTATAAATAAATCATTTATTTTTAACATCTTTCTCATGCATGTACTTAGTCTCCCACGTGACATTCAACACGTGTACTCAAAAATTTGTTTCATTTTAAATTTCACCAAATGATAATACTCTAATGAATGTTCTAATAAATAAATAATCGATTGAATTGTGCCATCAACTAGGCTTGATAAAAAATTGAATTGGATACTAATAAAAATAATTACTTAGAAAGTAAATAAAAATTTAAATAATTAGTCTTTGAACTAAATTTTCAATTTTGTGTGTGAATTGTTGGTAAAATGATGTCAGACATAATGAAGATAAAGCATTGAATAAACAAATGTGCAATTATCATTGGAAAGACTGTAAAATGAAATATCAGCATCAGCTCGTGGCGTAGTCCCACGGAAGCGCATGGAACTTTCCAGAAGCCTGACAGGAAAAAGAGCAACTTGATTATAAACGTGTTATATATCTATATACATCCAAAGTAACTTCTTAAGATAGAAAAGGACAAATAATAAAGTTGGGAGCTTGATAAAATACTGTCAACATACTTCCATACCGACTTAAATTTGTAATGAACTGTATATAAATAGCAATACAAATGTGACCTATGAATTTAGAATAGAAAGAAATAAAAAAGAAAAATAAATAAACTTACGGTCGATTTGGCAGATGAAATCAAACATAAAGGCCATGGTTGCATTATTTGTCTCCTTTGTGAAGTTCTGGACAGTCTAGTGTTTTTATCCATGATGAAATATCAAGTGTCACACGTGGATTGGAATAATCACTAAAAACAGAATTAAATTCGCCAAATGTGACTTGTTTTGATTTATTTCGAATGTCGAGCACTTTCTTGTTTAACTGCCAGCTATAAGTATTGCGTGTGGAATGGCTTGCCGGTTATCCTTTTGCGTCTTACCGGGCGCTGTTGCTATGTCTTTACTTTTTCTTGTGAAAAATTTTTCTTTCTCTTTCTCACGTGCGCCACTGCCACTCAATAAATTGCCAAAACTTTCAACGATACTTTGATTACAGTCATTCATATACTCTTGTTTTACTTCATTAACTACTTTCAATTATATCATCTTTTACTTGAACATGTCTTGATTTTTGATAATTTTATTCAACCAATATTAATAACAATAATAATAATGTATATTGGAAAGGACAACTAAAATGATAATGATATAAAAATAATACTGAATGTTGCCTTTAGAAAGTTTTGTTAAAAAAGATCATTTATTTGAAATGTATGAGTATATATTACGAATATCAAATGAATGTAAATAAAAATTTTCACGTGGCTTAATGCGCTTGAACGAGTCGAAGGTTTAGAAATGTAGTTAATCAGCTGTAAGGATTTGGCTTTTATATATATGCAGACAAATACAAGTCTTCAAGATCGGCGCCAGAATTATTCGCAGTCACGTCCGAATGGTCTCGACCAACGGCTAAGGTGCTGTATCATATGTATAGACATTATAGAGGGGATAAGTGAATAGTATTGTAAGATTTTATGTGTGTATTAGTTAAATGTGATCTAAATGGTGGGGTGCAAGAATTGGTGGTGAACGATGCAACAAGAGTGCGTGAGTGCGTGACGCAAACTTATCCATTTATTGGCTCAAATGACCGTCAAAATATCTTTAATAATATTGTAGGCTTTTATGACATGACACATCTAGATATTATGTACATCTTGGTAGACAAATGATTATATGCGAAGAAAAAATTTTTCACCGTTATTGACTTTTCTCGAGTCTCCTGTAATGATTTTACTGTTATATTTAGAAACAAAGCATTAACATGGTTATGTTTTTTCAAGAAAAAAATGATTCTTGATAAAATTCAATGTTAGTTATATTATGAAATGACTGATAAAAAAATTTTCCATTGAAAGATTCTATCTGATCGATAAAGTTAATATTAATACGTATGTATGTTGTATGTTCCGAAAAAGAAACATTGCTATGCTTGATGTGGTTAACAACTTGCTTTATAATATTATGTCAATGTTTGTTTTATATCTTTTTTAAACATTATATTTTACATTGGGAAGATATATTAACTTGAGCCTAATCAACCATAAGATATTTGTTAAACCATTTCAATCAAATTTTTATCTTTCATCAATTTTACTTTTTTGTCATTTTTGACACTGATTAAATAATATTAATTTTTTTTTTGTTTGAAAATACTTGGAGTGAAAATCGAGGGGACATAATACACAGCTGTTACCATAGATCTTGAAAAAATGGGACATTAAAATAAACCAATACTCAGATAATTATATTTAAAAATAATCAAGCACAATAAAAATGTATTTTAATTAAAATATAACCATTAAAACAGAATCTATCAAAATGTTACCAAGTAAATTTCAAAAAAATAATGTATTGCGACTTTCACAGTAAGTTTTTTTCCCAGTGTAGAAACATAAAACATCATCAACTGATGTGCCGTGTGTATTAGTCTCGAATGTTCCGATTTCAGTACAATTATATTATGCGTGTCATTGTATATCATTGTATTTAACAAATAATAAGGGTCAATAACCCAATATGGGGGATCAAATAAGTTGACAAGGGAGGTAAAAAGGCCACAAAGGTTTGAACATTTTTTTTCAATTATTTATTATATATTTTAAATTATAAAATTACTCCAAATAATATAAATCATTTTCTAACTTAAAAAATGGCTAAATAATATTCTTATTAAAACAATCAAATCATTTTATTCTATAGGAATATTCCAAAACCAGCTTTAATTTCTCCTTTTACTGGGGCCAATTAATCATCGTTTGAAGAAGCTTCCAACTATCGTTGATCGAAAAATTTCCATTGATCCTACATACCCATAGTATCTTCGTATGAGTGTAGATTAGTATTTATATAAATTTTTTTTTTTATATCCATCGTCATTTATTTCGTCTAATCAATCTAATTATTGTCATCATCATGTGTTGTAGGACATAAAATATATGTTATATATATATGAATGATAATCAAATTTTTTTTACATACAAAGCATATAAAACTGTCAATCAAAACTATTATGGGGGCTGGGTTAAGGTTACTGAAGAATCTATTAATTTATTTCTTAGCAAATATAATTAATTGAACTGATTTTTAACTATCGTCAATAAGAAAATAACATTTTTTATCTTATTTGTACAACCAATATCAATTATCTTGGATTTTTAAGATAATTACTACTTCCTTTTTCATTATTATCATTATTCAGTGAAATGAATAATCATATTCAGATATCACATCATTTGCATTTAAGTTCAGCTTCATTATAATGTACTTTGGCTAAATTGTTTTTTTTTTTTTATTCTTACAGTTTATGATGATTATTGTTCACTTTCTTGAAATTGTCATTTAGGTTTAACTACTATAAATCTGATGATAAGAATGGTTACAGTATATTACGTACAATATTCAAGTTTAGATTATCTTTTAATACTTTCATAAAGAAATATGTACTTAACAATTACCTTTGATAGAGTAGAACAATCAAAAGTTTATTAGTTTATGTATTAGGAATTTTATGACGTACAATGTGTTCCATTTAACTGTTAAAAATATTTCTACTTTATAAAACATTTTTTTTCATCTCTGTTAAATTACTTTTTAAAGCATTTAATTTATTATATTTCTTTTTGTTTCTAGATGCCTGTTTGCGATGTCAAGCTGAAAGTAAAAAGGACTCTGATGGTCGTCAAGATTGTGTCGTAGTTTGGGGTGAATGTAATCATTCATTCCATTATTGCTGCATGTCATTGTGGGTTAAACAAAATAATCGCTGCCCACTTTGTCAACAAGAATGGTCCATTCAACGAATGGGAAAATGATTTGTTGTGACAAGTGAAATGTCACTACTTTATAAAATCCTCAACTCACCAATTTTTTAACAAGACTATTTTCTTTTTTAAATTCAAATACTATAATTTTCTAACTCATTTCAGTGATAAAAATTTATTAGAACATTTATAAAAAGTTATAGAATGGTATAATTAATTTAGCTTCAACAATTAGTAGATATTTGCTTAGTTTTAGAATTTTTCTACAAATATAAATAAGATTTCATTATTATATTGATTGAAAATCCAATAAAACTAAGTATTTATTTTGTTTTTAAATCATAATAAATAAGTAAAATTATAAACACATTTAAATTGCCTATTTTTATTATATAATAGTTATTTTGTAAGATAAATTACGTAAAGTAGAGTAGAGTGATAATTGATGAAATACTCAACACAAATTTTATTGGAATATTTTTCTGTGATAGGAATAACAGCATGAAATTTGAATAAATTAAAAAAAAATTAGCCTTCTATCTTGATTTTTTTTTAAAAATCTATAATGGAGACAATGTCATCTAATTTACTGTTGAATTACTATTTATTAATCATATCTATTAACACACACAATTTTTCATCGTTAATATTTTGATTATTTCATCATTCACTCTTGGTTTACTCCAAACGTGAAACGTGAGCAGAGGCACGGCATCCAACCGACCAATCACATTCTCGATATTCAATACGCCTCTGGCTACATAATATATGTCAACTATCAATATTATTCTCACTTTAATTGTTATCCATTTTAATTTATCATTATTTATAATCGAGAAAGTTCTAAATACTTGAAAGAAAAAATTAATTAAACCTACAAGTAATAAATAATATATTTTTTAAAATTATTATTAAATATTCAGTTGTTGTTTAAATATTTAATGATTTTTTTTTACATGAAATGATGTAAAATCCAAAAAATTTGGCTAATTATTTTGTTAAATGCCATTGATTATTTCCAAGATATTTCTTAAAGTACGCATTAGTTATAGGAAATTTTTCAGAGCCTGAGGCATTGAAGATAATTCTTTTCAATTAAATTGGAGACACATATTTTCTACATGTCTCGTATTTTATATATTTTTACAACAGAAGGTCTTGGAATTGAAAATATAACTCGTCAATAACATTATTTTATAGTTGATATAATTCGTAAGTCAATGTCTAGACTTGTTATTCATTTATTTATCTACCATATGTAAAAGCTTATTAACCTATACGCACTCATTATAAACATTTGTAGTATTTGTTGAAAAGCGCATTTGATAAAAAAAAAATATATATTTCAATATATAAATATATGTAAATTAGTTAAATTTTTTCGAGTTTTAAAAAAAATCAATTAATTCAGTTTGAAATGAAATCAGCAATTTTGCCTGTTACTTTGGAAAAATGTAAATCAACGTGTTCTGGTGATTGACTACTTATTGTCTGCATAAGTATTTATTAAGTATGTGGAATGTGAAGGTCGTTCCGGTCAAGCGAGAGGCTCGCCTCAACTAGCCAATGAAAATGTGCCGCGCCTCCTTTCTTGTAATTCCGTATGTATACATGCTGTATGTCTATTATCTTTATTGATAAGATACGTAGGATAATGTAAGTATGACGTTTCAATTTACTGGATGATGAAATATTTCAGTCATTATTATATGTATTATCGTTATCATATACCTATGTCTATTAAGATTAGAATCATATTTAACAACAATATATTTGTTGTAAACCTACGAGTAGTTGTTATAAAAATTTCTTCTACTATACATTGATTAGTTAGATTAATTTTTTTCATCATCCTACTGCTGAGTAATTTAATATTAATATTGAAAATGACTGCATATTGCAATTTTTTATTACTCTGTTATCAATCGATATCTTTTTAACAGCTCATCAATTTTTTATTTAATCATTAAACAAGACATTAATCCTACAATTAGGCTAACTGTCAAAAAAATTTGACTCACTTCTACAAATAGTTGTGCCATCTTGATATCGACAAAAAAAATATAAAGATTAACAGTTAATATTATAAATAATAAAAAATGTTCTTCTTTTTTTTTTCTTAATTAAATTGATACAATAATTATTTCTTTATGTTTTGTATTTGTATTAATTTTTCACACACATTATTCTTGAATAGTACAATTTATTTACACAATTATATTTCCCTAAAAATATTACATATTTATTGATATCTTTTATTGTATTTATTATTTTTGTAAGTAAAAAGCCAATGAATTATATTAAATGTACATAAAAATATTTATGATTTGAAAACTTTTAGTACTTTTAGTTGTTTCAGGTATATAAATAGTATTATTATTAATTCTTGAAAATATTCATAAAAAAATCTAATATTAAGTATAACTAATTAAAACCAATTCTTATTATTATGTGGATTAAAAAAATACTTGCTAAATTTAAAGCTTCCGTTGAATTGTTTAAATTAAGTACGGTATTAATATAACGACAATTAAAAATTTATACAATTAAAACTAAAAGCCGTTTTTAGTGACTCGTTATTCATTTCTATTTTAAAAAATTTCACATACACCAATTCATATTGTAATTAATATAAATATCATTTCAATTATGTTTAATTCCAAAAATATGCCGATTTTTAATTAACATTTTCAATATATCTTTTTTAAATTCATTACTACTATGTTCAATTTCAATTATTCAATTTCTATTTATTACTAAAATATGTTTTTCAATTTGTAAGATGATAAAAAAATTAAGACATTCAAAATATCCTTTTGCATTTCAAAGGCACTTGCATTTAAAATTAATCTTATGTATCATGTTTATATATATATATAATGTATTAGTGTTTTTAACTTATTTTTATAAATAAAATAGAAAAAAAGCGCTTTTATTAAAATAGTGGAATGTTTTTTAATTAATAGAATTAAATATAATTTATCGAATTTAAGTATCGTATCGTCCAATAAAATGATAACGAAATAAAAAACAGTATTAATAACGTGTTAGCAGTTAGTATGTCTGGCACCTCTCATTAATGGTATCAAGATACTCGGACTCTGTGCTTGTCTTAAAAACGGATGCTGTAACAGTTCTGGAGCTGTAGCTCTTTGAGCTGGGTCACGCACTAGCATTCTTTCCAAGAAACCCTGCAGCCGTGGACTTACCTAATAAGACAAATTAAAGTATTATTAGTTATAACATACAATTTAATAACTTATTAACATTCCTAGTATTATATAATTGTATTACTTTGTAAGAATTCTTCAATTTAGGTGGTGGCATATCACGAATTCTTCGCATTGCCTGCAACGGAGGTTCGTTGAAAAATGGCGGTTCTCCATCGACCATTTCAATAATCATAATTCCTAGTGACCAAATATCAACTTCTGGTCCATAAGGTAACCTTGATATAACTTCAGGACTCATCCAGTAAGGAGTTCCAACAAGGGATTTTCTTTTTGGTAATTCTTGCGATACTTGAGCGCAAAAACCAAAGTCTGATAATTTGACTCTACCATCGGCAGTAAGGAGTATTGAATCTGATTTGATATCTCTATGAATAACACCCTGAGAATGAAGATAAGCGAGTGGTCTCAAACACTGCATGCAAACGGTTGCTATTTGACTTTCATCCATTCGTGAATGTGTGACAATATCGGTAAGTGCACCTCCTTCAAGGTACTCCATAACAACCCAAAGTTCATCATCAACTAAAAAGCTATCATACATTTCCACAATATTTGGATGATGATAATCTCTCATGATAACAACTTCATTAAATAACAGTTCACGTCGTTGTTGTTTTCTCAAATCCATTTTTTTGACAGCAACTTGTCTATTGGTATTTTTATCTGTTGCAATACAAACTGTTCCTGTGCTACCTTCGCCAATTTTTAAAAAGTTTTCTAAATTATCTCTAGGATCACCACGACTTACAACCATCTGCAAAGCTGTTCTGAATTGTTCATGCGTCAATCGTTGATCGGTATTCTGTTTATTGGTACTGTTAGCTGGCACACTAGTTGAACCACTCACAAGATTTCCAGATGACACTGCAACTTTCATATTCTGATTTTGATCAGGTACTGTACTTGCTCCTGAGGCAGCTGATGGTACGTTTGGTTTGGACAGATTATGCATTGATTGTGAACTTTCAAGTGGTCTTTGGAAATGACCGTGCATCGAAGATGAAGTATTCTCACCAGCACCATAATTTTGGCCATACTTATTAACATTATGGGTACTTAATTGGCTCAAGGGTCGTTGAGATGCTATGGAACCAACTGGAGATACCTTTGGCTGTAATTTATGAGCTATTACATTCTGTGGTAATTGATGATCTCTCGTTTCAATTGATTGCTGTAAAAGATAATTTTTTTCAATTAAAATTTTATTATCATTAATAAAGTTTTTTATTTTATTATCAATTATAACCACCTGAGAATTTCCATTAAACTGTCCTGAAAGTGTAGATGATACGTTCATCCGCTGGAAATCATGATCATTGGCTAGACCCGTATTGGAATTGATATTGGAATTTTCCATATTGGGAATGGGACTTAAATTCTGGAAATTCAGAGACAGGTTTGCTGGGTTAGAAATTCCATGAGTTAAATTTGGAGAAGACTGCATATTAGGATTCATGTTTTGAAGATTTGGAATCATGCTTTGTCCTACGATCGGTGAATTTTGACGCATTTTATCTGAATAATTATAAGGTTTTCCATAACCTGAATATGATGATTGCATTGGATTTACATTCGAAGGTACTTCTTGACCTTCAGGCACTGATGGTGGTAAATTGGAGTTATTTCTAAAATCTCTTCTTAATCTTGGTGGACTAGAAGACCGTAATGAATTGGATCTGGCAACTGTACTTATTTTTGGTAATCCATTTTCAGGTGCTTTGTCATTATTTCTTCCAACTCTGACATCATTGTGTCCTCTGACAATGGTTTTGAGATCCAGAATTTCCGTTGGAGTGATTTCACTGGGATCAACTAGTGGTAGCGGTCTGTTAGTTGATTTTAATATTTGATTATTGCCAACAATAGATGCCCACTGAAGTGGCAATCCGACAAACTTCCCTTCACGTTTGTCAAAGCCTGTATGCACTCGATGCTCAAAATTAGTTGGAGTTGAAATTTGTGGCTTCTTTTTCTTTTTAGAAAACATTTCTTTTGAATATATATATATTTACACAATAATTCTTCTGATTATTGACTGATTACTTGGAAAATAATATTTAAAAAATATCGTTTATGTTGTTTAAAAAATTTCACTAACCCTGATAATATCCATTTATACTGAATAATAGTAATCATAATACATGATTATTACCAGAAAACAACACTTTATAGTCCATATGGTTAACAATTATCGACATGATGCTCGATCGTTAGTGAAAATTTAAGAAAAACGATTATTTTAGGATGAAGCAGACTAAGTGACAGCAACGCCTATATCGTTAATACGATCACGCACATCAACCGTAAGCCGCTTGACCTAACTTTATTGCGTAAATACATTCTTTGTCTAATCATCAAGAAATAATTATTGAAATATTTACTTAATTTCCTGATTCAATTAATAATAAAATGACACAGTTTGAACTATAAATTGGTTTTATTTAAAACTAATTTTTATTAAAAATAACTAACAAGTGTACCCGACAGGTTGTTAGAACACTTGAAAGCGTCACCTGTGAGAATTATTATTATTAATCTAGGAATTTGATTGAGAGCATGCGCATGTACTTTAATAAATTTATATGGCTCTAACTTGAATTGAGAAAATTACTGTACACAAAATTAAAAGTAAAGTACGATTTTTTCAGTAATAGAAGAAAGAATAGATCCATAAATACATATGTACTTAAATGACACAATAAGAATTTTTTTTAACAATCCACTTAAAAAAATTTTTCGTTTTTTCAAAAATAATTGGAGTAAAAGTTGCCTTGTTTCAGATTGTACCTTCACTATACCAAACTATACCAAATGTGTTCGGAAATAATTATTGTTTGATTGGACTGTACCAGCAAAATCATTTCATCAGTCCATGTGCATATATACTGATGAATTTAATTTATTATTAATGTATTTCTCAAAGTTTATATAAACATATAATTGCTGAATATTTTTATCATAACTATTTTAGTTTTATCTAAGGAGTATAAAAGTAATGACATTACTTTTCTATTACATAAAATCATTCTGAATATATAGGCTAAGACATTAGACCTCGTGGTTTATCATTGAGATGATTTACTCCAATTTCGATCTAAAACATAAACGTTTTTATTAACGTTAAAATTCAATTTTTTATTGCTTTATATTGATAAATAAAAAGAATAAACATGTTGAGTTTTAGTGCTGTGGTCACTAGGAATAATCATCTATACAATAGGTAAGCAATATTCATGTGAATATTATAATACAACATACAGAAAATTCTAAAGATTCATTTTTTTACAGTGCCCTTAGCTATAAGTTCAGAGATAAATATTCTTATCAACGTTTTTCTGTGATCGTAAATAATTTAACAAGACGACATATTGCTTATCAAAACAATCATACTAGAAAAGTAACACTCATCAATAATGAAGGTAAATTGCTTAGAAGAATTCACACAAGTTCATCTTTAAATTGTCTATCACCTTTTGGTGAGAATGGAAAGTTATCACAATTATTAACCAGTCAGCAACCAAATGCAAGTGCTAAAGATTTATTCGAGCAATCGAATTCTTCGAAAAACAATGATGATATTGAAAAGAATGATTATAATACAGATCGGTCGATTGTAGTTGATAGATTGAATCATTCTCATGAGTATCGTCATGAAAAACGAGAGAAATACAGTTTAAAGGGTAAGTACTATTTGCAAAATTGTTATGTAATATTTAAATTAATGTACATTATAAAAAGACTATATTTTTTGTTGGATAGATATTGAGAAAATGTATCACAATCCAGTATCAAAACTAAATGAAATTTATCAACTTGTCAATACGGAATTAGAAAAAATAGTCCTCAATGTCGAATTTCATCATTTAATATTGGAGAAAAATGATAATAAATGGAAGTGTACAATCCGTGTTTCATGGCCGACAGAATCTTCTTTTTCGGCTATTTCCAATAACAAAAGTAGTGCAAGAAATCAAGCATCATTGAAATGTCTACATTGGCTTGAAAATCTAAAGAAAGTGCATCACGGTAAACCAGTTCTATACACAAAAGCAGATATAATAAAATTATCAAAAACTCCAACTCGAATATCAATACATCCAGAAACTTTATTTGAAGCTAAATTAATTGCTGATAAATATGAAGAAAACTTGAAATCCTTAGTTGAAACTTCTTTAGATGAAATTGAAGATGATATGTTTAGATTCCAAAAGTATCAAGACGATACATTAGCTGATCCAGTTGGTAGAGCAAATCCTGGGGCTAGATTACCGGAAAAAATAAAAGAAAGAAATCTTGTACTTCAGTTACGATATGAAAGCCGAATGATGACTGATGGTTATGCTGATTTACCAATAAAAAATTTCAGGGAGAAAATACTTACAGAATTATCAAATAATCAAGTTATTTTAATTAAAGGTGATACTGGATGTGGAAAAACCACTCAAGTACCTCAGTATATAATGGATGAGTTTGCCATGAACAATGCCGCTACTGATTGTAATATAATTGTTACACAACCGCGCAGAATATCTGCTATTTCACTGGCAGAACGTGTTGCCGAGGAAAGACAAGAGCAAGTAGGCGATGTAGTTGGTTATCAAGTAAGACTAGATCAAGTATTACCATCGACTCCAGGTGGAATTTTATATTGTACATCAGGCATTCTTTTACGTAAATTAATATTCAATCCAACATTAAAAAATTGTTCACATCTAATTATTGATGAAGCTCATGAAAGAACTATCAATATTGACATGATTTTGGGACTTGTAAAACGAGCAATGAAAAAAAATCCAGCTTTAAAAGTTATTGTCATGTCAGCGACATTAAATGCTGAATTATTTGAAAATTATTACAATTGCAAAGTAATTGAAGTACCAGGTAATGTCTATCCAGTAGAAATGAATTTTTTAAGTCAAATTGATCGACTTGGCTTACGAGCACCGAGCCAATATGATTTAACTTTTCAAGATGTTCTACAAACAAAAGATGTACCTATACCAGATATATGCAAAATGGGTGAGTTAATTTCATGGATTGTTAAAAATAAACCACCAGGTGGAATATTATGTTTCTTACCTGGATGGTCTGAGATAACATTTTTAAAAAAATACTTGGAAGAATTTGCTTTATTACCGCATAATGAAATTGCCATATTTGTAATACATTCAAGAATATCACCTTATGAGCAAAGAAAAATATTTTTAAAATTACCAGAAAATAAGAGAAAAATTGTATTAGCTACAGATATTGCAGAAACGGGAATAACAGTGTCTGATATTGTTTATGTGATAGACTCATGTATCCATAAACAAAAAAAGTGGATAGAAGATCGAGGAGTTTTGACTATCAATAACACTTGGGTATCTAAAGCTAATATACAACAAAGAAAAGGTCGTGCTGGTCGAGTTAAACCAGGTGTTAGTTATCATATGATAAGTTCAGAACATTATGATCAATTGGAACCGTTTCCCTTACCAGAAATAAAACGAACGTCACTCGAAAAAACAGTTTTAGACATTAAAACTTATAGTGATGAAAAAATAATGGATTTTATACAATCAATGCCAGAACCACCATCTGCTTTTGCAGTAAAACGAGCTATTGAAGATCTCATCAAAATTGGAGCAGTTGATAATAATGAAAATTTAACTGCCTTAGGTAAAAGAATAGCATTTTTTTCAAGCGATCCAAAAATAAGTAAAGCCATGGTCTATTCTACTATCTTTCAATGTGTGTCTCCAATGTTAACAATAGCAGCTATAGCTTCATCAGATCATGATTTGTTTACCAAAGCGTTATTCAATAAAGAAGCTATTAGGCGAGTCAAGAAGAAGTATCATCCATCAAGTGACCAGGTTGCAATGGCGTGGCTATTGAAAGAATGGAATAAATACTTTGTAAAGAGTAAAGATACAACGAGAGATTTTTGTAGAAAGAATAATCTTTATCATGAGAGAATGTATACAATACATAGAGTACGAGAACTTCAAGCTGATTATTTAACAATTGTTCGAATGTTACCTTATAAAGATATGTTTGATGATATGGATGCTAGTGTTAATGAATATTCACAACTAGATGAACTCGTTAAAGGCGTTCTTTTATCTGGATTAAACAATGTTCTGTATCGTAGAAATTTTGATTTCCGAAAAGGTATACTTAAGAAAGGAACTTCTGTCTTCGTCATGAATGATAATAGTCATGCTATAATTGCTCCTGAAAGTGTTAATTTTAAAAGAAAAAACTTTCCAAGTCCTTATTTACTATTTGATCATCGAACACATTTTTCAGAAAGAAGGACAACATTAGTTCGCAACAGCAGCATCATTTCACCTTTAACATCATTTTTATTCTGTCAAAATCGAATATTAGGACGTTTACAGAGTGATGGAGATGATGATGATAATAACAATAACAATAAAAAATCAGTCATATTTACTGTTGAAGATAACAAAAATATGAATTTTATTTGTGATAAGGAAACCGCTGATGTATTAGTTAATTTCCGCGAAGCAATGTGGGGTGTGGTTCGTTATATGGTGACCACCTTTGGCTTAACGCATCGTGAAAAAACAGAAGTTTTTGAACAAGTCAATGCTTATAGAACAGAAATGCTTCAAGTATTAGCCAAAATGTTAAATGAAGCAGCTGTAAACATTGATCGACCAGAAGATGACAACAAAAGAGAGGACGATAATTAGAAAAAGACTTAGAAGATAACAAAGAAAATGTAAAATTTGAAATATATTTATCGTACAAATACATTTTTATGCATTACTATTTGTAAAAATTTGTTTGTTGTTTTATAAATAAACTTCATTGTGAAAAATAAAAAGAATATTTACTTAATTAACATACTTTTTTTAGTATATAATTATTTTTTAATCTTAAAATTAAACTTTATTATTCAATTATGATGCATGATTAATAAAAATGACTGTAAAAATTATTGATATTAATGAAAAGAGTCTTGTACTTGCAGCATTAACACAAACAAGATTTTCATAAGAAATCGTGTATTTTAACATATCTGGATATCGACATCGTTCAGGATCTAAAATAATTAAAAAATCATATTTATTGTTATATAATTTCAAATTAAAAGATATTTTTGATAAAATAAAATTTACCAGGGCATTGACTTAATGGAGAAACTGATGAATTTGCAGCAATTGATAAATACAATGGAGCACATTCATGAATATAAGATGCCTCAGCACAGGTGACTTGTATGGTATGAGTCATATCACTTGTAGTACAATTTAAACCCGTTGAATTTATATTAAAATTATTTCGTGAAGTACAAACAGTAATTGGTATTCTATTAGATGTTTGAATTTTTAAAGTAGGTAGTACTTCAGGGTCAACTTTGTAGAAATAATTAGGATGTAATCGATAAAAATTAATGCCAGATGGTTCTAAGTAATTACTGTATGGCTCAGAAGTACCGCTAGCTGTATAATTTGCTCCACATTGTGAATTAATAAGACGTCTAGGAACTAAAAATAGAATTAATATATTTTTACTAAAAATAATGGTATAAAATTATTAATATAACTTACTTTGTTTCATTTTATTAAGCAAATAAAATATTGGTGCTTCATTCACTCTTACATTATTATTACTAGTAATAACAATGTCATTATTTGGATCAACAGCTAAATCTGACCATTTTTCTTTTGATCCAGTAATCATGAAGAATAAATAAACATCTGGAATATTTTCACGAATAGTTTTTAATCTTTCCTGGCAATAGATTTTATCAGTATCTGATATTGTTGTAGATGTAATGATTAATACAATGTCTGATCTGCTACCACCGATTCTATTTTCCCATTCGTTATTTAATTGTTTTGTTTTTCTTGTTATTAGAAGATCAAATATCTTCGGTAAGTCAAGTCCCCTTGTATCTGAAATGACGTATTTTATTAATTACTATTTAAATATATATAATAAGACGAAGTTAAAAATTAATTTACAGGTAGAATAAGTAGTTTGATTCAAGTTGTAAAAGTCCAAAATACTGTGAGAGCTATTGATAATCACATTTCCATCATGAGCACTCAATAAAGTGAAATTACTTGAGAACCTATTGATATCAGCATTTTCTAATAATACTCTGTAAATAATTAATTGATAAATTATTATATGTTTATAGTTATATTCTAATTAATGGTCTTTTATTTAACACAATTGTACTTACGTTAGAATTGATTGTATCGATGAGAATGGCCAGTTCGTGTCGAGGAAAATAGTTAGGTCTGTTGTAAGATGGTTGAACTTGGATAGTTTATTTTTATTATCACAAATTTTTTCATCATGTAGAGATGATGCTGAAATATAAAAAAAACATTGATAATAATATATCATTGTAAAATTATTTATAAAAAATTAAATACAAAACTTACGAATAAAACTGAATAATTTTTCAACTGCTTTTGTTGCAAGACCATCTAAAGCTGGTTTGCTAATAGATACTTTACTTAAAGACTGTTCTAATAAAAGTGATGCTGCATACGTCTACAATAAACGGAAACATATTTATTTTAAATATGTTCTATTTATCCAACTTAAAAAAAAAGTTTTATGAAGAATGAACATACCTGGGCATGAACTGTTTCAGTAGGTGCAACTGCTGTTAATAAACCTCTGCGATCACAAGCTTTGATTCCTGAATTCAAAACTCCTCTATCACTATAATACATATCCAATACTTGTGAGAGTCTAAGTGTGGGTACATCTTTGTACCAATTTCTTATATTACTTGCTAGAATCAATCCATCAAGACCACCTCTAATTTCAGCAGCAGTAAACTCGGTGTTATCATTGTCATCTAAAAAATAATACTTGGGCAGAATAGATGAATTCCAATGCCCATTAAGACCAAGTTCCAAGTTCTCTTTTTCTGGACCTTGTACAAGAGTTATTTCAGCTAAATCTCCAGCCAATGTTGCAAACCACTTGTTGTCAATTGTTACATTTGAATAAATATCAATTCGTTCTTCATTTTTGGGTACCAAATCAGTTAGTCTAGCTGTTTGAAACTGAAGCCCAGCTGCTAATCCTGCTAAAAGTGATCCTCCAGTAACTGTGCCCCAGCTTCAATTATATAATTTTATTTAATTTATTCCTAATATAAATTGATAATAAATGCATCATTATATGCTGAATATTATTTACCTAGTGTAAATGACTCCATTTTCAAGAGGACATTTGCTCAAAGGTTGTTGCTGTTTAATCTGAGCTGTAGCAGGATGGTTGGGTGGTAAAGGTGGATAAAATGAGTTCGGATTAAAATTACTTTTAGAGTCATTATTAGTATGACCCATTTCTTCCCTAGAAATGATTAATCATCCATCATTAATGACATCATGTTAATAATACGAATTATGTATCATTAATTTTTATAATATTTACAATTCATCTGGAGTCAACATTTCAACATCACTTTTGATGTGATCTGATTGTTTCCCGTCTTCTGTGTTTCTTATCCGACGATACTGAGAACTTGTTCGGCATGTGGATGATTCATCTCCACGTTTTTTAAATTCGATACTAGTAGAAACCATTGAATGCAAAGTACACTGAAACATTGTGTTGATTGATCAATGATTCATTCATTGATAATATATCTTCAAGAAAGTTAAAAATTAAAATTCTCACTCTTTCAATTAAATCAATACTATTATTTGGAAAATTAACAGCACTTCCAGGAATCAGTTGAAGAATTTTCGTCCCTTTAGCAGATGGCAAAGAATCTGCTGCATATGGAATTACACCTGGAATAGGTTTTGATGCTGTGTTTTCTACTATGCCATCTTGACGAAATCTATCAAAGAGAAAATCATTATCAATAAATTGTCAATTTTACGGTATTATTATTTTAATCAGTTTTAATTATCAATAATGTATTAAAAGAAATTCATCAGACAATTATCTAATTTACTAAATAAGTATCTGTTGATAAAAATTATAAATTGAATATAAGTTATAAGAAACTTTTATTTACTTTAGACACAAATTTTAGATGGTAAAATATTTTGTGATAAATAAGTAAAAGGGTCACATTTATACTTCTGTTTATGTTTTACAGAAAAAAAATTACGTAATAACATCATTTATACCTGTGAAGTAGTGCCACAGTTAATTGAAGTAAATCCATAGTCATTCCTGGACTATCTTCTACTTTACGTAAAATATCGATGAATGAATGAATGTTTTGAGGTAAAAGATTATCTTTAGTGACAATAAAAGTATTATTATAACACTCTAATAAACCACTAGCCACTGTCCGTTGAGCATTTTCTTGACTTTCTGCATAGTAAAGGATTGTTGTTATCATAAATAAAGTAATAATCTTCATTTTGTCACACTGATAACAAACTAAACTAAATTATTAAATATGAATAAATTATGATGTATTCACTTTAGAAGATTGGTGGAGAATGAAAACTCTTATATTTTCTATTGAGAATTTTACAAAGTACCATTCTAAACCACACCTTTTCAACCTGTACCATGTTTGTCCCACTATCATTATCAGTGATAAGATATGTTATATCCCATGAGTAATAATCTTCTCCTCCTTTGTTTAGTATTGAGAGTATATATGTATATACATATATTAGAGAATTATTTTATCTTGTGTGTTCACTCTTAGATTTTACTGATCAACTACAAAACCTAGATGAAAAATATCATTGATAACTATAAATATAATCAGTGTAAAACAATCAGAAGTTTTTAAAAATATATATAATTTTTATCATTATATTTTAATTGAATTGAAACAAATACAAATTGTTAACTAGATGATCATAAATTTGATCAAAAATTTTACAGAAACATTCTAAACGGCCAATTTTTTTGTTTCGTTAACGTTGATTCAATTACTTACCTAAATGTTGAAGAAAAGAATCTCAAAGATAACAATATCCCAAGTTTCTAAAAAAGAAATCACACTTCCATGACAATTAAAAAGATACTTTGGCATAAAAGTGATGATTGTTTGATTCTATTATTGATATCTGGAAAGTAAAATATAAAGTAGACATAATAATTATAGAAATAATAATAGAATACATTTTACGAATCAGCGTTAGAAAAGGTATACAAAAATGAGTCATTCCCGTTGTAGAAAATAATGTGGTCTCAAAAATAATTTTTCAATCTTGTACCAAAAAGAATTATTATTCATTGTATTGAAAAAGTATCAACGTTTATTATCTAATGACATTATAATTGTTTATATAATTAAGTATTAGGAATTTCAAAGTTTTTTCAATTCAGCCCAATCTTTAAAAATTCCAGGTCGGTAACTCATGACGAAAAAAAAATTATATCTACGGTCGGTAATTGCTCATCAGATAACGCCAGGCTCAGATGATACAAACCAGTCAAGCCGAGTGTGCAGTTCATCGTAAACAATGAAAGTGCTTTTGTACAAAATAATTTGCTCTTTATTAATATGGGGTTATTAACTAGAACTCGATTTGTTTGAGCGATAATAGTATTGAAAAATATTATTTATAAATTCGTTATATATTTCCATATAGTGATAACTTTAAAATATCGTTTAAACATGTACAAAGAAACGTTAAATTTGGAAGAGAATGTAAACAAATCGAGGGAGATTTTAACTCCATATAAAATTGCTATTGCTTTACTAGTTAAAGCATATTGCTCTACAAATTCCAGAGAAAAATGTACTGACCTATTTTATCATTATCATATTGAACATAAAACCAAATACCTGACATTACTTTGTGTCTAAAAATGAACATATATTTTTCCTATCTCTGGTTTGAGCCGGGTTACAATCCGGTTTCTTGTTTTCATTATAAATATAATTTTTAATTTAAATTTTAGCATACTAATACATATTGTTTTTAATTTAAAACTTTGACTTATATATATTTTAATTTATCTTTAGAGATTTTGAGGTTAAGTAAACAATATGGTAAAATATATGCGCATTTATAGAATTATTTTGCAAATAAACGACTTTCATTTCATTTTTTCAATGATTACATTATAACAATGTTTCAGCAATTCAAGAACGTCGTGATTTCTGTATAGTCATGTTGAAGCTAATCCAAGTGAGTAGGAAATATGTACAAGTCAATTGTAAGCTCGAATACAATAATTTACATGTTTTTATTATTTTCAGACACCAGATGTTGACTTTAGCATGTTACTATCAATGCTTTATTCTAAAAATCATACTCTCAAAAGATTTGCAAGTGAATTAGAAGCTGAATGTGTTGTTATATGTAAAACTGGAATTGAAGGATTGATGGATTTATTTGATGTGCTAACAAGACTCATGAAACCTCCTCTTGATACTTCAGTTGGGCCTCATTTACTCTGTAGAAACTCTGTTCTTGGATTATATATCAGAAGAATAAACATGCTCTTTGAACAACTATCATTTTCTGAAGGAGCTCAACTTTATGATTCATTTGTAAAAGACTTTGAACAAAGTATTATTCGTTTCACCAAGTTTCAGAATTCACAGTTTAAAGATAATGTTATAAAAAAGTAAGAAACTCTCATATAAATATAAAATATAAGTGGCATATTCTTATTAGATATTTTTTCAGAATAAATAATATGAACGTTTGGGATGATCGAAGAGCAGAGTTATTGGTCGCTCAGCAAGCAGAAATTTTACAGATTAATGAACAAAAAGCTCTTCCACCTGCAGAATTACAGGCATTGATCTATGAGCTATTGAATTTCAATCCTCAATATGCAGAAGCTGTAAGTTTTATTAACCTATTGTTCAAAATTTTTTGTTCTTTTAAACTAACACATTTATTAATTAGATAGTTACCACTTTCAGCATTATTTAAGTTATTTAAATTGTCTACGAGTCAATGAATATTGTGGAGCATTAGACAGTCTTCATCACTGCTTTGATCAATTTTTACCCAATAGTAGTCGAATAACATCGGATGATAAATCTCGTACCTTTCGATATGCAGCACTGAATTTAGCAGCTCTGCATGCACAGTTTGATCAAAAGTAACAACAAATATTTTTGAAGTATTACAATTTTTTTTTATTGATATTTATTTTAGAAATTTTTTTTTTAGAAAAGTCGCTCAATCTGCATTAAGAGAAGCTATCATGATGGCTCAAGAAGCGGGTGATAATGTCTGTCTACAATTAACACACGCATGGATTCATTACCTTTCTAATCAAACCAAGTAAAAAATCATGTTCCGGTATTTCTATTTAATTATTTATCCAAGATTATTGATGTATCTTTTTCTTTAGGCCATATTTAATAGAACGTTCAATAGGAAAAGCTTGTACTCTTGGAATTACGCATACAATGAGTTTAGGATTGATTGCATCGGCACATTATTCAGCATTAGAATCAACAAAGCCTACTACAGTTTTTGAAGTAAGTACAAGCAATACTTTTATAATTTAAAAGCATATAAAATAATAATAATTACTTTCATTTTTTATAGACTCTTATGAAATCTGATGTTCTAAATTGTCAACATTCAATGTTAGACTTAATGTCAATGGCATATGCTGAAAAGTCTGCCTTATGGGCTTACTATGGCAAAGTACAAATGTCAATAATATGTTCTCAAATATTATTACTCTATAATTCTGGAAGTAGGAAACAAACATTATTTAATGGAGGATCTACTTGTCAAGCTGTGATGAATGTTGCTAATGTTCTTGCTGATATGGGTGAATATAAATTAGTTAATGTAATATTAAATCATGCAAAAGAAAGGTTTCCAACAGAACCAAGTAATAAAGTAAGTATAAGGATAAATATCAGTGTAAAAATAAATTAAATTATAAGTAAATAAATGTATAATTTATGTGTAGATTTGGATGCTAAGCGAACAACTTATTGAATTTACAAAATTTATGAGAAATCAGAAATTGAATGATGCTGAAACTATTGCTATGCAAATTTCAAGTTTAGATAATCTTGAAAGTAAATTTCGTTTAGCTGAAGTTTCTTTAGCAAAAAAAGACTACTCCAGTGGATTAAATTATCTTAATAATTTAAAACGAATTAGTAAACCATTAACAGCTCAAGACCAAATAAGACTTATAATTCTCACTAGTCAACTGATAGATTCAGCTGTCATGGGAGCTAATGGACTTGCTAGTATCAAATCTTTGATACTTTTAAACCATGCTTTAGAAATTGCTTCAAATAATCATCTATCGTACTGGGGGAGTATAATAAAAGTACATCTTGCTAAAGTTCAGGTAAATATATTTTTTAATTGGATAATTAATAATTGAAATCTGTTATTCATTAAAAAAAATATATTTTTACGTCTGTCTAGCTAATGATGGGTATGCCAAAACAAGCATTGTGTTTGGTTGATGAAGCGATCATAAACATTTTGACACATGGAAGTTTATATGATCAAGGTGAAGCTCTTACTCTACATGCAGAATGCTTAGTAGCAGCATCATTCCTTACTGCAAAACAACGTACCACTGCTATACAGGGAGCAGTAAAATCTCTCCTAAGGGCTAATGAGTGTTTTAGTAAAATTGAAGCTTTTAATAAAATGAAAACTACTATGTATACTCTAGCTGTCATGTATAATGAGTTAGATATGAAAGCTGAACGCAATCAATGTGCTTTTGAATTTAAAAAACTCAATGAACAATGATGTAATAACTTATTGTTCTTCAGTGATGGTTTTTATTAACCATAATTGCATAGAATATGTAGATTTATTTTTCTACATTAAATAAAGATTGGTGTGGAGGATTATGTAATTTCTTGAAATAATTTCAATCAAATCAAGGTAAAATTGAACAATAAAAAATCTTTTTTATATTTACAAACTTACTCCAGATATATTTACACTTATTTTTTATCTAAACTTGATATTGGTTTACTATAAATCCAGACAGTATCTATTCCACTCCCTACAATTTTTACAGGTGTAAGATTCGGTAATGGAAAACGACAAACAACAATCCTACAATCATTTTTCAGTTCTTTTATAAACTTATTTTCAATTTTTTCCATCTGTAATAATGTTATATCACTGAATTATTTATATTTCATCCAATACTTAGGTAAGTTTTACAATAAAAAAAAAAATCTCTTACCATCTCTTGTACTCCAAATAATATGACATTATCATATCTACTTAAATTATGCTTCCACAGATCTTCTCTATAGAATACAGCATTAGAAGACAATCTTTGAGCGAATGCTACGATTCGAGAGTATGTAAGTAACCATAAATTTAGTTCAACTCCATAAGCCATAAAATTTTTTTTTGCAGCAGCAAGAACCTATAATATTGATAATATCTTGAGTACAAAATATAAAAATAGTATAATCATTTATGATAATATTTTATCCAAGTACCAATCGTCCATCTCCGCTACCTAAATCAATCAAAGTACCAGATCTTCCTTGTAGTGCTTGTAAAACATTTTTTATTTGTTGAGTAGTGGCAGGCACATAAGGTAAACATACTTTTCTAAATGCTGGGCTTACAAATGGTAAACATATAATACTCAAAGTTAGCCCAAGACCACCTGAAATATTAAATAAACCAAAAAAGATTGTTCTTCTCACTGAATTTATTGAAATTTAATAATATAAATGAATTTCAGCTTATATAAAAATATCATTTCCTGGTCTTATTACTATTTATCTTGAACAAAAATACAGCTAAAGTTTTGTAATATTAAAATAATTTTAATTTGTTTGTAAAATGTTAACTCCAAATTTTATACACAGAATGTGCTAAAACTATAATGACATATTGAAAGGTTTGCCAAATGATAAACATTCTTTGTCAAAGACTTTAATAAAAGTAACTATTTATAATGTTGAAAAACCTTCAATTATGATATCTTTCTGTCATAATTTCCGGTTTATTTGTTTTTTTAATATTATTATTAACGTATTCAGTAAATATTTATTCAGTGTTAATACATAACACAAAGTTAAACTTGCTAAATGAATTTTAATATTATATTATTTTATAAACTTTTTGATCGATTGTTATCAATATTTTGATGCTTATAATTCTTTGAAATAATTACTAACCTGTGACACTAATAAGAAATAAGCCTGTTTTTGATACTGATTTATTAGAATTGGAGATGTTTTCAGTGTTAGTTTCTAGAAACTCCATTATATTATTATTTTTAGTTAATTAATTAAAATTTTAAATCTATTTTATTTAGGTTTTGCCAGTACATCTATGCATCGTATCCATTTAAATTGATAAAAAAAAAAATAAGAGCACAATTAGCACGGAAGAGCAATGTCAGAAAAAAGAGATGTGTGTATAAAAAAACTATCCTGCACTTCTGGGTTAAATTTTTGGCCTACTTTCGTCGTCTCTTTCACACTTCTTCATATTACCAATCATCAACAAGCGCGGTAAAGTCTTAATATTTAAACATAAAGTAAACAAACTAATTAATAGACAAATGAAATCTGATGTTTAATAACGAATAATGTTTTTTTTTTTTTTTTTCAGTTAAAGAGAGTATTTAGAAATTTTTATTTTAGTTCAGAGTTGTAGCTATTCCTTATAAGGTGAGAGTCATAATAGATACTCAGAAAAAATTCCAAAGAACTATCTCGATGTTTGTAGTTCAAAATTCTAAATTAGTCACTTCATTTTTTTTATCACTCATCGTTGTGACGTGTAGTATTAATAAATAGCCGAAAAAATTTTCCGAAAATAACGTTTGATTTCAGAACCATGCACAGAGGGTCAAAAAGATTATTGTATTTAATCTAACCGTATAATTTTGTAGCTATTTTTTCTCTCAAAATATTCAAATCTTGATTGAATGATTCATTCACTTATGATGAGCTTTATTAATTTTTCTGCAAAAAAAAATTATCATGCAAATATTTATCAATTAAATTCATAAATATAAGAGCATTATTATGATACTAATTAAATAATAGAATAATAATGATTAAAAAATTTTATTTAGGTTGTTTATAAAATAGCTAATGACTAGAGGAATGCAGTATTTCACCTCAAACGAAATAAATTTCAAGGGCTAGCAAGCGCCAGGTTTCTATACAAAATGTTTAACCAGACCTCCTTCAAACCTTGAATTGGTACAGAAATTGAATCAATGAGAAATACTTTGCACACTGTCAACATTATAAAATATTTCCTGTCAAGTATAATCTTCAAGACGTTCAATGAACGTTTATATTCACTCATAAGGATAAGATGCCAATTATGGAAAATGCATTGTGTAAATATGTCACAGCTGTTTCACAAAAAATACTTATTTTATACTTTGAATCTTGACATTTTTGACAATATTTTTGAAGTATCAAGCAAATGGCATTAGATTAATTATCAAAGTAATAATAATTAATGAAAAATTTTTTTTTTAAATTTCAAAAAAAAATTTTTTTTTATAAAATGAACCTCACGTGTTTCTTACACGTGATTAAATTAGAATATTCGATGGTACAGTTCCGCCCTGAAGGTATTTTTGGAATGTATACGAAGCCTAGTTAGGCTCCTTGTTATATTGTAATCATTTCATCAGATAAAATTTTCCAGTATCATACTTATGCCAATTTAATTGAATCTATAAAAATTGATTGATTAGTTAAATGCTAATAAAAAATTTTTAAAAAAATTTCAGATGATGTACCTGGGCAAATAATGATTACAGTTAAGGTTTCTCCTAATCTATTTTCATCAATCTTCATATACATGGGGGAACGATTTTGTTGCCGGCCCTGTCACACATTTGGTATCATCTCCACCTAAAAAGGTAGATGGAATGGTTAAGTAACGAAAGATTCGATTGGTCTAAGCTTGAACCAATCAAAAAATATCTAACAAACCAGGATCACGTTGCACGTGCTTATATTGGGAGCGCGCATTCGGCAGCCCGACAGAACGGCTTTCAAACGTAAGTGGATCATGACGACAGATTTTTTATTTTTTTTTTATTTTCATTTAATGTTTTATAATCTTAACAATCATTTTTATTAATGAATTACATTCATTTTTGTTAAGCAAATGACAAAATACTAGTGCTAATCAACACATAAAAAAATTCATTTATTTTAGTGGAATAAAAATTGATGTTTATTATCAGTTTGTTCTCCAGAAGTGTATGAAGTGTGATGTAATAATTGAGAATACAAATACATATATATATATATATATGTGCACTGAGTGATTATAATGGAATTATAATGTGTTGATAATGCAAATTTAGTTAATTGTTTGCAAATAAAAATATTTAAAAAGTTTTTGAATGTGTTTACTTAGTATGGAATATATATATAATATATAAAAATAATATAAATATAAATATACTTTTCGTAGGGCCGCATACGACTCGTAACCCGAAGTGGTCTAGCCGTCTTCAGTTTGCCAGAATATAGAGATTCGACGCCGATTTAGTGTTTGGGAGAGCTACGAATTTTAAATTATTATATTTTGTGAAAATTTGAAGAATTAAATAATCGAAAATGCCGAAGCCGCCAGCACAACCTGAAGAGGATCCCGATCCAACCCCATACTTGTTTGTATCTCTTGAACAAAAGAGAATCGATCAATCTAAACCTTATGATGCTAAAAAAGCATGTTGGGTACCTGATGAAAAAGAAGGTTATCTTCTTGGTGAAATTAAAGCTACAAAAGGTGATCTAGTGACTGTCATTTTACCAGGGGGTGAGGTGTGTATACTTTGATTATTTTTTATCTAAATTAAATCTTAAATTTATTTATTATAACTTTATTAAAAAAAAAAAACACAATTTCTCAATTAAGACAGAGAAATTTATGATTTAATCCTCTAGAAAATTACTAAAACAATTTGAAATTATTTTACTTAGTTGTCAATGTTTTTTAATATTTCATTTATTTATTTTATAAAAACAAATTTCGATTGAAATAAAAATATTTGAATTATTTGAATAAAGTTTGATGTAATTGATCAGTTTTAAAATGTTACTCTATTAAGTAATATTTTTGATAATTTTTTTTTTAACAATAAATTATTTACAAAATTTTTTATGATGTAATTTGTGATACTTGTTAAGTATATCATTATGCTATTGTTAGAAATATATTAAACATGTCTACGGTATTCGTGTATACAAAAATAAATTGATTTAAAAGCTACTATAAATATAAGCTAACTTATTTTTGGAGCGTAGCTCAAGAAACGAATATTCTCGTTGTACTATAAAGGAAATTAGGTTGAAAGTTTCTTTGACTCTAGAGATTCTATTATTACATTTTAAAAGACTCCAAACATGTGCATACAAACATTCCTAATTTATGTACAAATTACAATTAAACCTATCAATATATTTTAATTTATAAATCAATTACATTAGCTAAATAATCAATTCAATTAATTCAACTATAAATTTTTTTTTTTATTTTAATAATAATTAATTCCAGAGTAGTAAAAATATTTCTTCCATATTAATGATAACTATCTGTAGTTTTACTAATAAAAATGGTTAATTTGTTATAAACAACCATGCAGTCAAAACAATTCTCCAAGGACGAATTGTCTCCAGTAAATCCACCAAAATTTGAAAAGTCTGAAGACATGGCTGACTTAACGTTTCTTAATGAAGCAACTGTTTTGCACAACTTAAAACAGCGTTACTACAGTAAATTAATTTATGTAAGTAATTTATGATATTATAATTAATCATCTCTTTTTTCTTTTCATCAAATCAATAGACGAAGGACTTTAAAAAGGATCAACTGCAGCAAGTCAATCCACCAAAATATGAAAAAGCTGAGGATATGTCAAATTTGACATACCTTAACGACGCTTCGGTCTTACACAATTTAAAGCAACGTTATTATCACAAACTTATTTACGTAAGGCGTTTAAATCACTAGCGTGACTATGTTTTGTGCTCAATGGTGTTTTCGGAGTATTTTGAACGAAAAGCTTCTTTATAGCGGAGCAAGTTCAAAAATAGTATGCCATAGACAAAGTGCATACACTACTCACTACATTAATTTTTTTTATTTTTATCTTTATAAATAACTTTTGACCCGTTCGCGTTGACATATTCATCTGTTGCACAGCTTCCTGTTGACACAGCATGATGGTTATAAACGTAACCTAGCCAGAAGACCAAAATATCTATCTTAAAAAAAATACATCAAAACCTATCCTACAGTTCTCAAATTATAGCTCAAAATATCCCAATACACAGGCATTCACTGTAATTAATGTAAAATACAGACTTTGATGAGGGGAAAGTCACTCATTAATTCCAATTGAACCACAAATGATTTTAACTATTGATATTTTTGGATTGTTTTTTTATCCCACATTAAATAATTATCTTCACCATTATGTAACATTCTCAGTATTTTTTTTTTTTTTTAAATAGTATTTAGTATTATATCCAAGTAAAAACTATTTCTAGTGTTGCTATAAAAGTTCATAGCATATTTTTTGATGTAACAAATTAAATACAAAGTTTAGCAAAATTGTAATTTACAACAATGTTTCTTTGAATGCCAAAATATCATGTAAATTCGTAGGTATAAAAATTGTTATGAACTTTTATAACATGCCAATAAAAAGCTGGCACCAATTGTTTCGTTTCAATATTCTGACAACCTTATGAAAAAAGATGACATCTGACCATCAAGAATTATTACTAATGCATGTTTGAAATGACTTGTTGTATTAGATATAAAAAAAATTGATAGAATTATTTTTAATTAATTTTTTATATTTCTAGACGTACTCTGGTCTTTTCTGTGTTGCCATCAATCCATATAAGAGATATCCAGTATATACTCAACGTTGTGCTAAATTGTACCGTGGTAAAAGACGTAGCGAAGTGCCACCACACATTTTCGCTATCTCTGATGGAGCGTATGTAAATATGTTAACAAGTAAGTTCATGAAAGTTTGTCATTATTTAGAATTTTTCGAATAAAATTTTTGTAAACATATTAATGACAATATTTCTTACCTTTACAGATAGTGAAAATCAATCTATGTTGATTACCGGTGAATCTGGAGCCGGAAAGACTGAAAACACGAAGAAAGTAATTGCGTACTTTGCTACGGTAGGAGCCTCTACCAAAAAATCTGAAGATGCTGATAAGAAGAAGGGTTCTCTTGAAGATCAAGTCGTACAAACTAACCCCGTATTAGAAGCCTTTGGTAATGCTAAGACCGTCCGTAATGATAACTCTTCCCGTTTCGTAAGTATTTTTAAATTATAATTATAACTTTGATTAATAATTTTATTAACTTTATTAAAAAAATACTTCTCTCTTAAACTTTTAGGGTAAATTCATCCGTATTCATTTCGGACCATCTGGAAAATTGGCTGGAGCTGATATTGAAACTTGTAAGATTGATATATTTTTTCTAATTAAACTTATTTACAAATTTTTTTTTTTATCAAAATAAGTAGAAAACTACTTGGAATTATTTATCTTCAATAATTATTTTTATTTATTTATTTCAAGTTACTTCCTTTATTTTAATTGGCTATCAATAAAAATAATATAAAATGCGGAAGTAACAATTATAAAACTTTATTATTTTAAGAAAAAAACTATTGCTTGAATATTTAATTTTATTGAATTTTTGGCAAATTGTCAACAATGTACTTAAAGTTCTCGAAATCTGGCAGCATTAAGTCAATTATGTCAGCAAAAAACAGTACATTAGTATTTATTTATTGGCATTGCATTTAATTTACTTCACAGTCAATTTATTTTATTGTTCTTTACACGTCTGGTATAGAAATTTGTAAATTAAGTTCAACATAAATTATTCTGTTATATCATCACTACATGAAAAATAATTTAATGAACAGATCTATTGGAGAAAGCTCGTGTCATCTCTCAACAAGCTTTGGAACGTTCCTACCACATTTTCTACCAAATGATGTCTGGATCTGTCAAAGGATTAAAAGGTAAGATTCGATATTTATACATAAATTTACAAAAAAATATTAATTCTATGATTAATAATTAATTTTCTGTATTCCTAAGAGAAGTAAAGGTTATATTATATCATATTTTCATGATTACATACAATCGGTAGGCATTAATGTATTATCCAGTAGATATTAGGTGTTTATTAATCTCCAATGAAACTTTGAGAGAACCCTTGTAAGATCACAAACGATTCCTCAATGGGTGTTTCATGGTATGATCCATCAACTTTATATTTTAAATAAAACTCATTTCATAGAAATGTGCTGTCTCTCGGACAACATCACCGACTACTACTTCGTCTCTCAGGGAAAAACGACGATTCCTGGTGTAGATGATGGCGAGGAATGTCAACTTACTGACGTAAGAACCGACGTACAATGGACATAAAGGAGTTGACTTTGTTTCTAACGAATTATTGTGTTCTTTGAACGATGAATTATTGACGTTTAACCCTTTTTGGATTGGTATCATTTTCTTATATACAAGACCACAAGAAATCTCAAGGACATTTTGAGTATTACTGGTCCTTAAAGGGTTAATTATCGTCGACAAACTTGACATGTCGATTAGATATTTTCAATCATTGCTGCATCATTTTTTTTAGTATTCATAATAACATTACATAACTCAGTAGATTATGTGTTCTAGTTTATTACTTCATCTTCGGATTATTGTGATTCAATTACATTTAAATAGAATCCATTTGTTTAGTATTATTAGTTTTTTTTTGTAGTTTGTTTAGCCTAACTTCATTTAATTATACGTAGAAAATTTTATTGATCAACAAATTTTTATCAATTATCCAAGTTTTTTATTTTTTTTTTTTTAATTATGTATTGATTACAAAATTTTTCAGTTTTTATTTAAAACATAATTTTTGTCTTAAAAAATTGAGTATAAATTTTAATACCTCCATCTATGACAATTAGATAAAATTGATGTACTTTCAAGTAGTTTTTCCTTGTTGGTGTCAGACCATCATCATACATTTCATAATCTTATTCATCATCCAAGATTACAAAATTTCATACAGTAGTTTGTAATCATAATTCATCATTGAATTAGATGAGTAATTAAAAATGATTTAATCATAATAATAATTATTAAATAAACTTTAATGGTAAAATACCAAGTTACCATTGAAAAAAACAATGTTATTGCTTAATAAATATCAGTTAAAGCTATGAAATACTTGGCCTGGTAATAAAAGTGGTGTTATTGCATGTAATTTTGCTGTTCGCATAGAAATGTTGCTGCTGTCCAACAATATCCGTGACTACTACTTTGTGTCACAAGGTAAAACTACTATCCCCGGATTGGACGATGGGGAAGAGCTACTTGTTACTGATGTAAGTGCATGTTGTAAAATAATAAAGCATGATGTAACTATATGGCTAAAAGCCTTATCATCAGCGCACTTGATAGCTCTTCATGCAAATATTTATCTACAGAAGTCATCATCTTCTCTTGTCTACGCTCTTCTGGAATATTTTTTAATATTTATTTTACAGCAATCATTATTCTATTTCATTTATAACAGTTCATCAAACTTCATTATCTACTCTGAAGATCAATCATTTTTCTTATATTAAGTAATATTTCAATAATACTTAATATCATTTCATTTCAATGTTCTAACTAAGAATCAGATTAGTCATCAAATTTTTGCTTATCGTGACAATCATTTACTTTCAGCATCGTAATATATATATATAATAATTTTCAGCTGAATATTTATAATATTTTTATGTTAATCTTTTTAATATTTCAATGTATTCTTATTCATCACAGCTTCAACGAGAATTGTAACAGGTCGTTTTCTTCCCCTAATGAGAAATTTTATAGACTCTGAAGATACATGAAAATTTTTTATAAAAAGAACTAGATAGTTTAGAGAAAGAGATTATTTTCCAATACCAATATTATACAGAAAAAATAATTGACATAATGATTTACAGAAATGTGTCTGTTATCGAATGACATTCATGACTATTACAACGTAGCCCAAGGAAAAATTACAATTCCCAACGTCGATGATGGTGAAGAATGTCTTCTTACGGACGTAAGTCCTCGAAATGTTTTTTTTTTTTAATTCCTTTGATCGTGATACCTCCCTCCCTATCAGTATATTTACTTTTACCCTTTATTAAATTTACTGAAAAAATATTACAATTATTTTTCTATCCAAAAGTATTCATAAGAAGATACTTGTGATACATATAATTTATTCATAAAAATAGATAAATAATACAAAAACAATTTCCTTAGTGAAAATTTTAACACACCATCTTATGATCAATTTTTATTTAATTTTTTACATCACTAATTGATTCCTATTTTTAAATTGGAGATTGATTTTCTATTTTGTTTAATAGTATGTAGATAGTTACTACCAATAATATTATTTATTGTTTTTTAAATTGACCAAAAAATTCACCAAATGAAACCTAAAAAAAATAAATAAAAGATTTACTTATAAATTAGCGAATAGACACTAGTGATTTCATCTGTCGAGTGTAATTATACATCAGCTTGAATAAAATAATTATTCAAGTACATTATTTACTTCACTAAATCTACGACGTTATCAATAGACATTAGATTCCTATTTACAGTGTTCAACCGTGTTTTTATACCCTTAAAAAACAAATACTTATATCATTATTATAAATAATGATAATAAATATGTGACTTTTATTCTTTACAGCAAAGTGGGTGCGTGATATGATTAATAAAAATGTATTATTGACTTATAATCTATCAAGAGAGTGTATTATTGACCAATAGTAATAACTCTTCTTTAGTTATTGTAGAAACTATTCTATTAGATGTGGACACAACTTGTTCCATGTATTCAGAACGTAGGATGCAGCATCTACGACTATTTCAGTTATTAATATCATATCAGTACTATGATAAAATAAAAACACTATGGTATATAGTATTTATTAACCGAGTAGAGGGAAGAAGCGACTATTTAACAGCTACGCTTCTGCTTTGCTAATATTTGCTTTTTGGTCTCTGTCAGATACTATTGATGTAGTTTATCATCACAGAACTTACGCTTATGCATTTTGAATCACTAATTTTTCATTTATTATCATCAAATTATCCTTATCATCTAAATTCATACCAATTTATTAACACTTGGAAATAATTGTTGATATGGAGATTAAAATAATTGTCTTTCTCAATGTAGCAAGCCTTTGACGTTCTTGGATTCACCCAAGAAGAAAAGAATGACATCTACAAAATCACTGCTGCTGTCATGCACATGGGTGGAATGAAATTCAAACAAAGAGGTCGTGAAGAACAGGCTGAAGCTGATGGTACTGAGGTCAGTTGTTGCAAGTTTTAAAGATAACAAAATTCATTACTCTGTTGATTTATATACTAATGATTGTTTCATAAATTTTAGGAAGGTGAACGTGTTGCTAAACTTCTTGGTGTTGACTGTCAAGATCTTTACAAGAACTTGTTGAAACCCAGAATCAAGGTCGGAAATGAGTTCGTCACCCAAGGTCGTAACAAAGATCAAGTATCATACTCAGTCGGTGCTATGTCGAAAGCTATGTTCGATAGGTTATTCAAATGGCTTGTCAAAAAATGTAATGAAACTCTGGATACCAAACAGAAACGACAACACTTCATTGGTGTACTAGATATTGCTGGTTTTGAAATTTTCGACGTGAGTATAAAAAACAATTCTCTCAGAAAATTAATGAAGAAATATATTTTTTATCTGATGCTTCTTTCATTATAGTTTCTAATAAGACAATTGAAAAATAATTTTTTATATTAAACATTCCATTATTAAGATATATTTTAAATTTGTAAATAGTAATTTATTATTTTACTAAGCATCAAATAAAAAATAAATTAATTATTTCTTTCATATAATTTCAGATAAAATATAATTATTTTATTATAATTTATTTAAAAGTCATCAATATGCTAATTATTGTAAAGTAGAAATATTGTTCATGTGACGATACTGTACTAGCTTCGAAGTTTGAGATAGGGGGACAATTAATTTATTCAGGACTTAATTTGTCATCATTCTATGTCGACTGTTATCTACAACATTCAATTTTATTTCGACTAAAATTTGAATTTTAATCATCGGACAGAATGTCCAGTATTTATCTCTAGAAAATATTCTTCTGGGATAGTTCAATTTTCATCACTTCTTACCAATAGACTTCGTACATTTGCAGGCAACAAACTTGATAATACATCTAACTCTCGAGACTTTTTTGTCTTTTTTTTAGAAAAGAATATTCATGAAATATTGATAAATTTATTGAATACATTTTATAATTTATTTATACTTATGAAACTCTCAGTACAACGGCTTTGAGCAACTTTGTATCAACTTCACCAACGAAAAACTGCAACAATTCTTCAACCATCACATGTTCGTACTCGAACAAGAAGAATACAAGAAAGAAGGAATCGTGTGGCAGTTTATTGATTTTGGAATGGATTTGCTAGCCTGTATCGAACTTATTGAGAAGGTAGCCCCAATTAAATTAACCCTCATGTTATATTTGACCCATATGATGAAATTTAGAAATATATTAGAGCAATCCCACAAAGTGTGAATGATTATTTTCTCTTTTATAGATGAATTTTGTTTCTTTCAAGCATGATACCTACGACTATCTTCTTATCAGTAGACATTTTGAGTATAATTGACAATACTCCAATGTTGAGGGTTATACTTCCTTTGACCCATTTGATGATTTGTCTGATGTTGTAAAATTCAATGCACCAATGACAATAGTCATTATTTCAGAGTTTTCTGTATTTTAACACATTTTCTTATATTCATTACATTTCTATACTCTTTCATAAGGACATCTACAATATTTTGAGGGAGTATTGGGGAAAGTTCGTAAAACAGTGGACGTCACACTAAATAATCAAGAGGTAATTTTTGATAATTATGATACTGAATACATTTACTTATGTAAATGGTACTGAGAATCATACTACTGAATTCTCAATTGTGATGACAAAAAAAAGTAGATTGTTTTTTGAAGTATCAGAAGTAGGTTGTATAACCATTTGTAGAAAGTATTATGCTTCTAACTAAATAGAAGTTGTTTGAATCATCATATGTATATCATTTTTTATACATAAATAACGGTAATTTAAATTACCTTTTTTTTTTAATCATGTAGAACACATATTTATATCATACTCATAACATACTTGAATTCGTTAATTACAAACTTAAAACGAATAAATTATCATTAGTATTTGACAATATTATACTTTACAAGGCGACTATCTGACTATTTTTCGCCAACAAATATGACATCACATTTGCTCGAACAGTTTAACAGCTTCGAACAACTATGCATCAACTTCACCAATGAAAAACTTCAACAATTCTTCAATCACCACATGTTTGTTCTTGAACAAGAAGAATACACTCGAGAGGGCATTGAGTGGGCCTTTATTGACTTTGGCATGGATCTTCTTGCGTGTATCGAGCTAATAGAGAAGGTATAATTAAGAGTATCCAACACAAAGAAAGGATTCTTTGGACATATGTGTCACTGCAATACATACATCAACTGCTTCACTTTTAATTTTTAATGCTTCAACGTGATTGTCCACTGTTTTATTATTTTTTCAACAATTATCTTATTCGTTCTATTCGGAAATAATTTGTCGATTACAGTTAAAGCCATACATACATCTATCCATCCATCATGATACACTGCAACTGGACACACCAAGTGATATCACCAGAGATTTTATTTTTCTATAAGGAGTCAGATTTTCTCCTTGCATGATATCTTTGATTATTTTTCATCTTTTTTTATCACACCCATGAAGTTGTGATTTTTTATTTTTGGTGTTTATAAATGATCCTTTTAGCAGGCGACAGCAATTTTTAATCCATAAGTTCCAAAAAGACTATTCAATGGAGTAAAGTAGGTTTTGATAAATATTTGATATTTTATGTTTTTGTCCACAGCATAAAAATCTTTTTCTTGACGTGGTGCTTTTTTCGTGAGTGAATTTTCCCAGTTTGTTTCTGGTGTGCAAACCAGACCATCTTATGAGAGTCTGTGTTTATTTGTGTTAATTATGGAAAAAAAATGTTGAGGTTCAACTTGAAACTATTTCGAATATTGTGTTTAACAAATTGAGGATAGCTTTTGAATCATAAAATCTAATATGAAGAAAATTTATCATGAATACATTTATACTGCAATGTCATGATCATTTGCAGCACTTATGATTACTATTTAAGTTTTGTTTTAATCATTGGCATAAACAGTGAATTGACGACTGTCTTGCCTTTTTTTCATAACCCCTGCACTCACAGTTCAACAGCTTTGAACAACTCTGCATCAATTTTACCAATGAAAAATTGCAACAATTCTTCAACCATCATATGTTCATTCTTGAGCAAGAAGAATATAAGCGTGAAGGTATTGAATGGACGTTCATTGATTTTGGAATGGACCTTCAACAAACTATTGACTTAATTGAGAAGGTACTTCGAACAATCCATTCAAAATGTTTGACACGACGTAATCATTGTTTATCGACAAGCTGTTATGATAAAAATATACGCATGTTATTTATATTTAATCATTACATCATTTACTACTAACCGATAATAATTTTCAGATTTACATTTGCACTATCTTGTACAACTGTAAACTCTACTTTATCAAGTATCTTATCTTTGGTACCATAAAAAATCAATAACTTCAAGGAAAAAATTGGATCTAATTCATGTTAAGCTTATAATAATAAGCTTTTATGAAATATTATTTAAATAAAATAACAAGAACAAATTTTTCCTAAGTTATAAAATATATCTTGAGCACGATTGGTTTCTTGAATGTTGCTATGAAGTGTGTATTGCATCCCCCTTATGTTTTATGGGTTGTTACGATGACTTGGATGATTGATTGGATCAACCACAGTTTAACAGCTTCGAACAACTTTGCATCAATTTTACGAATGAAAAGCTTCAACAATATTTTAATCACTTCATGTTCGTTCTCGAACAAGAAGAATACGAACGAGAGGGTATTATATGGACATTCATTGATTTTGGTATGGATTTACAAGGAACAATCGAGTTGATTGAGAAGGTAACATTTTATTTAAATAGCTGCATGTTCCTCTGCTTATAAATGATGTTTGGTCATGGTATGCTTGTGAAGCCAGTTGGTAATGTAGTCATTTAATTAATTAATAAGTAATAATTATATTTTTATTAGGTAGCCAGCTGCTATATTAAAGTCCAATTTTTATCAACATCATAAATCAATTTTCAACGTAAAATAAATTAATGATCATAAAAAATATTTTTTTTTCATATAAATCATTATTTAACTTGCACCAAGAATCATCAAATAACGAATAAATTTTAGATATTTTAAAAAGTAATCAAAAAATTCTGAGTAATGATGAATATAATTTTAAAATTGATCAAAATCATCTATCTTTTGCTGACATTCAAAGTTTCATGTAAAAATTAGCAAAATAAACAATCATTGATTGAATAACATTCAAAATAATTTAAATATAAAAATTGTTTTCAATAAACATATATTAATATGTGATCTCCACCAATTTTTTTCCTAGAAAATTAGCTTAGAGCTAACAAAGAAAAAATTATAGGCAATAGTTCACAAGCCATTTACAATACTAAAGTCTTTTTTTCCCTCTATCTAGCCTATGGGAATCTTGTCAATTCTTGAAGAAGAATCTATGTTCCCGAAAGCTACCGATAAAACGTTCGAAGAAAAATTGAACAATAACCATTTAGGTAAAAGTCCTAACTTCTTGAAGCCTAAACCACCAAAGCCTGGTCAACAAGCAGCTCACTTTGCAATTGGTCACTACGCTGGTAATGTGAGTATAGATTTTCTTTACTTATGAAAAATGAATAATTCAACTGGAAGAGGTAAATAAATAATGAATTAATTGATATCAGGTCCCATACAACATTACTGGATGGTTGGAAAAGAACAAGGATCCATTGAACGACACTGTGGTCGATCAATTCAAGAAGTCATCGAACAAATTGTTGATTGAAATTTTCGCTGATCACCCTGGTCAATCAGGCGATGGTGGTAAAGATGCTAAAGGAGGTCGAGGTAAAAAGGGAGGTGGTTTCTCAACTGTATCATCATCCTACAAGGAACAGCTTAACAACCTCATGACAACTTTGAGAGCAACTCAACCTCACTTCGTACGTTGTATTATTCCTAATGAAATGAAACAACCTGGTGTCATTGATTCTCATCTTGTGATGCATCAATTGACTTGTAACGGTGTACTGGAAGGTATCCGTATTTGCCGAAAAGGATTCCCCAACAGAATGATGTACCCAGATTTCAAACTTCGGTAAGTATCAGTTCATAATGAAACTTATCTAGAATAATTCATAATTATTTAAAAATAAATCTCAATCAAATATCACAAGTAACTATTATTTTGTTCAGTCTTTTAATTCAGGGTAACTAGAAAACACTTGGTTGTTAATGTGATTCAATTTTTAAATAGTTATTGAAACATTCTATTAGATAATTTTTTACATGTAGGATAATTTTATTATTTATTACGTAGAATAAAATTTAAATAATCTCAAATACATTAGCTTCATTACGTAAAGAAGATATTCAAGAAAATAATAATTTTTTTATTAAATTTCTTCTCGGGGTATAGTTATATGATATTAGCACCACAAGCAATGACTCAAGAAACTGACCCCAAAAAAGCAGCTCAAAGATGTTTCGATGAATGCGGTCTTGATCCTGATCTCTACAGAATCGGACATACAAAGGCTAGTTAAAAATACCCCTTTATCAGTGAAATAGTTTCATTCAAGTAAAGTCTCCTTTTTACCCTACCCCGATGGAAGATCTAAAATATTCTGATGTGAATATTTGTTTTAGTTTTTTACCCTGTATTTAGTATTTTTGGAAACACTTTGTTAATTGTGTTAAACCTATTTATTAGATTATTTTATTTGTTATTTTTCTCATTAAACCATCCATTTTTTGTAGAAGTATTTAGGAAGAAACCCTTACTTAAAAATACCTAGGATTATGAAAATCGATATTTGAACCCTTGGTAAACTTAATATTGATGTGATTACCATTTATTCTGCGTTTGTTGTATTTAAATAAGTAGAGTATTGTTATCCTTTAGAAACTAATCGATAGCCTATCGATTTGCATGTTACCAATTACTTTAGGTACAAGATCCTAGCTCCTGCAGCTGTAGATGCAACAGATGGAGATCCAAAGAAGGCTGCTGCAGCAATCTTAGAAAATTCAGGACTTGATCCTGATCAATATCGTCTTGGACATACAAAGGCATGTCATAAATGACTCGAGACGATCTTCGATTTAATATCTACCTATAATGCTTTATTAGATACCAGCTAACCAGTTTTTTTTCAAAAACTTATGAATATTATTTTCATATAAATAATTTTATTTAAATTATTATATTTTTCTGAGATCAACTTTTAGAAAATTCATAAAAGTATATCAAGCCATATGAGCTAGATGTGGTGATATGAAAATAATATTTACATAAAGTTTTTTTAAAAATAAATCGACATCAAACCAGAGAGGACTGCTGGATTATTTTTTTTTTTATTGTTATTAATGTTTAAACATTAGAGAACGATCATTTTTAAGTTAATTATTAATTAATATTTTATTTAAAGATAGCCTTTTTAACAATTAAGTTTTTTAATATTGAATAAAAATAATCGTTCTCATAATGATGCGTCTTCAGAGACGTAATATATAAGTAAGAATTCCCTAAAGCACTTGATGATTGGATGAAGTAAATGTTATGAAAACGTAAAACCATTATACTTCAACGATTTCATGACATAGCATGTTTTACATTTTTCTGCTTTTTTTACCATCACCACAACAGATATAAAATTCTGTGTGCAAATGCAATCAAAGACGGAATGGATCCGAAAAAGGCTACTGAGCTCATCCTCGAAGCGATTGCTTTGGAACAAGATCAATATAGACTGGGAGCTACCAAGGTATATGACGTCCTTGGGAAATATAATGAATTTGAAAGAATCAATATCGTCATCACTCATCATCGCTTGGAATATAAACCAACTGCGTTTATTCATTTTATAATTATCACTACTAACATCTCCAATTGAATCAACTAAAAGTTCAGGAAAATCAACACCTTAACCAATTCTTCCAATCTAACTTGAATTAATCTAAATAATTACTTTGTTTATTACTAATTCGTTCGAGAAACTAAACATGTTTCAGACTTCCTTTTCAAATAAAATAACTGTGTTATCATCTAACTCAATATTATTAACGCTAAATACAAGCGTTACGTACATTTATGGTAGAACTGATCAAAGAATTATTTTTTTTTTTATATTTTTGCTATGTTTCTATTTTGCTCACATGAAAGGAGACAAAATAGTTTACAAAAATCGATCATTCTTTCATCAGTTTTACTGTAATTGGTGGAACCAATGGTACCTATTTTCACGAAGTACATCAATCTAGGTATTCTTCCGAGCTGGAGTGTTGGGTCAGATGGAAGAGTTACGTGATGAACGTCTGAGCAAAATTGTATCATGGATGCAAGCCTACATGCGGGGTTATCTTGCACGTAAAGACTTCAAAAAATTGCAAGAACAACGTTTGGCTCTCCAAGTCGTACAACGCAACTTGCGAAGATACCTCAAGCTTCGTACCTGGCCATGGTGGAAATTGTGGCAGAAAATCAAGCCTTTACTCAATGCTACACGTATTGAAGATGAGTTGGCTGTAAGTATTATTTATTTTGCATATTTGTATTGCTGAATCAAATTTTATGTTGATATTATTATTAAAATTTAAATTTGATTTTTAGGAATTGCAAGAAAAAGCTCGTGCTGCCCAAGAAGCTTTCGAAAGAGAAGAGAAAGCACGTAAAGAGTTAGAAATCCTCAATGCAAAACTTCTCTCTGAAAAGACTGAACTTTTGCGTCAAGTGGAAGGAGAAAAAGGTTCTTTGGCTGAATACCAAGAGAAAGCTATCAAACTTGCAGCCCAAAAAATGGATTTGGAATCTCAATTATTGGTAAATATATTTTTTTCTTATTTTTAATATTCTTTTGATTGCGCAATGGATGTTATTAAAATTTGGGGTATTTATAGGATCTTCAAGAAAGGCTAACAGGAGAGGAAGATGCCAGAAATAATTTATTCCAAAATAAAAAGAAATTAGAACAAGAAGCAGCAGGTTTGAAGAAAGATATTGAAGATTTAGAATTGGCCATCCAAAAATCGGAACAAGATAAAGCTACCAAGGATCATCAAATTAGAAATTTGAATGATGAGATTGCTCACCAAGATGAACTCATCAACAAATTGAACAAAGAAAAGAAAAACCAGAGCGAAGTTAACCAGAAGACCGCCGAAGAACTCCAAGCAGCTGAAGATAAAATCAACCACCTCAACAAAGTTAAGGTTAAGCTAGAACAGACCCTTGATGAACTTGAAGACACTTTGGAACGCGAGAAGAAATTACGAGCTGATGTTGAGAAAGCTAAGAGGAAAACTGAAGGAGACTTGAAATTGACACAAGAAGCTGTTGCAGATTTAGAGCGTAACAAGAAAGAATTAGAGCAAACTATCCAACGTAAAGACAAAGAATTGTCATCACTTACAGCCAAACTTGAGGATGAACAATCTTTGGTTGGAAAACTCCAGAAACAAATCAAGGAATTGCAAGCCAGAATTGAAGAACTTGAAGAAGAGGTTGAAGCTGAACGTCAATCTCGTGCTAAAGCTGAGAAACAAAGAAGTGATCTCGCCAGAGAACTCGAGGAATTGGGTGAACGTCTTGAAGAAGCCGGTGGTGCAACATCAGCACAAATTGAACTCAACAAGAAGAGAGAAGCCGAACTTAGCAAACTTCGTCGTGATCTTGAGGAAGCTAACATTCAACACGAATCTTCATTAGCTAGTCTTAGGAAAAAACACAATGATGCTGTTGCTGAAATGGGCGAACAGATCGATACTCTCAACAAATTGAAAGCAAGGTATAAATCAGTTTAGATCATTCAACGTATAGTTTCAAATTTTTTTTAGAGTTAAAGATAACTTCAAAAATAGTATTTTTATCGGAGATATTTCATATCAATATCCCTTAGTCTGTTCAGTGCTTCATATTTTTTTATTATTTATTTAAACGGGTTTTCCTGTTATTAGAGCTGAAAAAGGTCGTCATGATATCCATGCTGAATTGAACGCTGCTCGTGCGGCAATTGATCAAGTCGCGAGAGAAAAGGTAGAATACATACAACCCTGGAATGCATTTGATCGTTGAAAAAATTTGGAAATATCCCTGACATCCGACAAAATTTTCTTATCTGTTTCATTGATATGAACCTTGATTATTTATTATGATATCCATCTATTCGTTAACCTACACCATAATTTTACATGTAATTCCTGCATTTGTTTTTTTTCTGTGCTCAACAGGACTGAAAAAGAAAAAGTTCAGTATTTTACCGAGTTAAATGATCTTCGTGCCACTGTCGATCACTTGAGTAACGAAAAGGTAATTTATTATATTCGACAAAAATTGTGGCGCTTAATAATGCTTCAATGCTTTAAAATATTGCAAAATTATATTATTTTAATTTTTTTTTGCTTTCTTTATATTTTTTAAAGCTTCATTATTAAAAAAAAAAAAGGATAGAATTAATTATTTATTTTTTTTCTGATTTTATAACACTTTTTACTTAGTCTCAGTTAAATAATAAAATACAATTATTATTTATAATTTATTTAAACCAAATAGATCATTTTTAAAATGGTAAAACTGAATTTTTGTTTTTATTTAATTCAATTTGGTCAACTGGTAAGATTTATTATTTATAAAAATTTATTAATTGATATGTTTATTACCAACGATTGAGTAAATAACGATATGCATTATTTTACTCGTTAAATGAATATAATTCCTCCTTGTAAATTAAAAAAAAAAAAATTACTAACAATTTTTTTTTGCATGATTGAAAATATCTTATCATTTTCTAATAACTATTTTTTTACTAATACGAAACATTTTTTTAATACTACTCTGCTGGCTAATCCGATGAATTTGTTAATATTATAAATACTCTAACTGATACTAATATTTTTCTTATAAATGAATTAGGCTGCTCAAGAGAAAATCGCCAAGCAGTTGCAACACCAACTCAATGAAGCTCAGGGCAAATTGGAAGAACTCAACCGCACCGTCAATGACTTTGATGCTGCCAAGAAGAAGTTATCAATTGAAAACAGTGATTTGTTGAGACAGCTTGAAGAAGCTGAATCACAAGTCAGCCAATTGTCCAAGATCAAAATTTCACTCACGACCCAACTCGAAGATACCAAGAGACTTGCTGATGAAGAAAGCCGTGAACGTGCTACATTACTCGGCAAATTCCGCAATCTTGAACACGATCTTGACAATATTCGTGAACAGGTTGAAGAAGAAGCCGAGGGTAAGGCTGATCTCCAACGGCAGTTGAGCAAAGCTAATGCTGAAGCTCAATTATGGCGTACTAAGTACGAGTCTGAAGGAGTTGCACGAGCTGAAGAACTTGAGGAAGCTAAACGTAAATTACAATCAAGATTAGCTGAAGCTGAGGAGACCATTGAGTCACTCAACCAGAAGGTTATTGCTCTTGAAAAGACTAAACAACGTCTTGCAACTGAAGTTGAAGATCTACAAATTGAAGTTGACCGTGCAACAGCAATTGCCAATGCTGCTGAGAAGAAACAGAAGGCATTCGATAAGATCATTGGAGAATGGAAACTCAAGGTTGATGACTTGGCTGCAGAACTTGATGCAAGTCAGAAAGAATGCCGTAATTACAGCACTGAGCTCTTCCGTCTCAAGGGAGCTTATGAAGAAAGCCAAGAACAACTTGAAGCAGTACGTCGTGAGAACAAGAATCTTGCTGATGAAGTGAAAGATTTACTCGATCAAATTGGTGAAGGAGGCAGGAACATTCATGAAGTTGAGAAGGCCAGGAAACGATTGGAGGCTGAGAAGGATGAGTTACAAGCTGCATTAGAAGAAGCTGAAGCTGCTCTTGAACAAGAAGAAAACAAGGTCTTACGTGCTCAATTAGAGCTTAGCCAAGTAAGACAAGAAATCGACCGTCGCATCCAAGAGAAAGAAGAAGAATTTGAAAACACGAGAAAGAACCACCAACGTGCTTTGGACTCCATGCAAGCATCTCTTGAGGCTGAAGCTAAGGGTAAAGCTGAAGCTTTACGTATGAAGAAGAAGCTTGAAGCTGACATCAACGAATTGGAAATTGCATTGGACCATGCCAACAAAGCCAATGCTGAAGCTCAGAAGAATATCAAGAGATATCAACAACAACTCAAGGATGTCCAATCAGCTTTAGAAGAGGAGCAACGTGCACGTGATGAAGCTCGTGAATTACTTGGCATCTCTGAACGTCGTGCTAACGCACTTCAAAATGAACTAGAAGAAAGCCGTACCTTACTTGAACAAGCTGACCGCGGCCGCCGTCAAGCAGAGCAAGAATTAGCAGATGCTCATGAACAACTCAATGACCTTAGCGCTCAAAATGCATCTATCTCAGCTGCCAAGAGGAAACTCGAGGCTGAACTTCAAACCCTTCATGTAAGTTCATTTTTAAATTTAAAGAGTATGTTAATTCTATGACAAATGATTTTAATTTTTATATTTTTATAGTCGGATTTGGATGAACTTCTCAATGAAGCCAAAAACTCAGAAGAGAAAGCCAAGAAAGCTATGGTTGATGCTGCCAGACTTGCTGATGAACTCAGAGCTGAACAAGATCACGCTCAAACACAAGAGAAATTACGTAAAGCATTGGAAGCTCAAATCAAAGAACTTCAAGTACGACTTGATGAAGCTGAAGCCAATGCTCTCAAAGGAGGTAAAAAAGCTATCCAGAAATTGGAACAACGTGTTCGGGAACTTGAAAATGAATTGGATGGTGAACAAAGAAGACATGCTGATGCTCAAAAGAATCTACGTAAATCTGAGCGCCGCATCAAAGAACTTAGCTTCCAGGTAATTACAATGAATTATTTTTGAAAAATTAATTTTTACTTCATTTATTTATTGTTTTCTAATGATTAAAAATTATTTTTATAGGCTGATGAAGACCGAAAGAACCACGAGCGTATGCAAGATCTTGTTGACAAACTTCAACAGAAGATCAAGACATACAAGAGACAGATAGAAGAAGCTGAAGAAATTGCTGCCTTGAATCTTGCTAAGTTCCGAAAAGCTCAACAAGAATTAGAAGAAGCGGAAGAGCGGGCTGATTTGGCTGAACAAGCTATCACGAAATTCCGCACTAAAGGACGTGGAGGAAGTGCAGCTCGTGGCTTGAGTCCAGTGGTAAGTTCATGTTTATATCTTGTAATTATTTCTAGAAAAAAAAAATTACAGAGATTCAATAGACAAACGAAAATTTTTGGCCTTTGGAATTGAATATTCGTAGTTCAAATAATATACAAGATATTTCAAAAATAAATTAGCACTAATCTATGAAATTGGCTGGCTTAAAATGATAGTAAACTCGAAAGATTATTTGCGAATGTTTTTGAAATATCCTGCATATATAGTTATATTTATCGGGGAAAAACTAAAAGAATATAATATGACCCATAGCCTCAAAAGGGTCGTAAACCTACAACTGCTTCGGAGTAATCTGCCACATTGGTTCATGTAAGTGGGTGTGTCGTCGTAAATATTACACATTAGTTATATGTGTGTTTTTATCGTGACGGACACAAAACATGTACACATTAGCTTATTGAGATTTGCTTCATTTCATATCGTATAATATGAATCAATAACAGACATGCAGATTTTTTTATTTTAAAAAAAAATATCAGAACCTACATCAAATAGAAACCAAAGCAGAGTATCACAACAACCCTATAAACGTCTATTCAAAACTTATGTCTCCCATTTAACACATGCTAAAAGTATATGCTCCACCAGTTGGATTAGCCTTTGGAGCACATCATTATCATTTCATAAGAGAAGATTGATAGTGTTTTTACGTTTTAACATTTTTTACTGATTTAATATAAGATTTAAGATCTAAAAGGATTAATGTTAACAAGATAATTAAATTATAACTTATTTTTTTAGCCATTTCGACCAACAATGAAACCCCAACTGGACGGTTCTGCATTCCCACCAAGGTTTGATCTTCAGCCTGACTCTGATCTATAAATTGAAGAAAGAAATTGAATGATTATTTCAATGTCATCTTAAATTATTCATAAACATTATTAATAATTGAATTTGATTTATTATAAAATAAAGTACAACCATAAATTTGGCAGCTGAATGTTCTTTTGAGAACTGTTTTATGTAATATCATCATCCTAATTTATAAGAAAAAAAAACAATATGAATGTGTATTTATTAAAATAAAATAAGTAATACCCATCTTTAAACATGTTCTACTGATTATTATTCCTAATACCTATTCTCTGAAATATATACATAAAATATTGTTTTGTATTATTATTTCTGAATAAAAAAAGTATTTGAAATAAAATAAAACAAAGCATTTTGATGTTTTTTTCACTCACCTTGAATATTATTATAAGATTCAGATCCTAATAATAATGGATACTCTTATGTAAAAATAAAATAAAGAATAATAGTAAAAAGAAAATAAAATTAATAAAGAAAAAAATGTAAGATTCGGAGTAGAAAAGAGGAGGGACTGTGGTCGAACTGGACAAAGAGGAATTTTTGAAATTTATGGCAGGTTATTCGCTACGGATCAATATTATAGGGATCTACTATTATCATTCGATAATGTCATTGGGATCTGCTGTAACGATATTCATGATGGCGCGTTAACGGACGTTGCAAGTTCAAAAGGATAATCATAATAGTAATAGCAGCATTTATTTTAGTTCAAAGTGGTACAGAAACTCAAAAAAATGCACGATAAAGATGTACTATATTATTTTTGGAGCTCCATGTCGAATTTGCGAACAGAAGTATCTACTTGATTCACAAATTTATAATATAAATCAAGCCATTCTTTAGATTTTCTATCTGTAATCTATTACGTCTTTTATATTCACTTTGAAATCACCGGTAAGTATACTTCAAGAAAAATAAACGTTCCATTAACAATGATAATAATCTCTAAATAGTCAAACAATTGAAGCAATTACTTTGTAATGCTACAATGAATTTATCATTCGGTTGACTATTATTAGCAAACTGAAACGGCACTTTTAAGGTTAGTCGCTAATATTTTCTTTCATTATTCTCTCTAGGAATATGACTACAACATCAAGTAACGGAATTTCTGCGTCAAGAAATATCAGAAATTTCATATTTTCTCGTAACGAAAAGGATTTTCAACAATTTTGTACTATGGATAATTATGAAGATGCCATTGTTACTTTATTTGAGGTATATTCATACATGATATATTTTTTATTTATTTGTTTATTGTTTGTATCACTTTAGGAGTTGGATGCTTTTGATGTTCCTGATTTAAGTGACATCCCATCAAAACCATTAGTGACCAAAGAACCAGAATCAGCTGATCTCATGAAATGCCTTTTTGTTAAATTAATGAACTCAGCTTGGAATTTAATTCATCAACACAGAAGTCTTATGAAGAATCATGAAAAATTAAAAGAGCAACATTCTCGAGTATTAAATGATAATACAGGACTGACAGTAAGTTTATTTACCTGTATATGTATAATAATTTCTATGATAAGCATTAAAATAATTTTTATTAATCATTCATTTTTTCTGCTGCTTTAAAAGTATTTGTGGTAAGAATATCATCATATTTGTTAATCATAAATTTAATTAAGAATAATTCATAAAATTAATATATTTTAGAATATGTGATTCAAATAAATTTAATATTTTTTATAGAATCAAGTGAGAAGACTTAAAGAAGCAATTGGAAGGAAAGAAAATCATATTAGCGAAGTATTAGAAAGAGAACGACAATTAAAGGTGAAACTTGGAAGCATGAATAAAGATTTAAAACGAGAGAAAGAAGAGGTAATTTACAGAATAATTTTTCATATGATTAAATAATTGTAGAATAATTATTAAAGTTACTCAATTGTATCTAGACTGTAAAATTAAAGAAACAAATTCAATCCAAAGACATTCAACATGCTCATGAAATACGTCGCATTCAACAAAGTGGTAATAAGCTTCGTGAACAGTTACAGAAGACTGTTGGTAAATATGAAAATTTAAATTTTATCTAATTATCTTATTATATTTTTTTTAACAAAGTCTGAATACTTGTTAGGAACATATGTACCAAAGAATAGAGCAGCACAACAACTGCAGACTGAATATGAGGATAAGATTCGTACTTATAAACAAACAATTAATCGTTTGGAGGAGAACAATGGGCTGATGCTTCAAGAAATAAATGAATTAAAAGATGCATTAGACCTTCATGCTGGTGGACTTGCACTTCATGTAGAATCATCAGGTATTTGGGATGAATCGACTTCATAATCATCAAATGGTAAGTTAAATTTATTTATTTATCTATTTCAGAATTTTTTATAAAAATCATTTGTCTAGTATTATACAAAATAATTAGGATCTTTCAATATATTAAAGTTTTCGAAATTTCTTCTCCAAAATTGTCAGTAATAAGCCAACTATTAGTTTATATCCATAATTGAATGAAATACTTTTAAATTGATTTGCAATAATCAAATAATTTTCCATTCATTGCATCCTCTATAGACCATATAATATAAGAAGCAAGACCACTCCAAGATAAACATTGACATGTAATTTATCGTAGGAATTATGCGTAATGCTTTTGGGGCATTTACAATTACCAGCAATGCAAACAATATTATTTTTATTTTGAAAAGAAATTGCCTTAGTTCCTTTTTGAGTGTAAATTATTTCTGTAGGCAATTTATTACCATTGCTATTTACATAAATTGAAGTCACTCTGAGTGAACTTTTCCCATCAGCACAATTATTTTTTATCAATGCATTTCCCCGAGCAATTAAATTTATCCGTACATTTGTAAAGACTGAATCAACAATCGATACACTGAATCCTTCAATAGTCATATCTCCAGGACTTCTAAAGTCAAATGTTGAATTTATTATTTCAATTGAACCAAAAAAAGCAAAATTAATATTTCCATCCATATTGCGAATTGTTGAATTGACTATTTTTAATATTTTTCCTTCATTAGAAAAATTTATTCCAACACTATGATTAATTGCAACATTTTTTAGTATAAATAAATCGACATTAATATTCGTGAATTGTTCATCAAATTTTCCAATTTTTGAATCTTCTATTGTAAATGATTCTATACTTGAGATACTGATGAAGGTATCATGATCAATTAAAGGTATTCTTCCAATTCTACTTAATTCAAATTTACCCATTTTTTTTGAGAGTACAATTGGTTCAAATGTCAAGCTGTCACTGACGTTGTGAATTATTAAGTCACGAATTGCATTAGAATTCCCAAGACTTATAGAATATAGATGTACAGATGTACATGATGTAATAAGTAATTTAGTTAATTTATCTAAATTGAGACTTGATGAAAGCTCTAATTCCTAAAATAGAAATAATTTATTAATTATTCTTTCTTTCTAATTTATTAATTTTAATTTTTCGCGATTATTACCTCATTTCCAACACACTCACATCTCATTATTTCTCCAGATCCATGACAAAACTCACTAACTTTATTTCCTGACACCACACATAAAAAAATCAAAATAATAGCACAAATATTATTCATATTTAAGAATATTCCAATTTTAACTTTCCAAGTATTTTTAATTAATTTCATTTTATTTATAAATTAATTATTAGCATTTCTTTAAAAATTTGGTTGTCTTTGATTTCAACTTGAATGCTTTTTGTTTCTAAACTATTAGAATGATAACTAGGATAAAAGTTATTTAATGATTAATCCTAGGCGTTAGAATATTTTATTTAAATTGTCAATGTGTAAAAGCACTTTCCTGCTGATAATTTTATAAACTAATACCACTACTTGTATTTTCCGCACACCACTTTTGATTATACGTGGCTTGCGGTCAGGAAGATATGCTTAAGTTAGCCATACATGGACGAAAAAAAGTAATGATGATTGACGGTTCTTTTAGGCGGCTTTTTATCTTGATTGGCATTCATGGTGGTAGCTCGATTGAATGTGTTCGAACAGGGTGAAAATATTAATGATGAATGTAGTTACCATGTAAAACTTTGACACTTTGGTGCATATCTGATAAAACATTATTTAATTCTTGAATCTGATTATTTATAAGAAGTTTCAAAGAGTAAAGATATTTTTTAAACAATACTTGTTTAGCTAAAAGTTCAATAAATAGTAAATTCTGCTTCTTTATCAATAACAAATAGTTGTGGTTTATTAAAAATTTTTCGGTACATTTATTAATGATTATTAAGCATTTATTTAGTAGCTCATTTATTTTTGGATAATAGTCACTTAAATATATTTAAAAATTTCATACAAAATATTCTTAATTAATATTAATAAAAAAATTATTTTTCCACAAATTCAGTCTTAAATTATTATTGTATGTATTGTTTACATTACATAAAGTTTATTTGAATAATTGACTCTTTTTAAAAATACAACTGTTTTGTCTTTGGTATGACCAACTGTTATGTAATCAATTTATTCAATATTTTTATCACTTATGATCTTATTTATGGAAAATTAAAGTTTCATTAATCACAGCTAATTATTTAATATAAAAATAATAGCGTTAAATAATAAGCACTATGATTAATATTATAAAAATGTCTCTATGATTAATTTTTAAATTTAAACATAATCTCTTTGGTGTTAAATATTATTTAATATTAATTATCTTATTACTTATTTTTATTATCCATTCAAACTATTATACTACTTATCATCAATTATTGAAAAAAATTTTTTTAGAAACTAAAAAAAAAAAAACTTAGAAATATAAAACCACTTATAGATAGTTTTTAAAATTTCTTTCGAAAAATATTTCTGATATATTCTTTGCGTTCAATTGAAACTAGAGCAAGTGGTGTTTTTCCATGTTGGTTCAAAATGTTAGTCAATCCACCGGCATTAATGAGGGCTGCACAAACTTCCATTTGTCTTTCTAATGGAATACGATCAGACACAGCTGCTGCCATGTGTAATGGAGTATTTTTGCTCCGATTTTGAATATTGACAGCTTCATGTCCATTTCTTGCCAGCAAACCCTGAAGTAAATTATCATTTTTTATTTATTTTATCATAACTAATACAAAACATTTAATCCACATATCTTTATATGATACACTACCTTGACAAGTGCTGGATCACAACTCAAAGATACTGCCAAGTGTAAAGGAGTATTTCCGCACTTGATTTCTTTAATTCTTGGATCTGCTCCATTATCTAATAAAAGTCGAATTGTTCCTATTGCATTGATACCTGATCCGTGAGGATCATGAGCTTCTACTGCTACGTGAAGTGGTGTTCTACCTGAAATTAAAAGAATGCAATCAATTTTATACATAAATTATTTAAATCATAAACAAGTATTAGACTACATTGCAATAGAATCATTGAAAATACTTACCATCGTAATTACACTTTGATAAATCAAACACTGAATTACGCTGAGCAGTTTTTAGGGCCAATAGTTCTGCTAAAACTGATACATGAGTATCACCATTCGCTACAACTGCATGAATTAATGTATCTCCCTGCAATCAGTAATTTATCGTTGGTAAAAAAATAAATTATCATTAAAAAATTACGAGAAATGTTTTATAAATACTAACTCGGGTTTGATAAAGTCGTTGGCTAATGTCAATGCCTTTTTGAAGCATCACAGCACCTAGATAACCTGCCACTTCACCCATTTGTGGACAATTCATTGCTGCTAAATACAAAGCATCCTCTCCTCTATTATTTATCCTTGACAATGCATCATTGTAGATTCCAAGTCGTTCTACTAGTGGTATTAAGTACGCTTTCTTCTTTTCTAGTTCTATTGGGTTACCCACTAGACACATCAGCATTCTGAAAAGTTCAATAATTCTTAGAACTATAAATATAAATTTTTCCTCTGTTTTTTTTTTATCAGTGATATTTTAACTGGTTCTTTTAATATTCCAATTTTTTTTTGCTTAATATAAAATCAATTTTTAAAATATACATACGTATCTCCATCTTCATCAGCTGCAGCAAGTTCTTGAGGGGATTTTTTTAGAAGATTCTTCATAGCTTTCTCGACATCTTTTGGATCTAATCCATCTTTTAATCTCCGGCTGGCTTGTGTAAAAGGAAGGTTTAAAGATGGCCATGGTGCTATGTGTCTATTAGAACTTCTGAAAGAAAAAATCAATGATGACTTTTCATTTTACTTTTCTTCTGATTTTTCTTTATCAACTATTAGATTTTGTTTTTAAATCTAACTACGCTATAAATATATGTGCTATTTATCGAATGTTTATAATTGTTATTTTTAGAGATAAATCTAATGTTTATTAGTTTATCTAGGATTTATACATACTTAGAGTTAGCATAAATATATATAACTTTATCTTTATTATAACTGTGTCAACTGATAAATTATCTAGAGTTTTCTTGATAAGCTTAGTGCAATTATTTTTTTTTCGTCCATCAACATAATGTATTTCTTTTGTTGTCAATTAAATATTTCTAATTATTCTTAAAAAAAAATTACCTCTTCACTGTAGTGTTTCGTTTGAAAGATGATACGGTTTCAGGTATTTGGAAGTCATCAAATGGCACATTTTGTATTGTATTCCAGGAGTTATTGAAATATTCTTGTTGAACGGTAGAAGTGGAAGGATCATGTCTATTATTTATTTGTTGTTCTGAGGTCTGATGGACTTGAGAAAAATTATTATAATTCGATAAATAATTATTTGCAGAATTAGATGCCTGGGGCTCATTGAAATAATATTGATTTCCTACAGAGTTGTCGTTATAACTTGTTGATAATAAATTATCTATTTCATGTTCAAAATTAATTTCATTTCCACTAGGATTTAATGAGTTGGTATTAAAGAAGTTTGATTGTGAATTATTTTGATAGTCTGATATTTTATAACTATCATTGATATCAGGATATACTAAATCATTATGTGCAGAACTAATAAGTGAAGCTGTATTGCCGAGATCTACAATATTTGTTGGTGAGTTTTCTTGATTATTCTCTCTATTTTCACTGCTTTGTTTGTCAGAAAGTTTATTTATCCCATGAAAATGTCCAAGTGATGTTTTATTATTCTGTTGTACGAATTGGTTTGGAATAACTTGAATTTCATTCCATTCTAAATTGTTTCCAATTATTTCCTCAACCATTTGCAAGTTGTTATCAAAGTCGATGGAATTCTCACTAGGATTTGTCATACCACCTAAAGATTCACAGCCATTACAGCATGAAAAGTCAACGAATTCAACTCCTAATTGTTCTTCTATTTTTGGCTCAACTGAATATTGATAGTTTGATGGACTTGGAGTATCTCCAAATGAATAACTTGATGATGATGAAGATGAGAGAGCTGTGGGTACTCGAAAATTTGTAGGTCTCTAAAAGTATCAACAAATAACATTGAAATAGATGTATATATATTTTTTTTTTAAATACAATAAATATGAAGAAAATATTAAAACTTACTTGTAATAACTCTGGTGGACTTCCAGAAATATTCAAAGGTACTGCTGGGGACCCAGTATTAGCAAAACCAGGTGATTGAGCTCGACTTGAAGCTCTACTGTGAGATCTAGATGATAATACATTATAACTTGCCGGTGAATCTGGCCAATTTTCACTCATTCTTGATGAAGATAAATTTATATTGTCTGGTTGAGCTCCTTGAAATTGTTTCATGTTTATCATCTTAACTAGTTCCTCACTTGTTAAGGAATTTTTCGTGAATGTTATCGAAGGAATTTGATTATTTATCTGAAAAATAAAGTATTTAATTAATTACCAATCAACATAAATCATCGATTTGAAGCTTTAAGAAGATTTTGTAAAGTAATTTATTTCTACCTCATTCAAATTCTGTGCATTATTCATGATGTTATGATTGTTTATGGTATTCCACCCGTTCTCGTAATTTCTCGAGTAATCTTTTTCTCCTGCAGAATTCTCTAATCGATCTAGACAGGGGTCTATCACGTTCCTGAAGTATTGATTACTTAAAATCTGCTGAGCAGTCGAGTCAATATTTGAAGTGTAGGATGACATTCCAGCGGCATTTTCCAACCAATCATCAAAGGTATGAGAAAGATTATTGCGTGATGTTTTAGGCTTTATTGGACCTCTTGCTATTAAACCATCATCTTCATCATCAGTATCGCTTGTTTCTTTTTCATCTTTCTCTTCTTCTTCATCATCATTATTATCATTCAATTTTTCTTTATAATTCGCATTTAAATCTTTAGCTTCTTTATCATTATTGCTTTTATTGTCATTTTTTTTGTTGTTAATATTATCTTTATCATCATTACTAGTTTCACTATTATAATTATCATTAACTTTAGGATCTTGGTCTTTATCATTGGATTTATTACCAGAAAATTTAAGTTCGACTATTTTTTCAATAATATCATCGAACTTACCTTGGGTAACTGGACTTGGAGTCAAGTCTACAAACACTAGAGAATTTGTTGATTGGTATGGACTGATACTTGCTGAGTCATAGGAAGAAGCATCAGAACTATCAGATATTTTTCGCCGAGGGGATGGAGAAATTTCTAATTGAATTTTAAAAAAATTACAATCAGGGTTATTTGAAGGGTTTTGATTGTCTTGTACTGATACAGGTGATTGTTCTAATTCAGAAAAAACACTTGATGCTAGACTTGATCTTGATAAATGCTGAGGAGTATCCATTTCTGTAGTTGACTCTTTGGTTGATGATAAACTAAATCAAATGATAAAATTATTTTTCAATAATTTTACAACTCAATTCAAAAATGCTTCATTGATGATGATATTATTGATTCGAATGATAGATGTACTAGTTTACCTATTGAGTCGATACATTCTATCAGGATCAATGGAGCAATTCCACAGCTCATCAACTTCTTGTCGCATACTGTAAATAAATATAAAATATTTTTGATAAAATTTTTATAAATAGTAATAATTTAATTTTTTAAATAAAATGTGTTTGGATTGATAAAATTTATTGAAATAAAAAATTTAGGATCTCCATTAGCATAAAAAAAACATGAACCCGGACGTCCAATACAAATGGTAGCAAAATGGTTGAAGAGTCAAATGACATTGGAATTAATTTTATATTTTTATCAATATTGTTCTATCATGTAATGTATTTTCTTCTAATAACTACCGGAAAAATAGCTTATCATTGAAATTTTTATCAGTTTCTGTATGATGTATGCATAGAATTTTTAATATTTATTGTTACTGAAAAAATTATTTTAACATATCTATACATTACTTACCTTGTTTAGTTCTCATTACTCATGTCAATTCAACAATAATTCTTTTATTCACGGCATGCAACATACGTAATTATTTTAGTAATAAATGTAGTTTTCTGTGAAAATTATTAGCTATGCTAATTTTTCATTTACTTATTAGTAAATTCATGTGAAAATACATATATGTACTATGACATAAATTTTTTTAAAATATACATATATATTAACTCTTAGCTGTCATATTAACTTCATGAATAATTAAAACAAAAAAAATTCCGATAAAAAATAATTGTAATACTAATTTTTTTTTTTTTGTTTAAATAATACGAATATGTTTTGCAGACGTTAAAAAACAATATTGGTTTTTGATAAGAGTGAAAAAATAAATTAAAATGTAATATAATTTAACTCACCTTATTATTCCTCAGATATATATGAATATTATCAACTTGAATTATTTACCAACTCAATTACTCATTAATTTATATTTAATAATTATGATTATTAATTGATTATTGCACATCAATTTTTAACAAATTTGATATTAAAACAATAATTAATTTAAATATTTAATTTACATGGAGATGATATTTTTTTTTTTGTTTAAATCAGAAAAGTCTGATGAAAATTCATCTTTAAAGTTCTTATCTCTTATACTTATGTAAAGAGACAAAAAAATCAATGGGTTCAGCGGTCACAAGTCGTCCCACGTGACTATCCGTACTGTCTGTTGAATTTCAATAGCAAATCAACACTTTTCTTTATATTATTTTATCACACAACCTTGACATTTGATATTAAATTTCCAAATTTATGATCAACTTTTGTTCATAAAATATTGACATACAACAAATAGGATAAAATTATATCGTTTATTCTGATATATATTTAAACAAAAAGAAACAAACTGTATACACAAGCTGATTAACTTCTGCACACAGAGCCGGTCGATTTAACTCTGATCGATTCACAAATCTTTCAACAACTAACTCACTCGAGACTATTCGCGCTCGATCTATCGCGCATGCGCTCTCGAAATATGACGTCAAACTGATCGACACAATGTCTCCTATTAACTGTCTCTTTCATTTATACATTTTATAATAAAGTATAATCATGGATGGAGATTAAAATATCATAATGTTAAAAGATTCTACTTTTAGCTCAGTTGATTATAAAAAAAAAAAGAAAAAAATCATTTAAATAAAAATATGAGAGAATTATTTTAGTGATGCTTGGTGGATTTAAACAGGTTTCCAAGTGATTATGTTTTAGGATAAGATTGTTGGGTGAGAATTTTACAAACATGCTATTCGTGATGATCACCAACTAAGATAAGATTTGCTATTAGGAAATGACAATCTACCACCTCAATCTTAACTTCCGAAGTTTTAACAAGCTACCGGTAGTTGTGGTTTTCCACAAGATCCTCATCCTTTTGGATTTTTATTTGCTTAAATAATCCATTATATTTTTACTTTAACTTTACGACAATTAATTATTATATGAATAAGAAAATTTATAGATAAAAAGTGACCTTGAAAGTCAAACATCATTAACCTATTCATAGATAATCATTATATCAGAGTCTAATTATTAATTTTCAGTATCGATATAAGAAAACTATGTTTGTAAACAAAGTCTTTGTAATAACGTCAACATTGAGATTCATCATCAATAATATGACCGATTTGTCCGGTAGAAAAAAAAAAAAAATTCAAATAGCATGAGAATGATTGAATATTATATGGAGTTTTCGTTGAGTCATTCGTGTATTCTTTTTTGCTTTCTGTTTTGAGTATGAATCCTTTGTTCATGTGGAATAAAGTTTAAGACATTTTGAGATGTGAAAAATATATGGATTATGGATTTAAAATTCTTATTGGTAATAATATAAAACACTTTAAATATTTTATTTATTTATTTATCTTTCGTTAACACTAAAATTATGTTTAAAGGCAATTTGTCATTTTAAAATTAATATTCATTCATTGTCTAATATTTTATCAGTATTTATTTTATTCTTAAAAATAGAAGTATAACTTGATATAATAATTAATTGAAAAAAATTAATTAAAGAATGATTTTTTTTTTTTTACTAAGAATATATTATTTATTTTTAGAATTGTTAATATAATTAACAAATTATGAGATAGTGAATGAACTAGTAGCCATATACATAATTTTTATTGATAATGTAATTTTTGTTTATGTAATGACTAATTCTGTCAACGTTTAAAGGCTTTGTTAAACAACAAAAATTATTTTTAACTTATAATACTTTAGAATTATTTCGAAAAATCATTAATCAATATTTAAAATGATCATTTTTCGATTTACAATCTAACATTGGTACTTGTTGGTACGAAATTTAGTAATTTTATCGATGTAATTCATCGAATCATACATAAAATAATTACTTAAATGAATTTTTACAAGTAATATTTCTAACACTGACGTCAAACGTAACATTTATTCCAAGAAATTGAAAGGACGTGCTCCTGGAATTTTTATTACTTGTAATCAGAGAGTCCTATCACAAGTTTATTTGCTTTAATGCGTCAGGAGTTTCATTAACTACACTCTCAAAGAGTATATCGAATTATTGACTTTTTTTACACCTTTGCAAATGGCAATTATACTTACATGACCTACTCTAACCACTTCATGAATATTTTCCGTATTCACAGCATGCTTTTCAGGATAATAATTTTAAAATTATAAATTGTTTATTTTTTATTTAATCCTTTTGCCGAATTTACAAAAAAGGAGTCAACCTTATTGATCTTGATTTGCACTATTTACTTACATAAATAAATTTAAAAAAAATAAACATTGCAAGTGATGTTTAGAATTTTAAACTATGTTTTTTTATTCATTAGTAAGTTTTTTAATTACTGAAAATAGCAATAATCTTTGTTATAAAAGCTTTATAATTGTAATATAATGAATGATAGCAGAATGATATTGAAAGAAAAATATGAACAGGTTTTATAAAGATTTTTATTATACACCAACCATTAAAAAATTCTTAGATAATCATCTTGTTGTGGTATTTGTATTTAATTAGATTTTCAAATTCTATGATTAATTTAGATACTTTCAGATTCAGTGTCTGATATTGAATAACACTCATATTGCAATTGAGTTAATTAAATTTCAAAGCACGAATATCTAAACGTATGTTTTAAGTACCTAAGTTCTCCAAGAAATGAGTAGTATCATATGTAACACTTTATTTAGGTAATTTTTTAGAGTAATTATGATATTATAAAGACATTCATTAGTTTGTCAAAGATGTGAAATATATAAGAAATAAATCCATACTGGTAACTTATCAACATAAGGAAAAGAGCAAGTAATACTTGGAACGCTCTGTCGATCCATATCATTCTGGAATGAAAAATAAAAATGTTTATTAATTTTTCTTCTTCAATAATTAATCATTATTAAAACGTTATTAGTAATGACTAGAAGTCAGTAGACATTCTTAAGAAAAATGATTATTAATTGAATACGATCTTGGAGATGAAATTCAATTTTAAACATTTATAAGAATAATTATTGTTTGATGGATAACTATATTCTTATTGAGTTTTTTATTCTGTAAAAATGTCAGTAGAAGTCATTTAGAAAATAAGACTAAGAAGAATTTATCATTGCTAAATGAATTATAAATGATCTGAAAGGAAAATAAATTAATATATTTATTGTATATTTTCTGTAGTATGATGTTTGCTAAAACTTCTATTTCGAAATAGAAAAAAAAAAAAACTAGTTTGTCTGTAGTTACTTACATTTAATGTTATAAACACACCGTGTAAGTAAATTGCCTACTTATTTATTCTTTTTTTTTTTTCTACTTCAATAAGAATAATTTGAGAAAAAAGATTTAAAATTCAAGTTATTATTTTATTGTTGTTTGAAATAATTCAAACGACAACACAGTTATTATTTAAATTGTTACGATTATTAATTTTAACACGAAATTGCCTTCTATTTCCAAGAATGTTGTTTATTATCAAACTTCTTTATAAAAAAAAAAAAAAATAGAAACAAAAAAAAATCAATCTCAATACATTATGTAACTTGATAGAATTCTTCCTTGTCTATCAGATAAGTCTCTTAATAATTTATGACATTATTATAATTTCCTTATTTGTACTTAGAACATAATTTAAGTTAAAAGAATCTTGAAAAAATGATCTTTAGTTGCCACTTGCAAGTTGTATCAGAATAAAAGTTCTGAGAAAATATAAACAATCAACCAGATAAACAGAAGCTGTGAAGATCAAATTCATTTTAATTTTATAATAATTAAAGAATAAGATATAAAAAAAAAAAAAACAATTTGATATTAATTTAATAAATATTAGCAGCTTTTCTATGGAATTGCATTGATGAGTCGTTGACATATTTGTGGCATTGATCGATTGTCATCATGATCTAGTAGGATTATTGAAGGTCACTAGCAGATCTAAGATAGAAACATGAATGTTTAATGAAATAGACACTTTAATCTGTGATACTGATAATCTCATTAAGTTCTTGATAAACATGGCTAATAATTCTCCAATCACATAAGATGTGTTGATAAAAAAAAAGTACGATTGTGTAATATAAATGCCACTAACATATTGCAATAAATAAGGAAATGACTTTTATTTGTGTCTAAGTGATAATTAACTGCATATTGAAGTAGACAGCTTGGAATTGCTGTTTTTCTATTTCAGTTTTCACTGAAGTAAATACACTAAAGTGAAGGGGTAGATAAAGACTTTGAATAGGGTAATAGAATATTTCATATAAAAGAACAAATTTAATTATACTTTAAGATATTTTTCGTTAATAAAATTAATTGTTAGATAACATGAAAATTTAATGAATATTACTTATTAATTTTTCTCTTTTTTGCATTTAATTTTTTTTATTAAACTAAAATTAATTAATCAATAAGTCAAATGAAAAATTATTTAATGGTAAGAATCACTGATTCAGTAAATTAATAATAAATTAATTAAATCTGTTCAATATTATTAAGAATGAAATGAATCAACTCCATACAAGAATATATAAATTTTTAATTTGAAATATTATTAAATTATTGTTTTAATAATGAAGCAATTGATGAGAATAATTTTATAAACAAATAAAGAATGGCAGAATGTTAAGTTGGGTTTACAAACTAGTTTCAGAGAATGAAATTCAACTTTTAAATAATCATTGAAAAAAGGAATAAAAAAGTAACTACAGAAAAGGACAACTATAAAAACCACTAGACTTGGAATAAAATTTCATGTGACGTAAATACATTATATTTATAGTATATTATTAATGAAACATTTGTCGAATTGAGTATTAGTAATGATTTTTTCAAGTATAACAGAGGTTTTCCCACTTGTTTGTAGGTAATTTTCAAGATAATTACTATTCAAATAAATGAATATCATCTATATACAATACCCACGTGAAATGAAACTAAAAGAATAATCTCTTGTTTTATATGGAATTCCCAGAGTGACCACCGAGGTCATCGTTGCTGATTCACGATCAATCGTATCATTGTAAACTCAACATGTCGATACATATAGATATATTACAAAGCATTAAAGAACATACACAATGATGAAAAATTTGTTTCATCATAAATATTATGTGATTGACTTGAATTGAGAAATTTAGCAACATAAAATGCATGTTAAGTTCATCAACCTTTAATATGTATCAATATTTGACCTACTTGGCTCTTGAATATCATGACGACAATCGATCAAACATGCCATATCAAAGAGACAAAATGCCATTGTCAACTCAAAATATTGTTAGTGACTAACAACACTACTACCTGAACTACAACTAATTAGTAGCAATTGAATTTTAATTTTTGAGTTTTGATTATCATTTTTTTCTCTCAATCTTGTTATTCAATCTTGATTGTGATCATGTGTCGAATACATAAATGTAAGTTTTATTTGCATAAAACAGTGATTTACATCTAATAGTCTATTATATATTCTCTGCACGTATACAGACAAGACTATCTAGGATTTCCCTTTCAATGTAATTTTATATTTTTTTTTTCTGCTTTGCTAAGTAAGATTAATATCTGTATTCATCTTGATATTCATTGACCAATTTATTTGCGTAGAAAAAATTGGATTGATTCAAAAAATGACTGATTAAGGTTTTCTTATATCATGAAGGATGATATTTTAACTCATTCAAACTGTTTTAAATAATTTTAAGAAAAGATCTTACCTTTGAAGATGTTTTTTTGCTGGTTCCAAATTTTCAATATCTTCATTTAATAAAAATTTTTTTGCTCCCAATAAACAGTACCTGATGATAAAAAAGTAAAAATAATTTTTTTATTAAAGAAATTAAGTTTAAAATAGCATAGAAAATTTCAATCACTTACTTGAAATATTCTCTCACATCCATGTCAGCATATTCAAATTTAAAAGTATCTCTATCAGCCGGTGGGATTTCAGTTGTAAGTTTTAATAAATTGGTATTATTAAATTGCCATGCGTTGATTAGAAAATATGCCAGAGCTTTGTTAGCAATATAGACTTTTCGTTGCAGTTTAGTCAGCCTGAAAAATATTTATTGATTCAATTATTCTAACTGTGTTAGTTTAGAGTAAGTTGACTTGGAATAATAAAACTCAATATACATTGGTTTTCTGTTACTGAATATGAGAATTGTATCAACAATTAGAGCAGGTAGAAGATGAAATAATAAAACATTGATAAAATAGACAATTTCACTTTGAGTATATAGAGTTCGTGGTGCCCAAAGAACTCCCTCCAGTGGTACATCTTCATGAATGACTAGTGCACATGATTTCAAATCATCCAAAGAAATACATTTCATGTCTGCCGAAGAGCAGTTATAAACATGGATTGAAGGATCTCGAGTTATTCTTTAACATTAACATAAATAATTATTGCTTTTTCTTTTATCAAATAATTAGGTAAATAAAATAATAATAAATATTTTACGTTGTTATTCCACGTTTCCAGGTGGTAATAATCATAGCTTTGATAGCAACATCAACAGGAATATAATCAGCAATCAGCTGAGCATTTCCAAATGCAGTTCTTAATATTCCTTTGCCTCCACCAATTAGCATTCCTACTGGACCATTGAAATTATCCAACCAACCCCTGATTGGTTCTGATATTGTTGATATCACTAGAATTTAAATCATTACATCATGCAATCTTGTTTTGGTATATCAAACAATTCTAATATAATTTAAAAAGCAAATTGAAATTACCTATAGATGGTCGGAAAACGACACAAGGAAATACATGAGAATAATCAGAGATCACTTGTTCTGCTAACCGTTTAGAAAATGTATATGTGTTTGGGAAGTTTCCTATGAATCTTGAAAAAAGAAATTTTATTGAAATATAAAACATTCAATGGTAAAATGTCATTAACTTAAATATTTATTTTTATTACTTTGGTGTCAAAGCTTTTAATACATTCTCATCTACAGTCTCTACTATTTTTATGGCCTTCTTCCAATCAACATCTGCTTGATACATTTTTTCTTCCACTACAGGTTTGTCTGCTTGACAATAAGTAGTGCTAACATGCACAAAAGCCTTGCAAAAAATTTAAAAAGTCTTAGATTAATTAAGTTAAGAAGAATTTGATGTTATCTAGAATATTTAATTTTCAGTTTTCAATTTACCACCAATTTTTTCATTTGAGCAGCTAATATGCACATATCTCTGGCAGACCTAGTGTTGGTGAAGATAGCAGCTTTCAAGCTATCATCAAACCTAACACTAGCGGCGTTATGATAAATAATAGAAACTCGATCAATTAAGACTCGTCGTTCCATGTCTGGTAGACCTAGACCTTCTTTCGTGGTATCACCAACTACAGGGATCAGTTTATCAAAAACCTCTGGTTTTTCTTCTTTCAATTTAGTGAAAGGCTACTCAGATATAAATAATGAATTTTTAATTACGTAGAATAAATACATGATTGTTATTGATTTTAATTGAAAATTGAACTTACTTGTTGTGAAATCATCTTACGTAATCTATCATCAATTGACATTCCCTTTTTCGGTCTTAATAACAGAAAAATTTCACGAATATCAGGACATGATCGTAACAATTTTTCAACCAATATTTTTCCCATAAATCCTGTTGATCCTGTTATAAAGATACTTCTTCCCGCAAAAAATGCGGGTATTGATAGTGTTGGATCTATTTTATTCATCTAAATATTTAATTTAATTTTATTAGATTATCTGTTTTGACGTTAAAGATTAATTTAATTATTTTTAAAATTAGAAAAATATTATAGACTTAATAATAATTGATATTGTTTTTAAACTTGCAGTATGAATGCATATTTATTTATTTATACTGCAATTGAAAATCCAATTCCATGCAAAATAACGAAAAATTGTAGACAGATATACCTTTGATATTGAAACGATTGATTGATTGAACAAACAAAATTTGATTTTTGCAAAGAATCACTTGAAATATTGTACTTGATTAATAAATAACTACAATTTAAATAAAAAAATTGATTGATAATGAAGTATCACTTAGAGTCTTGTAACAGACTGAATTATCAAAACGGTCAAAATGAGCTTCTTAGTTAGTAACAATAATAAACCGGAAGTGATGTGAACACAAATTTGAATACATTGGCCTAGGTCAAAGGTTAAATAAAATAAATATGCATTCTCTTGTAAAATAGCACGTGGTTATAAAAAATATCGAATTCTCTTACACTATTAAAAATAATGAATCAAAATTTATGTATTACTTCCTATATGATTAATCTATAATAAAAATTTGTAATATATATTACATTGATAAAATGAATTCTGACGTCTTAAGAACTGATTAGAATAAAATTATCTTATATTAATAACTAAGTGTTTATTTTGCTAGTCTACTGATGTAATTAATTGAATATAAGTAGTTTTGAACATTCATTCTTATAGTAATTTAATTTTCTAATTGCAGGGTCAAGTGATCATCAAGAAGAGAATCATCAAGCAGTGATAATAAATGATTTTGAAGATTGTAGTTTACGGTAGTTATTTCAATATAATTTTATTATTACTATTAAATAATTAAGACAAATTTATATTTATTTATTTCAATGATATTTATAAGATTTAATTACACTTATCCAAGATTACTTATCTAATATTGAAACCTAAAATATTCATTTGTACTTTTCTATTTGGAAATAATACGACTAGTAATAATGCAGGAATTAATTCCTAGTTAGTAATTAATGAATTGAATTTTACTTTGTAACTTTTTTTAGAATCAATCAGAAATCATTCGATCTTTGAATATTGACAAACGATTTTGTATTTGATCAACCGTTAACTTCATTATCTAGATTCTAGTTTATTGAAATTTATGTGTTGAATATATTTATATGTGTTACATGAATAGTATCAATGATCATTATTTTTAGATACTTTATGATTAAATGAAATGTGTATTTGATGAATTTTTATAACCTAGTCTTTTTGGAGAATAAATATTAATTAAAAATGGAGATCAGTGAATTAAGTAGTGGAGAAGAAGAAGAAAAGAAACGAGTGAATGATATAAAATTATATATTCCATATGAAGAATATGAGGAAGATATGGAAGGAAAAATTATCGCCAAAAAGTCTCATTTTTTTGAATTACTTGAAGCTGTATATTATTTAATTTAATGTTTTAATTAACTATTACTTGAAATTCCTATCTAAGATTTCAACTAATGCTCTTCCTTACAATTATATTACAGGTGCAAAACTGGATAAAAGATGAGGTCATTAAATAATATTTTTTTAAATATTTTATTCTTCTCTAGTGAATTTATATCAATTATTTACATGATTTTAACTATTCAATATTTTTGTATCTGTTAGTCTCAGCAGAAGAAAAAGAAAAAACGTAAAAAGAAGAAAAAGAAGCAAAAAAAATCAATGAAGGAGCCTGATAAACCTCGAGCTTCTGCAGCTAGTGCTGAAGCTGATAAACAAAAGTAAGAAATCATTTTTATTGGATTAACTTGTTCAAGTTGATAGTGTAAATCAGATATTTGGTTGAAAATATTTGAAGTATATCAGATAATACAAAAATGTACAATAAATAGTTATATGTAATGACTTTTGAAAACTTGGGAGGAATGTAGATCAGAACCTTCAGTACCCTTTCGTGCACGTCTCTCATTTACTACTCCTTTTAACCATCAATTCTCCCACCCTAGAAATGAGTTCATCACCTTAAAACTGGGTGTTAAATTCTCAATGTTTCAGTTTAAGTTTTAGCATCATTTCAAACTCATCTAGATTTTAAACTAGTTATTATTTGTCTTAAACTGTTAAAAAATATTTTTCAAATACTCTTTATATTTTTAAAAAATGTATACTGACCCACTGGCAACAATAACATTTTTTCATAGCTATGCTGAAACTACTAAAACTAAAGTTAAACGTATTGAAGAACGGTATAAAGTATTCTAAACATGAAGTAGAATTTTTTATGATTTATTTTTCAACTATTTATTATTTTTTATATTTTTTGTATTGTGTATATAGAAATGTGATGATCAAGGATTTACTAGAAGAGATTCGTCTTGAAAAGTTGAAAACAGAAAACGAAGCAATTATTGAAGAAGATGAAGCTAAAAAGAGAAAAGAGCAGTTGAAAAAAACCTGGCATATATTGAGTAAAATTGAAAAACAAGTTGCTGAAGATGCTTTAAAAGTTAAAGAAGAAGAGGAGGTAAAAAAATTTTAATAATAATTTATGAAAATATTGAATGAATAATGAATTATCATAAAATTTCAGTGGATTCAATATATGACATGTGACGGTCTTCCAAATCCTGCAATTTTATCAGAATTGAATACCTTTGCATATTTGCTAAACTCAGAAGATGATGTAATATCCATGACGAATATAAATCAAAAGTGTGAAGTCGTTACTTATGTAAGAGGCAATTCAGAAAACTTTTCAATTCTCATCATCAATAAGACTAATTTTTCTTTTCAGTTATTGTCGAAGCTAGATAACGTTATCGATTTTTCTTCGGATAAACCTAAAGAATATATAGAAGATTTAAAAAATATTCGCACTAGCTTCAGAAATAAATTGAAGTATTGGATAGATTTAGCGAATTATCGTCTCCTTCGTCATATAGAAAGAGACATGATACGAGAGGATTTGAAAAATGCAAGATACATAAAAGAAGCCAATGAAATGATTTGCTGTCTCTGGGCTTTGATAAAATTACCAATCAGTATTAAACAAGTTAATGATAAAGATAGGTAATAATTTGGTTTTATAAAAATCTTCAAGGTATTATAGTTAATCAGAAATTTTCAATTATGTTAAATGTTACTAATATTTAGAAAATCGATAGAGATTAATTTTAAAGAGTTAGATTTAATAATTAAAATGCCTGTTGATGTTGATTGTTATGCGAAAGCAATTCGAGCACTTTGGGTTCAATATGACCATTATTCAGATCAAGGATCTTCTTTCTTAATGCCAGATGTACCTAAGAAATATCAAATGAATGAAGGTATGAATAGCAAAAAAATTCGTTTAGATAAAAATTATTGATTAATTTATTTAACAATTATTAATATAAAATGGCATTGATTGTCTCTTTTAGATTTATTAACATTTTGCAACAATGAATACGAAACGAAACGACAAATTCGCCAGGATCAATTGGAAGGTCGAAAGTTGAGGCTCGATGAAAAAAAATTAATGGTTGAACGTTTAACGAATCCAGCACAATTCGTTACAGCAAAGCCTGATAAAAAATCTAAACAGTCCAAAAAAGCTGCAGGTCAAGCAGTGAAAGCTAAAAAAACTGAACCAGAACCTGAACCTGAGCCATTGCCTTATTTACCAACGCCTGATGAAATTATTCTGCAGAAAGAAGGTAAAAATAACGATGATGTCATGGCTTCCGGATAGATAAGAAGTCGCAGTCTTGATAGTACAGACTAAAACGTTTATATAACATCAACAGTATGCTAATTTTAATGCATTTATACAGAATTTATAGAATAATATTCTAATCATTCAAATGACTAAAGTATTTAATCGAGAAATAATGATGAAAAATAATCTAAAAAGTCATCAATTTTTTTAATGTCATTTCATAGAGTTAATAGTAATTTATTCATCATGTTTTTCTTAAAAATTGTGCACACAATTATTGGAACTTGTTTTATTTGATTACGTAAAGTAATGAATTATAAGATAATTGTCTAGATTATGACCTTGCTTCCCCTAAAGAAGGATAAAAGTGACAAGAGGATACAGAGAACATGAACCTTCAATAGCTAAATTCAGCTTTTTCTACCTTTCTTGAACTTATTTTTACCAATATTTATGTAAAAGCTTTTTTTTCGAATAATTTTCAAGCTTTCATTATTTTTTATTTCTTCATCATTTCAATATTAACCTCTAAATGTCTAGTTAATATTCCGTGCTTCCTTTCAAAAGGAAAATATATAATCTAGATAATTATTAATCACAATTATGTAGATGAAAACCGGAAAGAATTGAGGAAACTTATGTTCACTCGATGCGAAAAAACGGAAATAAATCTAAGAAAGTATAAAATACTTGGTGGAATATATCATATTGATTTGATTCATCAACCACCTCAGCCTAAAGAAATGAGAAGCAATATTCAATTAACAACACGTGAGTTATTACTATTTAATAGAATAATTTATTATAATTGTTATAAAATTATCAATAATGTATCTCTATAATTATACGTTTAGTTCAGTTACCCAAAAAACTTCAGTTTGTACAATTTTCGAGACCATACAAAGCTCCGCCTCCAGCGCCAGATTCTGAAAGAACTCCTGAAGTTATTGAAGCTGAAATAAAAGCTTTAGAAGCTGCAATGGAACTTCTTGTACTCGTTACTTTAAAGTAATTTATTTTTATATTTGTAAGAGTGAATAAGAAGTTGCTTTTTCATTATAAAAAGTTGAAAGTATATTAATAACTTTATTTGTAGACTTTCTGAAACAGTATTATGGTTTGAACCACCTCTAGTAGCCCATTGGATTCCCGAGAAAAAAATTTGGTCAACTCAAGATGTTCATGATATTAAATATAATGAAGAAAAACAAATAATTACATTCAGAACTGGCAGACTTGGTATTCATGGTTTAGCAGCATTTAAATTTGTTAATTTACCATTTCAAAGTTGGGAAATGCGACCTGAACCAGGAAAACTTGGTGGAGTTACATTAAATATTTCTGCTGCTGTAGTTCAAGTTGAATTCATTGTTAAGGTAATGAAATTTATTCTTACTGTTGCTGATAAAAATTTTTAATTTTTTTTATTAATACATTGATAATTATTTTTAGGATAATTTAGTATGCTTAAATTCTGTAGTTGGAGGTCCTGCTTCAGCCTTTCAAGATCTTATTGGGAAATATATGAAGCTGGAATTTCTTATAAGAGTAAGTGTAAACAGATTAACCATGAAGATAATATATATATAAAAAAAAAAATAATAAAACATGAAATAACAAGAAATTATAAAATATTTTTAGCAAATGCGAGCTGGTGGATGTGATATGTTTCCGGAAGAAGATGCATTTAGTTACATTAAAGGATTGTCAGTGAAACATCCGGTTGTAAAAAAACATCTTCAAGCTTGTATGGGACTATTATGTACCGCCTACATGTTTGCCTGGTCTCGATGGAACGCTACAGTGACGGCCAGACAAATCGTTATGCAAATAAAAGAATTACATGGATGTAAAACGAAAGAAAAAACGAACATGATGCTTTTAGTGACACCTTTACGAACCATACTAGTTCAGGGTACGGAAGTGGGCTCGGAGTTTAGTGATAAACCAATGGACGGTGAAGAGTACAAGGTAAATATATTCTCAACTAATTAGTGTTTGTAAATAATCCACCAACGTATTTAAATTTTTATAAATTGTCGACTTAATAGTGAACTTTAAAATTTATACATATTTTAAGATGTTTTGCATTTTATGATATTTTTAATGTTTTAAAAAATTTTCATTCCCTCGTCCTTGTGAGACAGATTTTTTTTATTATTTTATTAATTTTATTTAATAAACATGAAGATAAAAATAAAAATGATTTCATCTGTAGATCTTTCAAATTTTTTCGATACTTTTTTTTATCATCTGTATGAAATTAATTATTTTTTTATAATTTATTACTACTTGACCAATTGATTGCAATATATATGAAAACAAAAAAAAAAATTTTCCATCAATTTATAAAATATCGATATTTAAAAACTGTATCTTAATGAATCTCTCGATTTATTTTTCTTAAATTAAAAATTATTTAAACACCTTTTTGTTTCTATTTTACAGTTTTATGCTGATGTTTATCATCTGGCACTTCATACAGCGGGAATAAAGAGTCGACTGTTAATGAAAAAGGTATCGTTCAAGCTTGCTTCTACGGTAACAAAGTTACTGGCAGCTACCAATGTTATCAGCATGTCTTCATAACAGAAGATGATGCGAATACAAATACATTGTCTTCATTCAAATCATTTTACACATATAACATATCCATTGTCATGCTTACAATAAGCTTCTTGCAGTATGTGTTATCAGTAAAAACATCAGGTGAGTTACTCAACAATCGGTAAATTGGTACCTTTTGTTATTGAATTAACTCTAGAAATTTCTCCAACATGTTTCACTGATAGAGATTACTACTGCATTCTTAATGATTTAGATAAATGAATAATTGATCAATTGACGTAGAAATAGAGAGAACTTTCAAATCTGATAACATCTTAATGGGATTATTATCTTATTTCGTATTTAAAAATACTTTAAAGGATTCTTTTATCATATTGGAAATATTTCCAGGTATTCTGCAACTATCCAAAAGTCTAGACTGATCGATGTCTCTCTGAAATTAAGATTCAAGATAAATTATAGATAAAAATGATTCATAAATATTAGTTATTCTCAAATATTTGGTAAGTTTTTCCACAAATAACTTCAAATAGTTTTCTAATGGCTACTATAGCTAATATTACTACTTATATGCTCTAATGATTTTATTTTATGGTCTTTTAAAGCTATTCAAAATCAATGTCATACTCATTTTTTGCCCAATTCTTTAGAGCCATTATACAAAATTTATTTATTTTTCATTCATGGTTCATAAGTATAACAATTAATGTCATTGACAAAATATCAATAAATGGTATTTTGATGGTTTCCCTTTAGCGGAACAAATTGTCAACCTTGTTGAATTTTTTTAACTCTTGAAGAAACAACTTTTTAATAATCGAAATAATAGTCAATGCTATTTAATGATATTAACCATTCAAGTTCCTAGAAGTACATACATCCAATTAAAAAGAATTACGATTTGAATATCAAACGTACTGGAATTGGAATTGAAACAGGAAATGATTATTATCATTACGTAAACTGATCAAATGTGGATCGAATATTTTTAAAGAAAATTAAATAATGACAAATTAGATATTCTTTTTTGATCAATGCAGTCTAAGAGAAATAGAAAATTCTCGATTTTAACATTAAATTAAAATAATAAAATAAATGATACAATTGAATAAAATTTATTCATCAACTTTTACTTTAAATAATTGTTAGAAGAAAAAATGAAAATAAAATATGATAGCTTTTAGTTTGAAGAACTTTAATTATATAAATAATTGAAAATGATAATATTTGTTAAATGATTTATTTATATCATTAAAGTTGATTCTAACTCAAATAAATAATATATTATAAATTCAAAATATTAATTTATCAAAATAATATATATTTTTATCTATATAGTCATGCTCTAAGGCATAAAAATATCTATTATTTATAAAAAAAAAAAAATATATTTTCAATTCTGTTAGAAAACTTGCGATAAAAATTCAATGTTATTTTAGATGTGGGTGTAAACAGGAGTAGATCAATATCTGAATTAATTAAAAATAAAATTTATCCAATTTTATGCGTAACGTTTGCACCAGCTGACATTTAATGACGTCATGATAATAACACCAATGGTCTGAAGTTGAGGATTGGTGGGTTTGAAGTATAGTAGTGTAGACGTTATTCTACTATACCTCTGATGCATTCACGTGCCCCTCTTCAATTCAATGTATCCCCCAATGTATACCTGTTTTCATCGATGTGCTTGAAAACCTACCACTACTACAGCATTTCAAGGTATTCAAGCGCCTCTGTTCCCCAACAAACACATTGTTAGGTAGTTTTACTAAGTTCTGAGTGGGTATCGGGCATCACGTGTATGTACATTGGTAGTGAGTCGACGAGAGAGTACGTTTGGAGTCTCGTATCGTTGGTGCTTCGTCCGAACGCCGGACGCTCTTGCTTACAATCTGACAGTTAAACTGAAGCTGAAGGAAGTTTTAGGAACAATACAAAAAAATGAGTGTGTTCAAAAGTTATCACTACTGTGCCACTATTTTCATCATTAATAATCAATAGAATCAATAAATAGATATAGCTTTTGGGAAAATTTGCACGTTTTTAGAGTTTTAGTGACCTATTTTAAAAGAATATTTCGTTGTTGGATCCAAACCAACACCTGTTAGGGATCGTTTTAAAGTATATTTCTTGTTTATTAAAAACGATCTACAGCTTCATGATCCTTAAAAATTTCACAGCACAGTCTGGATTTAAGCTAAGAACGATTAGAAAGTCTTGATTGGGGTCACACGTGCATTCCTTTAGAGCCAATCGAGAAATGATAATTTCACTTGTGTAAATACATTCGTAACTGCGACAATGTTTGACTTTTGATAATTTATTTTCATCGTTTTGCAGACGTTTGAATATTATCAAATAGTTTTAGGTATTATTGTAGAAAAAAAAATATAAATTGTGAGTGAGTGAGTCAGTGATGATGTTGATGATCAAATGATCAACTCGTGCTTGTGAGGAATAAATATATAATGACGATACAATGAACGTCCCAATAGTGGCAGGTGATATCCTGGATGACGAAGGTTATAAACCACGTTTCGTACGGGTGAGTTTCGAACGTCCTTGAGATGAACTACATTTCCTTTTTATTTTATCAACATTAGCTGCCGACATGCACCCATTGTTAGATGATGGGTAGTGTGAAATTTAAAATGTCTATATTACGATTATGATTTTAATTATAAATATATGGATGTAATTATCTGAATAATTACCTTTAATTACACGTCAATTTTTTTTCGATTCTTCTTCTTCTTCAATGTCTTAGGTGTATACATTTATCTCTTCTTCAGTTTTTATTTATTCTATCACCACTTCAAGTAATAATATTTTTTTCCTTGTAATGTCGTCATAGTATCTTATGAAATTCTATAGAAATGTAAAAATACATATTCCTATTGATTTATTCAATGATGAGTTCAGAAGATTCTATCGACACTTGTGTTACGAAATTACTTTTTATTCATTTAGGAAAAATTTAGTATTTTATCCAGAAACATGTTTATCTTGTTTTAAATTTATTTGTTGACCGGAAAAATATCATCAGATATTTTTTATATTAAATAATTAAAATAATGTCGAAATAATATTTGATCAATTTCCATATTTAATTTAAACTAAGTAACGAATGAGATAAAATATTAATTTAAATTTAAAATTTTGTTAATTGAAAATTGGTAATAATATATGTCCTGTTAAACTATTGACATTTAACATATTTAGAAAATTTTTTTATACTAATTAAATGAATAAAATTTTTGACAAGTTATTTGACAGTAATTTAAATATACAAACCAGTAATTTGAAGTGAAAAAAAATTTTTTTTTCATATTCAAATTAATTTTATTCATTTTAAAATGATTGATAATTTATTTATAAAAGTTTTCATATGAAAAAAATTAAATATTGATAATTTTATTGTAAATAGTTATATTATTTTTTCATTATTTTATTGTTTATTACTCATCGGATCAACATTACAACCGGTATTATCTAAATCTACTTAATACTTTATGCGAAAAGAGTAAAAGTAATAAAATACTTCAGGTAATATATTTATTTTTAAATTTGTTTAAATTTATTATTATTAGCTTGATATTAATTTTGTAATCTTATAAATCAAATTAGATTATAATACACAGATTAATATTGGCTATAGTTTCAATTATTTATAGAGTTGTCTTATCACATTTGTTATCATCCAGGAGTCTTTTTCTTTTGGAAATGGATCTCACATGAAAGATAAGACCTCGGAAATAATCAATACCCAAGTATCATATATCCGACTATTATTCTTGCAAAAAATAGTCTCCTATGTGACACATTTGATTCATTCATAAATAAAATCGATATGAGAAAGCAATCGCATTATTTCAAAACAGAGATTAAGAAATTTATGAGTTTGATACAAGTGTGTAACTAAAGGCAGGAAATTCAGTGGTATCGTATAAAAGACATTTCTCACGACTATTCTGAAATCTAAATAGTGTGAAATATCTTCTGTACATGGTACGAGGTACATAGAAATACTGGAATGAGAGTTTCGCCCAATAAAGCGACATTTTGGCTAAGACAAATGCATATTTAGAACTTGTTAAGATCACAGGCTAACGGAAAGCAGTACGATAGTTGTACATAAACATATGTTACATACAAAACACAATCCACAATGTCTTTAGAAACCTCTTGAGTATGGAAACCATTCTGATGTTAAGAACAATTGTTTTATGTTACACATACATGTTTATATAGATTTATTATATATGGAGATTTTCAGCACGAGACACATAAAACATTCATTCCTATGTGCAACTCGTAAAATATCCTGATAATTAGTCTCTTTCAACTGAGAAAAGACGACTCATTGTCACATTATCTCTTGAAATTAAAAGTGACTCTGGAGTCAGCAGTAATTAGCTTTTTATGGTCTTCGATTTTTAATCCGTCATGATGTGCTAAAGTAGATATAGTGGAAAACTTTGATGACTGGTAAATCTTTATTGATGTCAGAGTTAGAGTTATTTATATGGAACAGTTATTTTATGAATATGACTCTTCACTAGTGTAGATTCATAAAATAGTTTTTATGTAGCTTTAGTATACTCAAGAAAGATATTAAAAAAATATTTTAAAAAATTTCCTTCTATATTCAACAAATTATACATATTTTTATTGTAAAAAAGAATATTAAATTTTTCATTTAACTTTGGACTCTAATCTGAAAAATAGATAAGTCTTTTTAGTACAATGAAAGTGTCTAATAAAAAAGATTATATTTTTTTTTATTAGAATTTGTTTTATTGTAGTCATTATAAAATCATTTAATTTTTTTTTTTTTGAGTGAAAAGTTGAGAAAGTAAATGACCTATGATTTGAGTAAATTGAAACTAAAGTTGGCCATCTTGATGCAGCAATAAAAAACTTCATCATGTGTTTCCATCATGATCTTGATGTCTTTCTTATAAGTATCCCAGGGATAATTTTCATAAACACTTGACACCAAATGTATGATCGTTAAGATGATCTAGGATCAAGGAAGAAATGATGTGAACCTTGAACTTAGTGGTAAACCAAGCATCAATTCCTGGTATTACAATTGAATAGACACTTCCGCTTCTTCTTCTTCTTCTTCAACAACAGATCAATGGCCGGTTATAATTTCCATTCGAGTAACCAAAGGTTTCTCAATAGTACAAAGCTCCATTGCACTTTCTTTCATTTAGACCTTTGTTTCCCTTATATTTTTTTGCATTTTCTATCGTTCGTTGGTCACTGTTTGTTTTCAAACTGTTTTTTAAATAGATTTTTATGAAGAACAATTGGAAGAGATACTTAGAGTTATCGATGAAGATAGTGGAGAGTAAAAATTGAGAAGTTAGCATGCATGTTAAATGCACGAACCATTGAACTATACTACCGGATATGTATCGTCTGGATAACACC